TTGCACCGCCAGCACACCTTAAACTGAAACAGTATTCGACAAAACAAAAATGGTATGGTTTCTGTCTAGGGGCTTACTTTGTCATATGTACCCCAATTCACTCACAAAGGCTGACCGGAGATGGAGAGAAAAAATGTGGACGAAATGACAACTGAAAAGACCGATAGACCGGAGTGAAAGAGGCTCAGTCGACTGACTAAATGCTTAAATACCTAAAACACCAAACGGAAGCAAGAACAACACGCACCGGCAAATCGAGAATGGAAAACAATTTGCTGGCAACGTTTTGGGCTCATTGTGGCAGGCCTACATCTTCATCTTTAGTTCTTCATCCAGTTCCATCTGCACCCCGAAATAAACCCTTTTACCCTTTCCACGCCAATTTCCCCCCAGTTGTTTGCTGTATTTGTTGTGACAGTGGCCCGAATCAAAACCGAAGCAGGTTGATGGATTACAACCAAAAGGCGGTAGCTCCACCAGTGCCCTCCTCGAGTCATTGTGGGCGTGGCTGGGTGGGCGGGGGAGAGAGCAGAGGCAGCTGCACGATTAGGCTTTTGTTTGGCTATATGTCGAATTTCTATGGCCACACCCAATCCAATCCTAGCCAGCCTTTGTATCTGCGGCCAAAGTGATTTGTGTGCCCTTGGGGCATCGGCAAGTACGTTTAATGAAGTGAAGGGTTAAATTTGGCAGGGACTTCGGGGCAAGGCACCGAAGGAAATGCCAAGTGGAAGCGGCTTAGACTCACACAAAGGACCTGTGCCAGCAAAGGGAATCAAGGCGGAAAATCTCATTCCATTCGGCCAGCTCAATTGGAGAAAGTGTCGGCTTCTTAAAGTGGGATGCCAATTTTTAAAGAAAGGGATCTCCCAGAGATGAGAAATACTTCAGAAAAGGATTGGTAATTATTTTTTATTGGTTAAATATATTTTTTCACATATGTATATCTTTAGATGATTTGGTCAAAAACAACATTATATTCTCTTTAGTATTCGTCATGTTTATAGCCATGCTCCTTGTTCTTTCTTTAAGTATAATTTGGACAACATTTTAAGCAACATTTGAACTTAAAAATATTTATTCTCTAACAAAAAACGTACTCTTCTTTTAATATAGTAGATTTGGGTGTGCAATAACTGTTTATAAAAACCAAACAATTGTTTTATTAGTATGCCTTAAATGAAAACTATGACAGCCCTAAAAGTACATTTGCTCTCCAAATTGTATACCCTATGTATACAAATAAAATTAAATATTATTGTTATATTACCATAAGTAATATTTTTACTGTTAAAAGTAATGAACACTTTTTTTATTCCGATAAAAATTACGTTAGACCGCTAAGAGTACATGTTTTGTGACTTACACTAGACAATTACCGTATAGATGACTTTGAACGACCTTCACATAAACTTTGCGGCGAGCACACACTTGCATTTAGGTTGATGGGCAACAAAATCATTTATCATAACCAACGGCCGCAGCGCATTTCTCTCAAGTGGCGTATGTGATTGCGGCAAAAGGAAGGCCAAAACCCTTGGCCAATAGCAAAATCCAGCCAACGCCGAACACTCGCATAGCCATAAATCTGCGGACTGGGCAAAAGTTGCGGATATGCGAAACGGCAAACGGCAATGGCAACCATTTGTCTAATTTTAATGGGCATGCTAATAGAGCCATACTGCTGGTCAGTCGGACACCTGACCCTGACCCCTGACCCCCGACCCCCGACCCCGTGGAGATCAGGATCCCGTCGGCAGGAGGCATGGCTCAGGTTTGCCAGTCGAGTTTTAATTTATGTGCGGCAAAAAGTTTTTGGCTCATTAAATACCTCAAAATGGTAAATGACTTACGAGCCGGCCTGAAGATGAAGATGCCGCTCCAGACGATTGACTTGGCCCCGGAACGTGCTCCTTCCCCGTTCCATTGGCCAGCCTCTGCATCATTTGCTGAATTGCCGCTACGTGCCGCATTATCGGCCACAAAAAATCTCGGCCAGACGACTTTTCAACTGGCTGCCGCCGTCGCTATTGATGAGGTCGAATTTAAGGTTGTGGAAATTGCCAAGACGCTCGGCCATATTTGCCTTTGGCTTTTTAATGAGCCACGGTTTGTTTGGGTTTCCTCCTATCCGCCTATCTAAGGTCAGTTTCCTGCATCATTTGTTAATGTTCTGCCCAGACATTTCTCAACCCAGGGCACACGAAGCCCAAAAGATGGCAATACAATATTATTGTTATTTATCTTTTTAAAAATGTTTGAGAGATAAGATAATGCTTGAAGGGAAAATGTTTATTTTGTACTTCGTTTGACTTTCAATATTTAAAATCCAAAACGAAATTGTGGGCAATAATATTTTAAAATATACGCAGTGTGATTCAAGACAATGTAGTAAGTTTCTCCTAAGCCAAAAACATTGACCTTAGTGCCAGAGCAATCGCTTTGGCGATCAACATTTTTCTGTCAGTGTATGCAATCTGCAGACGTCAATTCGTAATCTTTGAATGATTGTGTTTAATCTCTGCGCTTGTTTTCCTACAATTCACTTTGGGTCTCATGAAATTATAATATACCAGGGCGGCTTACCTTGATTGCAGCAACAATAAATATTTATTGCGCAAGTATAGAAGTAGCCACGCCTCTTTTATGCAGGCGTTTTAATTTAAATTTCACACCTGAACGCACAGTAAAATCCCATTTTAAGTGGCGTTTATTTGGCAACGTAAAAGGATCCTTGGCGTCGGTCGGCAACGAATCCTGCATATATGTTCAAATATGCTCACGGCAAATTTAATTTTAAAAAGTAAACCCGGAAATACGTATATGCACGCTGAACCTCAATCAGCGGGAAATTGCGGCAAACACAGCGGGAAAAGCTGCACTTGCCCACCCACGCAGCCTTTTCCGCCCTTCTTGGCCCACTTACCACACCTCCTCTTGACCACTGGCTCTATGTCTAATTGTATGTGCTTTTGTGGCCAAAACCATGAGGATGCTGTTGATGTTCTTGTGTTGTGTTGCTGCTGTTGCAGCAGCATTTGTTGCTGCCGTTGTTACCCCTTTTGTTGCTGCCAGTGCTGCTGCTGCAGTTGCACCTTCCCACCGGTCAGGTAATGTAGTTCCTGGCCGGCAACAAAGTTGTGTGTTTTATTAGTTTCTTCTGGGGCTGCAGCCGCATTTTGCGTTCGCCGCTGATTGTTGTGCTGTAAATTGCATTTGTGGTCAACAAAAAGCATTTGCCAGCCAGGTCAGGCCTTAGCTTTATTTGCTCTGCAGCTGTTCGGGCTGTTTTTTGTTCAACACGGCTGCTTCATTTAAATTGCCATTAGGTGCGGCTCTTGGCCGACTCATCCTTTAATTTGGGGAACTCCACAGCATTACGGTTGCCATTAGCCAATGCAGCAGCGCACATAAGCGGCAACACTTACATATGTATGAGCAGATAGTCGCACATTTCCGCCTGTGTGTCTGCCCCGTTGGGTTTTCTTTCCTTCTGTGAGCGATTTTCGTGCCACATTTTTTCGGATTTTCCCACATCTTTTTGCAGCTTTGCTCTAAATATTCAACACTTTCTCACTGCCGCCCAGCGCCCACCTCCGTTCGGTCCTCTCAGGTTGCTCAATTTGGTTTTACGTTTTGCCTGCTTCTGTTTTTGTCGGGCCAGCAACTCGGAGGGTTTGTTTTTAATTAAAACAACAATGCAGTGCCAGAGCCACACTTCCGTCCGGCATCTAACCCGCTTTTCACCACCCCCTGCATGCGAGCACATATTATTTCCCACTCACCCGGTGACTGACTGACTTGTTGCTGTTGTTCCTGCTGTTGTTGCTGCTGCCGCTGTTGCTGCAACTGCTGCATGTTGCTGTTGTGTTTTACTTCTGCGCTTACAATTTCATTTGTCCCGCTTTTCCTGCCCCCTCCGGCCAGCGCCCTTTGTTTTGGCCTTTGCTTGTGTGTTTTGTGTGAAAAGTGATAAGTGAAATATGCTTTTTCAGCTGCATTTTCAATTTAGTCGTTCAATGCAATTCCAATTGGATATTGCCAATGGCCAAGTTACAAGCCAACTTGCTCCACTCGTCCTTCCCGAGCGTGGGGCAAATCGAAATAAAAAATGTGGTATAGTAGTATTGGACCCTCTGAAATGTTCAAAATTAATCCGTTCAGACCAAACTCGTTTAATTGAGACTGAAATAAAATCAATTCCAGCTGCATTGTGCGGCGAGTGCCTTCATGACATGACATCAGCATAAAGAAGGATTGCCCTCATCAGTTTTACACATTGAAATAAGATGTATTAAAGTGATTCATACTATATTTGGGTTTGAAATGCTAAATGCGAAAAATTAAAGAACGTTGGCGTTTTTCTTTGATTAGAATAAAAAATAATGTATTTTGTCCTATTCAAAAGACCTCAAATTATTTTTAAAACTTGTTTTAATCAATAAATATTTAATAAAAAAACACACGGATGATTTTAAATCTATTGACTATGCAATAAATTATTAGACTGAACCTTTCTACATATATAAAATACCTAAACAAATTGAGATTTGCCTAAGGATTTATAATATATAACCTTAAAGTTATTTTTGTCTTCAGTGCATGGCTTCTAGCCATTTACAATATGAGGGAGGGACTGGAGCTAGCCTCATCAAATTCCCCTTACCAACTGAAAGTTCGCTGAACCTGTTGACTAATTTCGAATGCAACTCGCGACAAGACTCTACGTGGCCACCACCTGACAGCCACGTGACACTATCCTGCCGACCGCCCCCTTTCGCAGAATAATGGCATTGTGGGCGTGGCATACAAGTACAGAAAAAGCGCCATTGTTCTAGCAAAAAAAGGTCAATCTGATGGGCTACAAGTGCTTTAAAAAGTGCATTAGTGGGGATCATAATCTTAGGAAGTGGTCATTTACTGCACCTTGAATTCGGGTTAAACGGAGCAGGCCAGCGAGTCGACAAGTCAACTACCTAGTAAGCCGGGTCATTTTGGCCCCGACATGTAGATGTAGCAATTGTGAAGCTCAGTTAAAAATAATACATGTCTGGAAAGGAAGGTGAAAAATTGGTTTAAATTAAAGGTAAAAGTGGAGTGATAAAGGAAAGATATAACGAAAAGGAGAAATGACGTTTAAGAAGATACTGTTTGTGTGCATGGGTGAGCTGTGATTTGAAGGCGTTTGTTGGGAATTTATTAGTCGAATGTTCGCAATTACAGGCAACTCTTGCAGCTCGCCAATGGCCGAGGTGATCATGCAGAATCTGATGGTCAAGACGAGCCTCTACTGGGAAGTGGACAGCGCTGGATTGAGGACTTGGAACACCGGACGGAGACCCCACAAAAAATGTTTGCAAATTCTGCGCGAGCATGGACTGCGATCCGATCACTTTTGTCGTCAGGTGAGCTGTAATTATACCCGTTACTCGTAGAGTAAAAGGGTATATTGTATTCGTGCAAAAGTATGTAACAGCTAGAAGGACCCTATAAAGTATATATATTCTTGATCAGGGTCACTAGCCGAGTCGATATAGCCATGTCCGTCTGTCCGTCTGTCTGTCCGTCTGTCTGTCTGTCTGTCCGTATGAACGCTGAGATCTCGGAAACTATAAAAGCTAGAAGATTGGCATTTTGCATGTAGATTTTAGGAGTTCCTACGCAGCGCAAGTTTGTTTCAAAATGGTGCCACGCCCCCTCTGACGCCCACAAGCCACAAGCAGTGGCCACAGTTTTGATGCTATTATGAAAATTTTAATTGATATGTATTTATTTCGTCAATACCTATCGATTGGCCTTATAAAAGTTTGCCACGCCCATATCATAAGCCCATTTAATGGATTAAAAAGAACTCTACCACCAAAGTGGGAATAAGACAGAACACCGTTCTGTATTAGAATTAAAACTTAATAAGACCGATTTTTATACCCGTTACTCGTAGAGTAAGAGGGTATATTGTATTCGTGCAAAAGTATGTAACAGCTACAAGGAAGCGTTTCCGACCCTATAAAGTATATATATTCTTGATCAGGATCACCTCCTGAGTCGATATAGCCATGTCCGTCTGTCCGTCTGTCCGTCTGTCTGTCCGTCTGTCTGTCTGTCTGTCTGTCCGTATGAACGCTGAGATCTCGGAAACTATAAAAGCTAGAAGATTGGCATTTTGCATGCAGATTCTAGGAGTTCCTACGCAGCGCAAGTTTTTTTCAAACTGGTGCCACGCCCCCTTTAACGCCCACAATCGCTTATATACGATTTTAAAAATTTAAATATTTCGGAAAAGTAAAAATGCAGTTTTATTGTGTTTATCAATACCTATCGAAATGTAGAAGAAATTTTTCAAATCGGACCATTCGTTAAAAAGTTATGCGTGATCAAAGTTTCTATCTCCATCTCCCTCGCACTCCCTTTACCTGAGTAACGGGTATCTGATAGTCGGGACACCCGACTATAGCGTTCTCTCTTGTTTTTGTTATATAATTATATAATTATAGAGTTATTATATTTTATTTTCTACAGTTTACTGTGAATGACTTTAGGTACTTTGACTATGTTGTGGCCATGGACGAGGCCGTGTTCAAAGAATTGCTGCTCTGGGGTAGTGGGAATCCAGCAAACAAGGACTGCCATGTGCTTCTTTTGAGTTCTTTTGGTAAGAATGGACTGCCAGCTTTTATAGAAAGCTTGTCGCCGGTGAGTTTGCCAAAACATTGAGCCCTTAATGATATCATAAAAATCCCAACATTATTTATGTAGACACACAAGCTGAAGAACTTCCGGTGTGCTTACTACCAGATCAAGGAGTGCTGCAAGCAGCTCATCCTCAGCCAAAAGGTGGACATTGTCAAGTACGAACTGCCTAGTTCTGAGGATGAAGATCTATACTACGCCAACAAGGAGAAGGCGACTCAGGAGCTCGACTCGGTGGATCCGATGCCAGAATCAAGCAATGGCAGTGGTCTGTACATTCTGCCACCGGAGGTGAGATCTCAGTCGTCGTCAACCGATCCATCCTACTCAAAGGCCTTGGAAAACTCGCTTCTTCCCCCGGCGATGCCCTCCTGCTCCCAGGGAACTCAGCGAAAATTGTGCCGGAAATGCGGACAAAAATTTCTTGCGGCGCTTTAAATTTTTTTTTTAATAGTACTCAAACGGAGGCAATTTGAAAAGCCTTCCGACCATGCCCTTAGACTATGTACCGTATGAATCTTAAAGTGAATTGGTGGAAACATTAAACTGACTGTTATCTGGCACCTGTCCGCCGTCCATTAGCTTTTCCACCTTTCTGATGGGCGGCTAATTGGCTTAGGAAGCAGCTATAAAGGGCTGGAAATTCGGCACCTTGGCTCAGATCTAGTTCGATGAGCATTCGTGTAGTCGAAGGGGTTGCGGGTAGCTGAGCATGGAGCGCAGTCATTTGCCGGAGACGCCATTCGCCTTGGCCCTTTCTGGGCCCAGGTTTCAGGCCCAGTCGAGCGGCAATGGTTCCGTGCTGGACAATGTGAGTAAAGGGGAGAGATTCCCCTATCAGATGGCTGATGAAAATTTATTGAGTTTGGTAGCCAGAAGTCTGGAAAAATAATAAGTTCTTTGTTTCTTTTTTTTATATTTACATTGAAAGGCTTAGCAAAGTAGTACTAAAAAAGTGCCCCAGTGATTTTAAATTATTTTTAGTCAGTGATTGTAATCCATTTTGACAATAGGTTGATATTTCTGTAATTTAACCTATTTAATGTTACTCAAATGATTTACATATGAATAAGCTGTTCAAATTTGGTGATATTGTCCATTCTGGAAAATTGTAAAATATTTAATTGAAGTTTTTGACTCATATTTTCTGCCTTTTACAAATACGATTCTTATTAATTTCTACCGTCACTAATTTGAAACATTTTTGTCTGTCTCACTATTGTCTTTACCAATAAATAATTGAAGAACTTGGGAAAATAAATATTTTTAAAAATAAGTCGGTGGTACGCGTACGTACGTTTGAAAGTATATAAATATCATTTTACAATGTTCTTCTTGATCTTGTGAGAAAAACCAGAATAATCCACAGATTGTTTTCATTTATCATACATTTTTGCTTAACTGACAGGTGCTGCCCGACATGGCGCACCTGGTGAACCCCTACTGGAGCCGCTTCGCCCCCATGGACCCCATGATGAGCAAGATCCTGGGCGTGTTCACCCTGGTCATCCTAATCATCTCGTGCTGCGGCAACGGAGTGGTGGTCTACATCTTCGGTGGAACAAAGTCGCTGCGCACGCCGGCAAATTTACTGGTGCTCAACCTGGCCTTCTCCGACTTCTGCATGATGGCCTCCCAGTCGCCGGTGATGATCATCAACTTCTACTACGAAACCTGGGTGCTGGGACCACTGTGGTGCGACATCTACGCGGGATGCGGATCGCTCTTCGGGTGCGTGTCCATCTGGTCCATGTGCATGATCGCCTTCGATCGGTACAATGTGATCGTGAAGGGAATTAACGGCACGCCCATGACCATCAAGACGTCCATAATGAAGATACTGTTTATCTGGATGATGGCTGTATTCTGGACCGTGATGCCGTTGATTGGCTGGAGTAGCTATGTGCCCGAGGGCAATTTGACTGCCTGCAGCATCGACTATATGACGCGCCTGTGGAATCCGAGATCATACCTGATCACCTACTCCCTGTTCGTGTATTACACGCCTCTGTTCATGATCTGCTACTCGTATTGGTTCATCATCGCCGCCGTGGCCGCCCATGAAAAAGCGATGCGGGAACAGGCCAAGAAGATGAATGTCAAGTCGCTGCGCAGTTCGGAGGATTGCGACAAGAGTGCCGAAGGAAAGCTGGCCAAGGTGGCCCTCACCACCATCTCGCTGTGGTTCATGGCCTGGACCCCGTACCTCGTCATCTGCTATTTCGGGCTCTTCAAGATCGAGGGATTGACACCCCTGACGACCATTTGGGGAGCGGCATTCGCCAAGACGAGCGCCGTCTACAACCCGATTGTGTATGGCATTAGGTGAGTAAGTCACAAAAATACAAATACAAAAATATATGCACCAAAGTATTTGAATTTTTTGTTGGTTTTTGTTATCTTAATAAAGTTTAAGTCTAATTTAAATTTTTGTACACCCCCAAGTCATCCCAAATACCGCTTGGTGCTCAAGGAGAAGGTAGGGCATTAAAAGCCATTTAAGTCGTATTTATATTCCTTGACTATTTCCGCTTTATTCTGCAGTGTCCTATGTGCGTGTTTGGCAACACGGATGAGCCCAAACCGGATGCACCTGCTTCCGATACGGAAACCACATCTGAGGCAGATTCAAAGGCTTAGGCCGACCGAAATACTACAGCAATTGCCTACAAGAGGCACAAAAATGTATAAAAAAAAGTGATATGCAACATCATAAAGTGATACAAAAATGTAAAAAAAAAAAACAAATAAACTTAAGCATAACAAAAATTGTAGTTGACAATTAGACTTGGACCTTTGACATCAAGGTAAAATAAAAGAAAAACGTGCAATGGGTTTATATTTCTATTTATATTCTGATGTGATTGTTTTTACAACAAATTTGAATCTTAGTTTTATATTCTTGGAATATATGTAGGTATGGGATATAAAAGTTTTGTTACCATCCTTCAGCAAAAAATAGTGCCGAAGCTTTAAACAGCAGCCTTTGAGAATGCAATTAAAGCAGAGCAAATGATTGAAAATCTGAAGGGAAATTTGCATGCAGCTCGCTAGCTATTTCTTGCATTCTTTCTAGTTTCCCTGCATTGGAATTTGCCTCGTTTCAAGCTTGCCAAGGAGGGCCCTCCAATGTCACAAAATCCACAATGCCAGTCCCAGGACACGGGTTTCAGGGCCCAACTCTGGCATCTCGGGCAGATTCATCTTCATTGACACACATTTCCCCGCAGCTAATGTCGCTATTTGCTTTGCGATGCTGCTGTCTCGCGTCTAATGATTATAATTACGAAACAGGAGCCCTCCAGCCATCCCCGACCTCCGTCCTCCGCCCCACCACACATTTGACTAATGAGCACTAGACTGGCATCCCAAAGCAACCCAACCCCAGATACCATCCGCCCAGAATGAAATGGGGAACTGCACTGTTCTGTCTCGAGTTGACTGTCTAATTAAAGTACAACAGAGGGCAGAAGGCACAAAGAAAGCAGACTTGACGACTGCCAGCGATCGGGCTACAGTGCTCCATAATCACCACTGCCAGACTTGAAGTCTGCTTGCTCCGCTAGAACCTCGCCCATCGGAAGATTTATCACTAAAGGCCTTCAGTCTGACCAAGTGCAGATCGAGTACATGGCGGACGCAGTCCTTAAACCGCTCCTCCTTTTCGCCATTATAGAAGTGTTCAATGCAGGATATCATGTCGGCTTGTGCACTGTCCAAAACGCCACGGGCACTGGATTTCTTTCCAAAGGCCAACTTTCGGTAAAAGTAGTCGTGCAGTTGCGTATCCACGGAAATGGCAGCCTTCCAAGCTTCATCGATCCTCGTCTCATCGGTCACATTCATCTTCTTGGCCACGTCGGAGGCCATTTTCTCCCATCGCGGACTTGATGCCCATATCGTAAGCAAAAATGTAAGTAAAATTAATCCAAAAGATTTTGACAGCCAACTCATGGTACACTATGTGTGTAAATAAATGAAAAATAAATGGTTTTTACCAGAAAACGAATTTAAGACAGTTTATTTAAAAAACTCGCATCATAGGACAATTTGTTGATCAACATTTAAATTTCAAATTTTCTTAAAACTCTGAAAAACCATTAAAACTTTTATTATTTATTAAAATTACCAATATCCAATACAATAATATTCAAATGTAGAGGACAATAAGATTTCAATCCACCAATGTATTGCTAAAGAAAAACACTTTTTTCTTTAAATATTTGATTAATTTAAACATATTTTTTTCAAATAAAACATTTGGAAACACATTACAGCTGAATTTGTAACACTAGAAGAAAGTTAAAATGAGATTTCATTGACTCTAAATTTCTCTTTGCACTTTTGGTATTATTCAGATCACCAGAATAGGCCGATACGCGAAGCTCCTGAGGTGGCTCCAAAGATGGCCCAATGCTCGCCAGCCAAACGATCCAATGCCGTATAGAAGCCATTAAAGACGGCATTTACACAAGTTTTGTGCAGGTCGACATTTTGAGTGGTTCTCAGCTCAGTTTGGCAGTGGGACAAAGCCAGTTCCAACGTCTCCAGTTGTTCCTTGCCATCAGCTTGGGCATCTGCAGTGGAGGGTAACTTTGTTTGGGTGATTACCTGAGCGGTTTTGAACAATTGACTGGCCCATTCGAGTGACTGATCTACGGCCACATTTTGTGCAAGCGATTGGCCGGTCTGTTAAGGAGATTTTGGGTACTTTAATACCTCAAGAACAAGTATTGATGTAGCTAAATATAATCATACCAAAACAGCCAAGAGAAGGAATGTGATCAGCGTTGTACTCGACATTTTCGGTAAACCTTCAATGAGCGACTGAAGCACACTTTTTGAAAATCTGGAGACATCTACGCTTATCTTTTGTTTGCGCTTTAATAGAGTTTACAGTCTCCATTATCTCTCTATCTCTAGGTGCAATAAAACACGATAACCTCAACCTCATTATGCTTTATGTTGGTTATATTTCTTGGGATAATTAGATAGCTTTATCAGCGGCCAGCGGAAGTGGCACTCGGGGATCAACTAACAGTAGCTAGTGCCAAAAACAAATAGCCGGTAAACAACAACCGATTCGTGGATGATTCATTATTCGATTTGGACTTTGGTTGAAGAGATTTATTTTTTTACTGATTTTTCCACCCCGAACTAACGAACTCTGACACAGGCCAAAGCCGCAGAAATTTTGTTGCCTACTTTGGGGGCACACAACTTTTGCATCAAAACAAAAGCCGCAAACCCAAAACAAATTTACATACATGCACTTTCGGAGGGAGCGTGTGTGTCGCACTTTGCTTTTTTCCTAACCGATTTCGGCATACACATATACACTTAGTTAGGCTGCCCGAATGCGGCTGGATTTCATTCTGTGCCCGGGCATTACCATTTTTTGCTGCTCCGTGAATTTCAAATGCCACAACTTTTGCATTACCAAAACACAGAGCATTTCGGTTGGGGCTTAGTTTGGAGGGGTGGCCAAAACTTTTACAAGTTGCGGCAGCGGCTGCTCTCGTTGCTGTTGTTGTAATGACAACGGCCAACTCAAGTTTCAATCTTAAAATATTTCAATTAAGTGGCTCAAACTTTGAGGTCCCCTTTTCCCCGGAGGGTGTTGTGTGTATGTTTGAAATTTACATTTAATCACATATTTGAATTTGAATTCAAGCTCAGCCATCCGGGCTTATCCATCATCCGGCAGCCCGGCCAGTTGGTCATTTGTGGCCAGTCTTTGGCTCGTTAAGCCAAGCCATTTAATAACCACAGGTCCTGGCTTGGAATCCGAATTCGAATTCAATTGCAAATGCAATATCAAATCGAATCGTATGGGAAGGGAAGGACTGCCGGCCGGCAATTTGAGTGAGGACATTGGATAATTGGACCTACACTGGCACATAAATCAACATTTCCGCTGCATCTGAACGCAACTCAAGCGAGCTGAACTCCCGAATGTCAACGGAGGACCAATTGAGAACCAAATCATGCACTGGAAACAATTTGGCAGCGCCAATTGATAGATGCATAAAAGGGCTGTCATAACCCCTCCAAAAAGGGGGTGGTTATGGGGCACAAAGCATAACAGCTAAAACGGAGGAACGCAGTTCAAATATTTGGCCAGAATGCGTCAAGTTCCAGCCATGGCCCAGCCCGACTCAAGTGTTCGCCACAGTGGTGCCGATTTATCCAATTTAAATCTATATAAATAAACAGTTATGAAAAACAATTTTGTAAATTTTAAAAGTAAAAACAAACATAAAATTCTAAGTGTAAAATTCTATTTTGATAATTTTGTATACCTTTTTAAGCTTGAGCTTAAGCTTTATTTATTCATTTATTGAATTTAATTTAACAATTTTATTTATGGGTTGTCCACGGTCTTAGCATATTTTGGAAATTGCATTTCAATTTAATCACTTTAACAGCACATAGTTATTTTCTACGACTAGATCAATAGACCGCCTCTCTAATTGAGATTATTTTGCTAACTTTTTTTGTTCAATAATATTAAATAAATTACTTTACAATTTCCTTAATTTATGGAAAACCAAATAATAATCTGCCTTTCCTCCACCTTGAAATGTAACCTATTCAATTAAAAATTTTAGATTCCTGATGTTGAGCTATAATGACAGCACTGTTTATCCTTTTAGTCGAGGTCAAACGGGCAGAACTGGGATTTTCACTGGTGACGTGAGCAGCCAAGTATTTGCGCCCGAGAAGGCAACGCCAAAATTTGTAATTCCCGATGGGAAATTTAATAAAACGGCGGAATGCAAAGCTCGACCGGCCACATCAAAGCATGTCCTAGGTCAGGACTCCCAGCCACCACCCCCGCCCCACCCACTGGCCCCACAAAGAAGCAAAAGGAATTCCTGCATTAAGCTTATTTAAATTTTATTGCATCTATGTTGGTCGATTGCTAGCTAAGGAATATTGGATATTAAGTGGGGCAGCTGGGATACAGGACCTGGTCGCAGTTCCTAGGCACGAGCTGCTGCTGGGGTGGCGGCCAGACGCGCCTGCCACTCGTCATCGATGACCTTGAGCTGGTTCTTGGCGTTGGTCAGCAGCGGCTTCACACAGCGGATCTGCAGCCAGGGAAGGGTGGCGTTGTTGCAGCCACTGATCGACTCCTGCGAGGTGGCCACCACATCCTGGACACGCTCGGCCAGATCAGTGGGAAAATCGGGCTGGGCCAGCAGACGTTCCGCCTCGCGTTGCAGGACTATCGACTGGAAGAAGGAGGAGATCGAGGCGCCTCCAAAGGGAGCGGATGGGACGACCGGAGCAGCAACTCCAGCGGCAGCTCCAGTGCCGGCACCACCGAATACTCCATTCAGGAAGGGATTAAAGGCAGCCGCATAGGGATTGGCTGCCGCAAAGGGATTTCCGGCTAGGGGATTGCCACCAGGAACTCCAGGAGCCTTTCAAAGAGAAAATTATACATATCCTGTTGCATTACAATCCACTTATCCGGGTAGCTGTAGCTTCTCACCTGGGCGCTGATGCAGGCGATGCTGGCCGCTAGTAGAACAATTGCGAATTTCATCTTCTTCTGAGTTCGGTTGGTTCTCAGTCGTTGTGGTTTCGTCGAGACTAATTGCTAAATCTTTTGTGGTGCGGGGCTTTTATACGCCATTAAAAACACACGGAGACGATCTTATCTTTTTATATCTTAACTATATCTAACTACTGCGATTGAACTGATTTACATGTTCTTTGTTTGTTCGGCATTTGCCGGCGTTAAGTCCCCTTTCGGGGGTTATCTGCATAGATAAGAAAAGAACACTGTGCAGGAATGTTTGAAAGTTGCTACTTCATGCGGTGACGTCACCAGTTTTTACAATGCCAAGAGAATTAACTACACCTTTCCGCTTGCAAATCTTAAGCACACTTCGGCAAGATAAAACTGATTGTATTGCGGGAGGGCTGTGGCATATTTTTGCACAAAATTACTTTATTTTACTTTATATTCCATTCTGAGTCATCAGCCTCTTATCTTATTATTTTTCCGACCATTTCTAGCTCTATCTAATCCTTCAGCACTAACAGTAACATAATTTGGTGGGAAAATTTGATTTCTTAACATTTTTAAATCATTACAAAAAGTGGCAAATAGATTAGTCTACTTAAATTTGAATAATGATATGTTAAAGCATTTGGAGCGAAGATGTAAAGGCAGTCTAACAGCTGTTAGCATAACTGCCATAACATTATACCGAAATTCAATAACATCAGATTAACATTTCTAATGTTAATGTTAATTCTAGAAAACTGGCTGTTATAAAACCGCCAATTTTCAAATAAATTAGTATTTCCAAAATGTATTTATTAATAAATAACTAGAACTATTTATAATAAAATAGCTCGGATCAACGTGTTTTCAATAGTAAGAGAAACTTAAATAACAAGGAACAGTTAGTGTTCCACAGTTCATTTAAAGTAAAACGTCACGTGAGTAGATCAATTTATGACATGTTACATTAGTACAAGTAATAAAGACCGCGCGACCTCGCTTGGGAAGAAACCACCTATTTCAAATATAAAATACTAAAATATAGACCTAACAGTAAAAATAAGCTGCCCGGAAATAAATAGATTTTTTGAAAATTTAAATCAAAATAAGTACATTATATCTTTAACATGCCCCTAGAGATGGTGCAAATTCGGTCATTTCAGGGGTATGTTTTCGGTATTTTTGGTAAAAGTATATCGGATACTCAGATTAATCTGCTTCACAGGCGGTCACACTGCTTGCGAGTTTCTTCTGTGCCGTTGCAAATTGTTGTACACAGCCAAGATATTGATTTTTGGCAGCCGAGAGGAAAACGCGACCCAAGAGCCCCCGCCCCCTGCGCGCGACGAGTAGTAGTAGTAACGACTCACGGTCCTTCAAACATTACGCAGCCCAAGGTTCTGGAAAAAATCGAAGATTACGAGCAGAGCTGACCAAAAGAGGGCAGAACGTGCAGAGCAAGCGAAGCGAGTGAAAGTGCCAGCGGAAAAGTAGAACTCGAACGCGATAGCTCTGAATTTCGGTTCCGATTAGCATTGGCATTTGCGCCACAGCCTCCGAAAGCAAAGCGAGAAAAGTCACCACCCCCCGCGAGGAAAAGAAAAGTGCAGGCGCCGCGTAAGTCTTCCAAACGTAAACGTTTAAAAATAGAAACGCTCATCCAGAGCCCATTGATGATTTGATATTGATATTGACATTGAAATCACAAGACAAAATCGAGTCTCGACTAACCCAACCAACCCGTTCACAGCAACTGCGTCGAACCCCCCAGTCCATTGAACATTTGACATTGATTGAGCCCGAGGAAAAACCAGAAGACAGCAGCAGCCATGGCTTTCGCCGGACTCAAAAAGCAGATCAACAAGGCCAACCAGTACATGACGGAGAAGATGGGCGGTGCGGAGGGCACCAAACTGGACATGGACTTCATGGAGATGGAGCGCAAGACGGACGTCACCGTGGAGCTGGTGGAGGAGCTGCAGATGAAGACCAAGGAGTTCCTGCAACCGAATCCCACGGCGCGGGCCAAAATGGCAGCGGTCAAGGGCATCTCGAAGCTGTCCGGACAGGCCAAGTCCAATACGTATCCGCAACCAGAGGGCCTGCTCGCGGAATGCATGCTGACTTATGGGAAGAAGCTCGGCGAGGACAACAGCGCGTTCGCGCAGGCGCTCGTCGAATTCGGCGAAGCGCTGAAACAGATGGCCGACGTCAAGTATTCGCTGGACGACAACATCAAGCAGAACTTTTTGGAGCCACTGCACCATATGCAGACCAAAGACCTCAAGGAGGTAATGCATCATCGCAAGAAGCTGCAGGGCCGGCGTCTCGACTTCGACTGCAAGCGTCGCCGGCAGGCCAAGGACGATGAGATTCGTGGTGCCGAGGACAAGTTCGGTGAATCGCTCCAGCTGGCCCAAGTGGGCATGTTCAATCTGCTCGAGAACGACACGGAGCACGTCTCCCAGCTGGTCACCTTTGCCGAGGCACTATACGATTTTCATTCGCAGTGCGCAGACGTCCTTCGTGGCCTGCAGGAGACGCTGCAAGAGAAGCGATCCGAGGCGGAGAGCCGGCCACGCAACGAGTTCGTGCCCAAGACGCTGCTCGATCTGAACTTGGACGGCGGTGGCGGCGGCCTCAACGAAGATGGCACGCCGTCTCACATTAGTTCGAGCGCCTCGCCGTTGCCCTCGCCGATGCGTTCGCCCGCAAAGTCGATGGCCGTAACGCCGCAGCGCCAGCAGCAGCCCTGCTGCCAGGCCCTCTACGACTTCGAGCCGGAGAATCCCGGCGAGCTGGCGTTCAAGGAGAACGACATCATTACCCTGTTAAATCGCGTGGACGACAACTGGTACGAGGGCGCGGTGAACGGCCGCACTGGCTACTTCCCGCAGTCCTACGTCCAGGTTCAGGTGCCCCTGCCCAACGGCAACTAAGCTGATTCAGAACCTGCTCCCGAATTCCCCTCCCATCCTATCAATCTAACCCATCCTATCAAACTGGCTGAAGACGTACGTAGATCGCGGATTGGAGAACAATAACCTTAATGTTGGTTTCGCCACCAGAGGCGCAAGAGTGGGCAGCAGAAGTAGCCGCAGCAGCAGCAGCAGCACATACATGCAAATATATATATAGTTGAATTAGAAGAGCGGGTTACTACGATTACGGATATTACGATACGGCTTAGCTAGCAGCACAGAGCAGGCTAAATTCATGATGGCCATAAGCAAGCTAACTAAATTTTATGTGCGAAAATTTTACCAGTTGGCAACACAATAATTAACAAATTAATTACGAGTTAAATTAATGTACGTATTAACTAACTAAATTTACAAGATGTTACGCGCGCAATGCGACTTCCTTGCGTTTTCACTTTTGATTCTCAAACGTCAGCGATGTTGTTCGTTGCAATGCGAACTCTTAGTGCTAACTCCACACAATAGATCACGTATTAGAACTGTTAGCCGGCGGCAAAGCAAACACTCTAGCTAAATAACTAAATTACCCGTACTCTCGTTCACCCATAGGAGCGCGTCTTTTTTGTCTTACTTCCTAAGTTGTTCTTTCCTCCTGCCTACGACTTTTATCCGGTCTCATCGTTGTAATTTAAAACTACCTATGCCAATGCGCTCTCTATGCAAGGTCCCCTTATAGGCTAATGCTACGTATCCACATCATACGCCCACATATATTTATTATATACCCGAAATACCTATACCTACTCTACCTACGTATATTTGTGCAAAAACAATACTCCCCACACTCTATTCTAAAAGGCATACGGAATACCGTTCTTGATGTTCGTTGTTCAATGTAAAGAATAATTCAATTTCTTCAAGGGATTAAACAAGCGAAATTTGTATCCTACTTTTTGCTCCTTTTTATGTGTGTTGTTTTTTTGTTAATTATATACATAACAACTATATATATATTAAATGAAATCAAATATATGTATAAATATATTTATTAAGCGTATTATCTACATGTATATTTATTATTATGTATTTATTATAAATTATACTGAGCAGCAACGTAAACAATATAATGAATATTAAAAACGATGATAACAGATAAACAGTACTAGCGGAAAAGTAAATGTAACAGAATCCTCCTAAACAATACCAACCAGCATAAAACTAGTTAAACGATTTCCAGAAAAATGTTGATAATAATAACTCTAAACGTAAGCAATCGAAGCATAGCAACACTTACGAACCTACTAACGCGTTTACTAACCGCAACTCTAGATCAAATATTTATATATTTAAAGAGGAATCCAAAACAAAATGAAAATTCAAACAACAAACCGATAAAATTATTAAAATAGTCTCATGTTGGCATATAACGGAACAAGCTATGCACTATATACGAATGTATATACGTTTAAGCAAGATATACACAAGATATATTTACGTATAAAGCGAAATTGAATTGAAATCCATGCAACTTGTGTTGATAATAAATTAGTTAAAGGCGAATAGCCAGAAAAACCATTTAACAGAATTATATTTGAGAGCGAAGATGAAACATTTGCCTCGTGGACGGACAGAAATCCAGAGCGATCATTTCCAGAGGGTCCCATCTGGGGACCCTCAGAATCGCCTGCGACTATCTTTCCAAGCACACATATTTTGACCCATTGACGAGAGCAGAAGTGTAAACAATAAATATTGTAATTATGCATTTGTGTGGGCGGTAACCTAAATAATATACATTATAAACCATATACATATAATAATTACGCTAAAACTGAAGAACCTAATTTATGCAAACCAAAATTAATAAAATTTAATTTTTAATGTGTCTTTCGTTCAAAGTCATAAATGAGAAAAGACCAGCGTTTACGTTTACTCTTTGATATTTGCCAGCTGACCTTAAAACGTGCTGCCTGTTGTGTAACTATGACTCGGAAGCTACTGAGGTCGGGGATTCGGAGGCGGCGCCCCCAATAAACCAGAGAAGCATTGAAAATTTCGATTTTCCACACAGACACACGAGCGGAAAACTGTGCGCCAACCCCAAGGCAACAGCATCCTCCCCTCCATCATCGACTCCCCAATGGGCATGACATTGAAACGTGACGCAGCATCCACATCCACCCCCTGGACCCATCCTGCCACCCACCGAGTGGGTGAGGTCATGCTGCCAGGACACGAGTGCTTGTCAGTCTGGACTGATGCAACCATTGAAGCTGGCTGGGGAATTCGTTTTCATTCTTTACCATTTCTATGAACTATGTTTGTGAGGGCTTATGAGACGAAAATCAAGGTCTGGATTTCACATTATTGTTTAGTTTTTGCTAACGACTAAGATTTTAAAGTAAACTTGGAAATTATTTCAAAGAACTGATTGGTCTGGAAATAGAACAAGTGTTTACATATGCTTTGATTTTTTTGCTCCGATGCTTTTCGATAAAATTGCTCGTTTTTCTATTAGCAATCAAATGTTTTATTAATAGCTGCATATAAGTGTGTTTTTGGTTGAATTGTTTAATCGATTTAAGTGACAAAAACAGTATTTTTATTGAATCTTAAGTATTTTAAGCTTTATTTACCTCAATAAATATAGTTATATTTTTTGGAACTCTAAAAATACTTCCGCATGGCAAAATATAATCCTTAGATGGTTACTTGAAATTTTCGGTTAAATTTTGCAATCAACATTACAAGATTTTTTGGTGTCTGATGTTCCAAACAATGAATATGGAGAAATACTTTGGAAATGTTGAAATATCAATTTTTATTAATTCATTTTAATTTCAAGACCTTGACTGTTTAAAAAATACAAACTCTTTATTCTGCATATTTGAAATTGTATGATCTCTAAATTTGTGATCAGAACTGTAACAGCTTGTGAAGTGAAAAACAACAAATGGGTTGAGTTATCAGCACTTGGAGTGTTTTTATTCAAGGTGCGATAAGACAACAAACCCTATCTGACGAATACTTAGTCAGACCTAGGAAAGGACCACATACTCATCGTACTGGCCGAGCATCTTGCGCTTGGGCCTCTGCAGTGCCTCGTGGCCCAAAGTTAGACAGGCAGGCTGATCCTTAAAGATGCCCTGTTCCTGCAGGACTGCGTGCGGGGCACATCTCCAGGGATCCTTGGTGGCCACCTGCCAGTCGAACAGCTGTTGTCGGAGTTGTTTGAGGGTGGCATTGTACTTGGGCTTCTCTGCCAAATTAAATCGCTCCAAGGGATCCACCTTAATGTCGTACAGCTCCCATTCGGGCCTCTGGTAGTATTGCAATAAAGATCGATACCAGGGCAGGCTTTGCTTGTTAATTGTGGCATTCAGTATTTGCTGGAAGGTGGGGGAGGTATAGAAGTCCTGGTCGATGGGGAAGTCCGCCCAGTAGTTGATGTTATGGATTAGCTTATAGCGCCTATTCCGCACCATCCTCATGGGATAGGCCATGGTCACCTCATGGTAACTGTGGCTGCCAAACACCGAATCGCTTTCTTTTATCGAAGGTTCTGCTTTCAGTACAGGGAGTATGGATTTACCAACGATCTTGGTGTCATTTGGCTTAGGAATCTGAAGAGCCTCCAGTACACTTGGGTATATATCCAAAAGACTGACCATGGCTGCCGAGGTTTCACGATGGCGATCCTCCTTCTTGGGAGAGCTTATGATCAAGGGCGACCGAATGCCATGCTCATAAAGATTAGTTCTACCTCCGGGAAAAGGTGGGCCATTATCTGAGGTGTAGATCACGAGGGTTTGGTCAGCCAGACCAGCTTCTTCTAGTTCCTTGAGAATCACACCAACTCCCTGGTCCAACCTGGAGATGGTCATATACTGAGCAGCCAGTTCCTGACGCACTACATCCGTATCGGGCAACCAAGCGGGCACCTCCAGATTGCGCCAATCGTAGTAGATCGGTTTCCAGTCGGGAATGCTGCCCATTCCCTCCTCACCGCTGCCCCACCGCTCACAGAACTCACCAAACTGCGGGGTAATATGACCACAACGATGGGGATCATGGAAGCCGACCAGCAGGAAGAAGGGCTTCTTCTCGTCCTTGGCTCGTTTTAGGAACTGCCTGGCATACTCCTTCATCCGGGTGATGTTCCTGCCTATCTGGTTGATTGAATGGTGCTCCTCCGTTTGCTCGTAATCGAACTGGAAATTGAAACCAGGTCCAACATGTTTCTTGCCAATGATCCCGCTATAGATCCCCCCGCCACTTTGATCACGCAGGAGATTGGGAAGAGAACCCGTCTCCGGCAGGACATTGAAGTTGTGAACGCCCTGGTGGAGTCCGTACATTCCACTGGAGTGACTGGCCTGACCGGTGAGCAATTGCGCGCGACTGGGACTGCAACTGCTCACCGAAGTAAAGGCGTTGTTAAACAGCAATCCGCGCTTGGCCAATGCATCCAGATTGGGAGTCTGGCAGAATTTGTTCAGATAGGCGCCCGATTCGAAGCCGGCGTCATCAGCCAGGAGTAGAAGCACATTATGGGGGCTAGCGGAGCATCCGCCAATCACTAATAGCGGAATTATCCAGCGGAGCACCAGCATGACAAATAAATCCAGGCTTAAAGCAAAATAAAATTTAAAAGGCCCTGCGGAACAAGATAATTCACTGAACGTCGTCACCGCACTGAAGTCCAGAGCAAGAGAGTCCAATTCTTTTTAAATAACTACAAAGTCTCTCATTTCTCCGTCTCAGTTTAAGTTCCATTCAATTCGATTCCCAGTTCACGTTTAATCTCTTGCTGACAACAAGAGCTCAGCGGGAGCGCGTCTATGTAGGTACATTCACTTTGCCCGACTTTCTTTCAGAGCGGTTTGACTACAGTACTCTCACGATAAGGAAAACCAAAGTAACCTCCTACCTTTAAATGCAAAATCAATGGAATGGCAAAAGGTGTATATATAAATTCAAACCGAAATCTGTGGAGGATTTTTGTTTGTATTTCTTTAAATTTTTCCATTTTTATCGTGGAATTAAACAAAATTTGAATGAAATTTACTTTGATAAAAATAACATTTAAACGGCGAACAAAAGTTTATGTACAAGAATGTAATATTTTTAAATGTATGTATTTTTTAAATCTTAATAAACTTTAATATCTAGATATATGCGTATGTTTTGATCAAAGAATTTATGTCGATTTTCATAAGATTTTTCTTACAATTTTTCAAATCTTTCCCATTAGAGCTTTATTATCATTAAGATTTTTGAAAAAGTAAAAAGAAAAACGAAGTTAACATTTTTGTCCTTTCATTTTTCTATTGTTAATTTTGCAACAATATGAATAAGTCGAATTTGTCAAAATATAACAATCGTCTATTTCGATAGCCTGTCACCAAATTCACATTAGTTTTCAATTTGTTTAGGCGAAGCAAATATTTATTTTATATCAATTATAGAAAACACAGTCTTTCCGGTGTTCGTTTATATATAAATATCGTGGATTACACTTTGTCGTATATTATTGATATTATTTCATGACTGACAGGACAATCCATTTAAATTAAGTTCAGTTTATTCATTATCAAGACTTCTGGCTGACTCTGGCCATTAGTTGATCAACACGTTGTGGTTTCTGATTTTATCTTGCCACCAGACAAGATAAAAACATGGCCCGTTGGAACCACGTCAGTGCTCCTACGCCAATCCCAAATTGCGATGCTACTATATATGAGCAAAATTATACATCCACAAGCAAATATATGTTTGTATAGGGTGTAGGTTCGTTTTATGTATCACAAAGTGGCTAAAAGCGTAATTTCTTCCAGCGACAAAAGCGTGTCAGAATGTTATGTAAGTGGACAACCCCCGAAAGTGAATAATTTGCCGGCTAATTTTAGCTGGAGGGTAGCTTTGCACTATGGGGCCAACGACCACATTCGTTGGTCAAAACCCATTTAGGATAACATTAACAGAAGACCAATCTGCAATGTTACGTTTCAGGAATTCCGATAGAGTGCGCTTCTGTTAAGATAACATCTGTTAAATCAGTTTGAAGTTTTGAAGTGTTTAAAAAAACAGTTTATAAGTGTTCCTAAAAATTCTGTGATATGAATTCGATGAATGGTGGTGTGTTAAGTGTTTGTGTGTTTAAAGTGTTGAAATCTATCGTGTTGTCTTTATACTTATGTGTTAAAGTGAGTTGTCTAAAACAATTTGCTTATTCCGATTTCGCATTTACATTACACTTTTGTGGAACGGAGAACATTTTGTTTTGCATTTTGAATTCTAGTCACAAGCAGATATAGAAAACAGTCAAGCTATCACATATGTACATATGTGTATTTGTAAAGTATATAATAAGAAAATAACAACTTATGCGATTATCTTGAAAAACAATAAAGTTGTCCGATCCTATTATTTTTGGTATATATGCCTGAGTATACCAAAACGATTGGTAAAGTTTTATCTTTAAAGTTGACCGAGTTATTAATTTTGGCCAACAAAAGTGGTCGTTGGCCCCATAGTGGCAATGGTTCAATCCACCCCTTTTTGGCCTACACTGGTGAGGAAAACTTGCTCGAACATTCGATGAAAAATGTTTAGCGACATCCCAAGATTTCCCCAGCATGTTGCCAAGAGATTTCCTCTGACTCTGGCAACAGGCCAGCAATCAGCTGGGCCAGGCCCACACAGCTGCTGCAACGTGTGGCAAGTGTTGCATCAGCCAATCTGACCCACAGAAAGAGAGAGCTGAAAGAATTCCCCAGCAGGGAGAGAAAGAGTGCGAAATGCTGTACTGATTCGGTTGTTGTTGCTCCATGGCAAGTCGCCAAGCAAGTTGCCCTACAATTTTTAGAACGGACATAGACGACATATTTATAAAGGAGTGGCTAGCTATAAATAATAATATGTTTATCTTTATATTACCAGTTTTTTAATAGCAGTTCTGCTTTAAATATATATTTTGTTTTTATATAATTTTGTATCTTGGGCATTTAGCTCATACACAACAAGTATGCCCTAACTAAATTAAATATATCATCAAATACCTTTCATGAAGGTTTTACCTAGGATAATTTTATCATCTCTGTGTAAATTGGACTCCATTTACCAAAAACTTTCCAGTTTATTAACCCTTTCGGATGAAAGCAAACACACTTGCGTTAAATTACAACCATTTACCGAGATCGTAATTTAACTGTTCCCAGAGCTAACTTTAATCTTTTTTTGGCTCCCCTTATCTTTTGCACCCATTTCGGCCTTATGAGATAGGCCGACAATGTGGCCAAAATGTTATCTTGGCCATTTTGATACTGGTTGGCGCGCGCGAAGCCAAATTTATAGTCATGATTAATTTGTCTTCGATTTTCACACAATCTCAAAAAATTGCATTACCCATAAAAATTTAATTTATTAAATTTTTGAATAGCTAGACAATACAAAAATTTTATTTTTATTTATATTTATATTTTTTTGTAATGATAGGCAATTTAAAAGACTGGTTTGATATATTTATTTTGCCCAGTAAAAATGAGTTTACTTAACAAATGTGTTGATGTTAATTTGATTAATTTTCTCTACACCTTTGCTAGCTACAATGAACTACATTCAACCAGTTAAGGCTTAAAGATCTTACATAAATGAAAAATTAAAAAGTACTGCTTTTGTTCATGTGGCCTATCCTAAGCATCATGACAAAAAGGAGATCCGTCAGTGGAAATATTTTGGGGGCACGGCCATAGAAATAGACACTGCTGCTGAGCGCGTGGATGAGTTCAAGGGAGGGAAGGGTATATAGACAGAGCGGTGGAGCGGATCCGGCAACGACGTCAGCAAAAAATTTATCAACCACGGACAGCGGCAATCGTCCAGCGCTCGCAGTTGAGTCAGTTAGTAACAATACTTCGTCGCGAACAGAACAGCAATTCAGTGAGTCAAGGCAGTCAAAGCTTTCGTGTGTGTCAATCCAAGTGGAATTTGTGAAATTTCGAGTTTTATAACCCAATCTCAATCAATTGCGATTCTTAATGGCATCAACGGCTGAACATCGTTACAAAGATTTCTTCTTCATAGAACAATAATTTCTTTTCGTGTGAATTTTGTAATATAAACTCAACGTTGAGTGTAAAGTTCAAAGAGATAAACTAAGGTTTGCCTAAAAAACATTTGCGAAAGTCGCAACAAATTGGCCAAAAAATAAACAATAACAACGTCTATATATTTTACATACAGTATCTCAGATAAGAGTTGTATCTAGATGCTATAAAGATAAGCGTGCGTGAATTAACACTTGTCAAGTACATTAAACATTCGCCCGATCCTAAAGCACTTTAGTCAACTCCGTGTGAATAATACCACATTTAAAGGCTCTTTGCCCCAATATTATGTTCGTTCTGTCTGCGGTTGGTGCAAAAACAACAGCAACAGCAGCGGCAAGGAAAAGCGGAAAATCAGACATCGCGTCAAGCAAGAACGTCATGCAACATTCGCCTGTCGTTGTCTTCATGTGTGTGCAACATTCGCAGCAGCAGGTTCCCATGCTAAACAACTTTATGTGTATGCGTATGCGCGGCTGGCATAATATCAATTGTTACTGCAATAATTCGATTAATATCCCAACGATCGGCACCGGTACTGGTACGGGTACTAAGATCCTAAAGCGTTCCAAGGTGCTACGAAAGAAGCGGGAGATCACCATCCGCCGTCGCTTTAGCGTTACTTGCTTTTGAAGCAGACACGGTACAGCTAAAATCCACCAGAAATAAGGAGCAACAAGGATCAACATATTTGTGCCGTCGTCATTGGAACCTGCTTATCAAAGCAACATGATGGAGGGTAAGCTAATATCAATAGCTCGAGTATCATCTTACTGACCCCAGCAACATTATTTGTTATCCCAAAGCCAGCAACATTTGTTGCCAGACACTTGTTGCTGGCAGAGTCATTGACATTGGCACTACTTACAAATTACATCGGGTATAGACGAGCCCTCCCTTTTGGGCCTAATAAACAAGCACCTTGATAGGGCATAGAAAATCAACGTTTTTTTGAGGTATCTTAGTTATATGGGCACACATGCTGTTTCCAATGATAATGGTTAAAATGTATTGGTAAAATGTATTTGTCTGATACAACAGGATCGGCACCTACATTCTAATTTATTAAAAACCAGATTTTAAGGTCAATATACGCATATTGCAAAATAAATAGTATACTTAGATTTATATTTCGTCTTTGGATTATTCCTTTAAAAAAGAGTCTTTTAACAAAAAAAAAAATATATATATATAAAATTACTGTTAATTATGTTATGTGGTTCGCTCTCAATATTTCACAAAGTTGGTGAGAGAACACTCAGTTTTATGCGGTTTAAATAAATTTATACAATCAGTCAAAGCGTTTCCTTTAACTAAGAGCAATTCACACCCTACAAATAAAAAAACCACGCCAAAGCAATAAAAATACCTTTTTTCAAACTTAGTCATATTAGCTTCCACACTTTCAGATCACGTTGCAGATAAACTGAATTTATAGTGAATTCCAGATAAGATTTCGGTATCGAACAAGGAAGAGTCTTTCATTATACGCAAATAATTTGCCTATGTGAACACCATTATCTTGCCCTCCCTTGGGTTCGAAAAACGCTCTATCATCGTGAAAAGGCTGAATGAAACCCCCTGGCGGCTGGCCATAAATTTTGGTAGTTTGCCCAAAACTAAGGCATTTTATTGTAGATGGTCGTCTTCGATCACCAAGATCTCGTGCCAGTCGGTGATTGGTGCCAGATCAGCATTTGAAAGTCAGAGTGTGCATGCCATTTGGGGGAAAATTCCACGAATTTTGCTCACCTTTGTGGGCCGGCAATTAAGCTGCACAGCTTTTGGCGGCTGATTTCGGACGTGGCCAAATAGCAAAAACCCCACGCCATGTACTTCTTCGCATATCAGGCCCATTACAAATATCACATGATGACAGTTTTTGCCAACTGCTGAAGCTCATTTTGCGCTTTGCTGATTTCTGTTTTTCAGCGTGACTCATGGATTTCTTTAATTATCAGACAAAAGCTTAGTACAACTGAACAGTTGATATGAATATATGTATGCTTGTGGTTAGATGAAAGCTCTTCGACTCCGAGAATTCGAACAGCTTTTATCTGAGCACACAAATCAAAATAGGTGACTAATACCATAACAGGGAAGCTTTCCTGCTTAAATGTGCGTGAGAGAGCTTAAAGAAAAGAGAAAGACTATACAAATAAATTTCCCATTTTAAAAACTCAACGTATTTTGCATTGTCGTGGGGTTCGGAGTCTTTATTATTAAAGGCCAATCTAGTATAGAAAATGAAAGACTTAGGGTTGAAATATAATGCACAATCACCCTTATTACCCTTTAACCTGATGTATAGTTATTTTACAAAGCAAAACAATACATGCATTTAGCTTTTATAGAATGTATCATAATTTCACGCATTTGAAAAGAAGTTGAGAGATCCTTGTATATTTGTAAGAAAATATGTATATATTGTTATATATTCCCAGACATATTATTGTTTGTATATTTGTAACCTATTTTTTTCAAAATAAGAAAAAATTTAGTTAAAATAAATTAATAAATAAATCAATATTAAAAGAGTCTAGATAGGTTGATCAATTGTTTTAATAGAACTATCTCAATATTATATAATATAAATATTTGATGGCTCTTATTTGCTGCATATATTACTCATAAGACCTACATTTTTTAATTGAATATGCAAGTTCATAGATTTGTATTTATTTTATGGACACAACTTTGTGATAGGTCAGTTGACAAGCGGCGCATTCTGAGATTTTTTTTCCTAGCACCCAAACAACGATGACTCATATATCACACCGAAAATGCTCCCAATACATAAATACTTAAAAAAAGAACCGTGCAGTCATTAATACCTATAATATAGACGTAGATCAACTTTGCAATGTATTGTTTAAAAAAGAAGCACCGGCCGGCTGGGACAAAGGCCTTCAACTTGTAGCTATACTCGTATATGCCAGGGGAATTTCTTAAAAGCAGGCCATCTGGCAATAGGGAAATTTAGCCTTCTCTCGCTCGCGCACAGAAATATTTCAAAGTACGTGTATCTGAGAGTGGGCGAAAGCTCTGCCGCACACCGATAATGAAAAGTATCTGGCTATGGCAAACCGGTTTCTGGGGTGCTTTTTGAATTTCACAACGAATGAAATTCACAGTGCCCAACAGATCCAACAGTTTCGATTCTGTTTGCCGCTAACAGCGTTCCACCGACGGTTCGTTCAATTCAAAACGTAGTGAATACTCCAAGCAGTCGGTTGACTCACAACTCAGATCCCAAGTTGAATAGTACTGCCTATACAGTATACAGTGAATACAGTCACCCAAGTTCCTTTCGCAAGGAAAATCAGTGCAAAGACTTAGCAATAGTTGTTGTTCGACGCGGAGCAACAACTGTGGACATTTGTCGGTATCAAAAGTAATAACCCAGATCCGAGCAACGGCCGGACTTAAACCAATAACTAAGTGGTGGTGCCAGGAACCACCCAACCTATTGCGTAGCAGGAAAGACAAGTGAATTCGCGGTCGGGTTTCCAAAAAAACCAGACCACCGCGATCGAAGACACATTCACCGAATTTATGTAAGTATTGCGATTCTATCCAAGTTATAATCGCTTTACATTCCACATGCTTAGTCAAATACTATATATATATATTATAGAGAGCTTTTTTGTTGTTGTTTCAATCGTCGCCATATTGAATCACTTAAGTGCACTGCTGACGTCACTTACCCTCGAACGAACGCAGATACAGATACAATCGAAATGTACAATACCCAGTTGGGGATTTTTCTAAGAAACATATAATTATAGGGCTCTACTAGTGTTTGTGTTCGTGTGACATTTATTAGTCTGTAATTAGCCAAAGCTCGCGTGTGCTTTTTGGGAAATTTTTCCACTGGCCAGTAATTGCTTTCTGGTGTTGTTTTACCGGCCTCACGATTTCAGATATCTGGTCGCGATAGTAATGTAGCAACACGAACGTGTGCCTTAATTATCTAAGTGTCAACTGCTGATTAGACCCCCCATTTCCCCGATGAACCTATCTGGTGTATAGAGACCTGTTGCCCATGGGTCCGCCATATTGTTGTTTTTGCCAGAGTGGCGGGCCTGTTGTGAAATTCAGAAAAAGCTTTTCGCAACACACGTCGCCCCGAAAAATAGGAGTGTGGTTCCAAGAGAATCTTATCTATAAGATTTGAAAGGAAGCCCTATCGAATGAGGAACCAGTTGGTTGAAAAACAAAATTATCTTTAATTGTAACTGAAAAGTAATTAGGAAAATCCACTCGCCCTTATCAAATTGATCACCTTGTTTTGGGGCCTATAAGTAATGTGCGTTCTTCATTTCTTTGCTTACAGCTTAAGGGGAACTTGTGTCGACGACTCTTTTAGAGCTTGTTTAGAGGGACCCTAACAATTTCATTGTTTCTTTCTAACGGTCAATTAAAAGTGAGTATACAAGATCCTTTTCGTCTCATACAATAAAGCCATGCCACATGATTGCCTGACTTTCTTAGTCCTTGCACCACTAGTTTATAAGAATGTTTTGTAAAAAAAGAAAAAAGACAAAAAACAAAAGAAATAAAAAGAAAAAAGGAGTAAATCCATTAAAAAAGGAGCAATTCCATTCAAAAAAGGAGTAATTCCATACAAAAAAGGAGAAATTCCATTCAAAAAAGGAGTAATTCCAAACAAAAAAGGATCAAAATCCATAAAAAAAGGAGTAATCCATGTACAAAATAACCAACAAAAGGAAAAGATTTTAAAAACACACAGAAAGAAAATGGGAAAAAAATTTAAAAAATAAAAGCATAAGAAAAAATGGAAAGCAAACTAACAAAACATGGTCAAGAAAAGAACACCACTCACATAACCAACCACTTACCCACCCATCTCGACACAAAGCATCAAACATCAAAGCTGTTGAAAGTCGCCAATCAATCATGAGGTTAAAAAATCGTTGGCCAGGCATATCCTTGATATCCCTGCGACACCGAGGCCTGCAACCACTACTTGTACATTTGCTAACCCAACCCAAGCCACAAGATATTTTGAGGCGCGAACACCCCAAAAAGGATCGTGCTTCTGCCCGTCGTCGATCTGTGTAATAACAAAATCTTTTTTCTTTTGTCTATTTTCTTTCACATAAAAATCAAAACAAATATTACGAACACTCTTAACTGCGCTTGCTCCACTCATCGCCAAATCCTGTCCGATTCGATAAAAACTATACGAATACGTATGAATCTTGATATCCTGTCGAACCGAAACCGATCGAAAACGAACCGTACACCAAACCGTAATCTGCCCCGATCGAATTGAAATTTGTTCGACAACAGCCACGTTCAAAATGGCATTCTCCGTCGAAGCCCAAACCAGCCAAGCCAGGCCCAAGAGCGAAACAAACAACAGCATCCCAATCAACCAAGAGCAGAGCAACATCAGCAACACCCCCAAGAGCAACACCCAGAGCAAACCATCCTATTCAGCCAGTAGCGAGACCAACAAGCGGTGCAACACCAACGAGGAGGGCTACCGAAAATCCCAGAGATATAATATTGATGATCCAGGAGCCAGCACGAGTACAGGCGGCACCCACATACGAGGCGACAACCCAGGAGGACAACGCAGCATACCCGAATCCAGCGGCTGGCGCGACAAACTCGTGGCCCAATTGCTGCTGCTCTCAGAGGAGAACGACGCCAACGGGGCTTATGAAGGATTCGCCTACGTCAACGATCACCACAATACCGATCGTGATAGACAGCAAGCCAAATCCCAGAATTCTGCTGATCAGAGTGCCCACAAGCAACAGCAGCAGCAGCAACAATCGCAGCGGGACAGAGCACAGAACGCCTCGAACTCGCATCATAAGAATACCCTTTTTACCAGGGTCGGTACCAACGCGTCCGCCAGCCAACCAGGCCTCGCCTGCCACGAGTCCTTTAGTAAATCCGATCGGTTCGGAGAGGAGGTCCCGTATCTCAGTGTACCCCACGACTGGGACGCCAACATCCCGATCGCAACCAGACACGGTGGCAGGTTTACCGACTACGGCAATGGTGAACCAAACGGTCCCGGTTTCGTCAAGCACGCCTCAGACACAGACCCTGGCAGCCATGGCTGGTCTCCAGTTGACAGGTGCGGACGAGCCGCCATCCCGCCGGGATATGAGTGGAGCAATGCCTACTGCCACAGTTGAAGAGATAGACGTTCCGGTGTTCATTGATGGTGAGTACTGTGTTTTGTGTGTGTGTTGCCTATGTACCCAGCACTCTCTCATTACTGTTGCTTTAAAAAAGAAATCAAAAAATCAATCAAAAAGCGAACAAATGATTCACAATCAGTTGGAGAAAGAGTCAGATAGCAGGCATCGAGCACGGCCCAGGTTCCCAAGGATCTGGCGCCGTCGCTCTGCCAAGGACGTCGAGGTACAGTCACCACGTAGCGGACGAAGGCGAAGATCACAGTGCAATGACCCATTGAAGAAACGAGTGAAAGATTGAGGGGAGGGCTGGGGGCCAAAGGTGCCCCCTCCCCGCCCCTGCTCTCGGTAAATGGCAACGTAATCACTCGTACGATCAATATCGCCAAGATATTTGATCTATGTACTTCCATTTATCGGTCAATTCTTTCCACAAATGCTTCCAACACTTTTCGTAATCTACCTAACAGGTTTTCAACACTTTTCGTAATCTACCTAAAATTTTAATTTGAAGTATCCCTATTTCCTCCGTTTTTATTAAAGCGTCGTCAAAAGCAAACAGAAAATTTGTCTTATAAATTTGGCCATTTTAAAATATAAACAAAATATATAAAATTTTTGTATTATTTTTCTCAAGAATTTAAACACTTTACCCCTTATTAATTACACTCCAGAAGTAATTAAACGCTAACTATTATTTTTCTTCGCAATTACTTTTCTTAAAAATTGTCAATATATTTGAAGCTTTCGAAGCTTTCCCTAGTTCACAAATTTACAAAAATTTATTTAGATTTATCTAAATAAAGGTGATAACCCAAAATATGACTCATTTTTCTACCCTTGCAGAGGGTATTATCAGAGGGTATTATCAAAAGTTTGCAACGTAGTGAAGGAAACATTTCGGACCCTATAAAGTATATATATTCTTGATCAGCATCACCAGTAGAGTCGATCTAGCCATGTCCGTCTGTCCGTCTGTTTCTACGCAAACTAGTCCCTTAGTTTTAGATCTATCTGCTTGAAACTTTCCCAAAAATTGTCTTTCTATTGCAGGTAGTGCAATATATATATTTTACATATAGCTCCCATAGGAAAAACAAATTTTATTAAGTATAACTTTGTTTTTAATTTTTTTGTTCTCTGGGATTTGGTAATATTTTAATACTATGGAATTGCGGTTTTTATTAAATTAAATTCGTTCATCTATATCATAGCCTCCATTTGAAAATCCAAAAATTTAATATGAAAATAGAATTTTTTTTTGCTGTCTTTCTATTTATCAAAATATTTTTTTGAGATATAGTTAATATCATATAGCGGCCAAAGAAACGATAGCAAAAATGCATCGCAAAATCCACATAGCTTTATTGTTTTTAGTAACAAAGGCATAGAAATCGAAATTTAGTATTTTGGTAATAATTGCAAGGGTATATATGTAATCTTCGGCTTGCCGAATTTGACTTCCTTTCTTGTTGAAAATCCTATTAACTTTTATTAATCAATAATCATCACAAAGGACTATCTAGTCTTACAATTCTTCAGGTCAATTTCAATTTTTTTGCGACTTAAAATAAAGAAAAAAACAATGCAAAACGCTTTTACGGTCACATTTCTTTTACATAAATATAAAACAAATGCATTATAACGTAACTATCACTTTCGTTAGTTTCCGAATTTTCAAATTTTATAATAACACTTACCTTTTCCAAGTTTTAATCACAGAAGAAAATGGTTTACATTCCTCTCGTAGTTTCTTACATTTCGTTGTAATTTTTTAATTGTTTTCAAGTATATCATTTATTACTTTCAAGAGAATTTGCCTAGCAACAATTTATTACCCGGCACAGTGTTTCCAATGTTGTTTCCTTTTCATTTTCTTTGTTAAAAGTTCTTATCGCCAGTGATGCTACACGCACGGTTCCAACCTAAACTGAATGCGCAATTTTAAAACATTTTTGTTAGTGTTTATTCGTCAGCACCCGTAGAGGGAACAAAAACGAAAAGCGAAAAGAAATCGTCGGACAGAATGTATCCATCTTGTGTCATATAAATGTGCTGATAAATATTTTGCTAATATGTGTGAAAACATTTTAATACATATGTGTAATCCATAAGCGTACACTGTCCAATCAGAAACAGAGTTAATGTCATACCACCAACGATTGTTGTTTTTTTGGTAGATGCATTGTATTAGTGTCCGATGAGCTGTTCGATTTTCATTTGGCCGCAATCTTTTGTTGTAGAAGAGTGTGCGAGTTAAGAAATTAATATTTTTTCAGAACTGATAAATTGAGAATGGTTGGTTTGATTTCCGGCCGTTGAGCTAATGCTTTTGAGCTTGTACTTGCAATTTTCCCCAAAATAAGTATTGTTTTTCAAGTATTGTGTACCTTGTGACGTCAAAATCAAGAGAGTGCAACAGCTGATTCATGACCCAAATTTTCGCAGCACGTGTTTCTAGCCGGCAACTGCAATAAGTTGTCTATTCACTCACACATTTCTTTACATATGTATGTATGTATATATGCATATGTAGAACGATGTTTAAAACAATTTATTAATATTAAATATTAGATTTTGATAACTTAATTTTAAAATTTAATTGTTGACAGGTTCGCTGCAATTATTAGGGTTTTCCATATTGTTGTGAAATTCAATCAGAACGATCCGCAAAATTGCGAGTGGAAGAGCGTTAGTTTGGCTCCAAACACGGACACCTGTGTGGTGGGTGTGTGTGAGTTTGCTCTCCTGACTTCGCTCTAGTTCGCTCTCACTATCTCATACTCGGTTTCGTTCGGCATACGAGCAAGTCGCGCATCTTTCAGCGAAAGAGATAGATAGATAGAAAGGGGAAATGTATCCCACAGACACAATTAAACCCGTTCTTTTACGAACATACATATGTACATATGTCAGTGTGTTTGGTTTTTGTTAAAATGCATTGCGTATACGCAATATTTCGGCTTAAAGAAGTTTTAATTTAAAAATTTTGCTTTGATTTTAGTGTTCTAGTTTTCTTCCTTTTGTTTTTTTTAACTCTAAAGTTAAATAAACCTACATACATATGTTTAAATAATAATCCTATGTTTTGATCTATTTATGCTCTTTTAATTGGAAACGCACTGCCTTATTTGGTAATATTATATTTTCGCGAACCTTCTTCGCTCTGATGAAATCCGATTGACAATTTTATTGGTTTGTATTGCATTTCAAACAGTTAACTTATTTTCGACGGCCTATGGCCGATCAAAAATCTTTGCAATTATCAGAACACTTTGTAGGAGAAAGAACATATGTACATACATACATACAAAAGTACTTGCTTCGGTTTTGAGCGAATCCGAACCAGTTGCGCTGTTCGCTGTTGGTGTAGGGCTCTCTCTCTCTCTCTCTTGCTGCCGCACACTAATGCAGGCCGATGATATTGCCGGGTTCTCGAGCCACAGACGAAGTTTTACCTCGCAACCTCACTTTGCATTGAGTGGTGGAAGCGTCAAGTGGTCTTTTTCAATCTCCGGATGAAATAAAAATAATATTTGTCGCGGTATATTAAACAACCAACTAAGGTGAATATTTACTAGAACTTAAATCTTAGCCGTTTTGAATTATTCTTTGTATTCATTGGATTATAATTTGTTCCGTTTTGAAGGCTTTCTTCTCATAATTCACCATTATTTTTGTTTTCTTTATGCATTTTTCTCATTTTTAGATTTACATACATACTTTATTGTGTCACAATTCTTGCGTTTTTGTACTTGAAAAAAAAGTGTTTGAAGTCATCCCTTAACTTACACACGCACACACACACACAAAAGTGAGGGCAACGCAAGCAGGAACGATCATGTCTGTTTTTGTGTGGTTGTTGTTGTCAGTCGATTGTGCCCATGCGTCATCGGGGGGGATAGCCGGTGTCTTTTCTATGAATGTGTGCGTGAGGGGGGCAGTTAAAAAGAGGAACCATGAAGGAATCTTGTTGACCAAAATCGCACGTTTAACTTCTTCAAATTGAATCAATTGGCAAAAAAGTAATGAACGTTTAATTTTAATAATTGTTTTTAGAGTGATATGTACTAAAGGAAAACTAAAAATGCTGCATATCTGCATTTTTAATTACTAACACATTCAAAGTATTTTATTTGCTAGCACATATATATGTACATATGTACATATTTAACAAATGTTATTGTTTTATCTTTTCTTCTTTAGCTAAAATTTGTTATTCCTGCTCGTTGTTGTTATTTTTCATGTTGTTTCATTTTCCTTTCGTTTCTTTAATTTCACAATAAGCGAGAGAGCGAGCGAATCAGTGTGTAAAACACCGAAAGCGCTGCGTGTAAAATTGTGAGGTCGAGTAAAATTTAATGGTGGCGAATCTTTGTAGAATCAATATGGTGTAGATAGTATGTACATAGTACACGGTCTTACAAAAAAATATTCACTTGAATATGAATAATAGTATTATATTACAAATTAAGATTTACAATTTAAAAAATTCGAATTGAATATTTTTAGTTGAATAATGTTGCGACAGTAATTACTCTAACAATTTACTGATATGTCACCCCTTTCTCCAAAACCAACAAAATTGGGTACCTAGAATTTAATCAAATTTACACTCACTTATTTAATATTCAATATTTAATGCTCGGTACTAATAACATTTTTTCTTTGTCACAGAATACCTGCAAGATATACAAGCTACTACATCGACGTGCAGCAGCGAAAACGGAAAGGAGATTTTAACTGAGACGGATATTCTTGACTTTGATATAAACATGTTTGCCGAGGATCTTATCGTGCTTGAGGGCAAGAATACGGATTCCTACAGTCCGGCGATGGACGAGATGAACAACGACAACCTAGACAACGACTTCTTATTTATGGATGCCCCGGCGCTGGCTAACGAGGAGGAGTCCATGAACATGACATCGATATTTGCCATCAATATTACCCCGGTGCAGGACGACGACCTCATTAACGCAGTACCCAGCTCGCAGCAGCAGGCTATGCTTACCACCTCTCAGCAGCAGGCTATGCTCACCACCTCTCAGGACCCCTACCTGTGCACCTTCTCGCAGGCCACATCCACATCCAGCACCACCAAGTACTTCACGGAGGAACCCCTGATTTCCGACGCGGCCAGCTACGAAACCAGTAGTCTCTACGGGTACAGCCAGGAGACGCTCGGCTTCGGCCTTGAGGAGGACGTCAGGCCCAGCGGCAGCCTTGCCTGCAGTGCCGCCGACGTCGCCGTGGCCACCCCAGCACCCATTTGCCATCCCATCATCTCCGCCCTGAAACGATCTGCTCCGGCCCCCGTGGTCGAGTCGCAGACGATCAAGCGCGGCCGACTGGCGCTTAAGATCGACAGCCAGTCAACGCCAGTGTCCAGCCCGAGCACGCCCGAAATCATTGAGCATCTCCTGAATTTTGATAGGGTAAGTTCTTGTAAAAAAATATTAATCTCGTGACTTGAAGGTCGATTTCCCAATGTTGTTAAGCTAGGTTAATTAAAAATGAAGTCAAGTTTATCGGAAACCATAACAATGAGGAAATAGTCGTCTTTGTAGTTAACCTTTTTGTAAACAGTCCCCAACATTATCTAATTCCTTTCTTCTAATTACAGCTCGAGGCCGCCAACACCAGTACCACCACCAACAACACCTCCATCAACAGCATTACCAGCACTCAAGCAGAAATCGTAGAGGATCTACGCAGCGCCGAAGAGGAGACCACCAACGACTTCTCGCCGCCGAACACGCCGCACAGCAACTACTCAGCCAGCTGTAGCAGTGCGGTGCCCACCTGCCAGACGGGATTCGGTGGCTTCCTCACTGCTCCCGCCTCACCCGCCTACTCGGTGGCCAGCACCTCCCAGTTCAGTCCCTCGCCATCCAACGGATCCAATGGCAAACGGAAGCGCGGCCGTCCTGCCAAGGATCATGCCGACGGACCCGATCCGAGATCATGTCGCGCATGAACGGCGACGAGAGGAAGGCGTACCAAGACAGGATCAAAAACAACGAGGCCAGCCGAGTCTCGCGCCGGAAAACGAAGAAGCGCGAGGAGGAGGAGAAGAGCGCCGAGGACGAGCTGGTAGCCGAGAATCAACATCTGCGTGCCCTGGCGGAAGCTGTGGCGTCCCAGCAATCCAAGTTAAAGAAGTACCTGATGGAGCGCCAGCGGAAGAACAGCACCTACGTCAAACAGGAGCAGCATTAAGATTCTCGTAGCCATATACTAGATAGTTACCTACTGATTGTCGCTTATAGCGGTGAATAGCCTTAGTCCGAGGATCCCTCGTAGTCATCCATTCGATTAGTTACTTAAGTTGTCGTTGAAGAAGTCGAGAAGCAGAAATCCAATTTCCATCTGAACATCAATCTCAGGTGATTGATGTAAAACGTAAAACATTTAAGCCATTTATTAGGCATAGGAGGCGCCCTTAGCGCGCGAGAAGTGTTTAACTATAATTATATTTTTATTATGTTTGAGAAAACTAAAATTTTTACTCGTTTTTTGTACCCACATATATGTTTTCGTCCTAAGAGTAATCAGTAAAACCAGAAAAGCATAAAAAAAATAATGATTACGATTTCGTATGTTTTAACCCCATTGATGAACAAAAAAAGTTACAAAAATGTCAACAAAAAAATATGCTATTGTTAAGAACAATAAAATGTATGTTTTACAGATATGACGATATATAACCGTAATCGTAATTGTTTGAATAAAGTGCATGTTTCAAGCATGACAAAATCACAACATCTTGTATTGACTTTGAGGGCGAAGGCTAATCAATTTTATTGCAGGGTCTTCTTGATTTTCAGAAGAAAGACTACGGATGCTAAATCCGACAATTGGATTTACTAGCTTTAAACCTCAATTGGCGAGAAGTATTAACCAAAATTAGTTTGAGGAATTTCCGAAAGAATTCAATGTACAATTTTTATTACAACCATTACGGGGTCACAGATTACATACAAAATTCGATTTTTTGTTTTTATTTAACTTTAAATCATATTCTTGTAAACATACTATATGATCGTAAACTAAGGATTGCACCGACTTAAAATTTTGATCAACTGCCAAACGGAATTAACTAAAAAAGTTTGGGATAGACAATTGGAATTTGGATATGACCCCACAACAAACGACGACAGTGCGACCACAACTTCGCGATTCGAGATTCAGCCAATTGTGCGGGTGTTATTCACGGCAATTACTTTACCACTTGGTTTTGAATTGGGGGGCAGTGCAATTTGCTAGAGGTTTGTTGCGTGTGATGACAGTAAATTGCGGTAGCTGCTGCTGTTGGGTAAACATTTGAAGTGGCCTCACGCGTCGCTCTCGGGGGAATGGGATTCAAAGCAGCGGTTCAATTACGCCTGCTGCTCCTTTGACCCGTAATTGTAGTGCAGGAAGCGCAGACCCTGGATCGATTGGGCGGTGGCATTGGTGGCATGGCAGGCGAAGAGCAGCCAGTTACGGGGCTGGACCTTGTAGGCGAATCGCATGAAGATGCACGAGTAGAGGGTCAGAGCTGGGAAGGAAAAAAAGTAAGATTAGCCTTATTAACGAGATTCAATAACAGAAGCACAGATAAAAACATAGTCGAATTTGTTGAGGGTATCTTATCAAAATGGATCTGTAAATTAGTCAATAAGATAAGATGAGAAGATTTTATGGGGCCAATTTGCTAAATTTCTGAACTTGGATAGATGGTTGCAAAATTAAGTTCAGACATGCTAGTCATTTGTGTAAAAAAGCTATTTTTAGAAAATGTTAATATCGAAAGGCATGATTTTGCTAAATTTTTTAGTCTAAGATCTGGTTAGGCATTAAATTAAACTGAGCTTAAGTTTTTTCTCTGTGTTGTCTAATCGGCAGCCGTTTCGACAGTTCCCGTATCTGGCTTATCAAGCCATATAGAGTGATTTGTTTAGAGCATATCACAGCGGCACTGATTACGACATCTTAAGCGGAAACTTTCGATGAAAGCGCGTGTGTTTGGTAGACAGATTATGGCCAAAATCCAGGTAATTCCCCTACCCAGTGTCATTTTGCCGGAGATAAACTTGGGACTCTTTTGTGTGTCGGCAAGAGCAGCTACCGGAATACCCCAGTTGGCCACCGGTCCCCAGAAGTGGGTACTGTCGATTGAAAGATCATCATTACAATATGTTACGATTTGGAATAGTAAACACACAAACCTCATAAAGTAATCCCGCCACTCTTTGGAGGACGTTGTGGACATGGCTCTCCTGATCGACATGATGCTACCGACTGCTAATTGAAAATATCTAACCAGGAAAATTAATCAGACGCGCACCTGGTGGAATAATTTAGATTAGATTGTCTCTGCCGCGCATTATAGATCCGAAAAATCCCCTCAAGGTCTTACAGGTTGTTCGTTGTTGTGTCAGCTGTTGTTCTTGTTGTTTGTTTACTCTGCCTGGAAAACCTTGATCTAGAAAACAAAAATTTTGGAATTGCAGGATGCGACGCAGGTGTGGGATGAGGGTATCCAAACTTGTACACAGTAAAATTTTTTTTTTGTTTATGTGTCGGCCCTGTCGCTCCGAAAGTTATATAAAAATTTGTGAAACGAAAGGCGAAACGAGTTTGCTCTGCTGCGTCGCTGCAGCGTCGAAATTATCGATAACTCATGCCATCGGTAGGCATCGAGGGTCACACTTAGAGGTGGACAAAAAATAATGCGATACTTCAGAACACAATATATTTGTTCAATAGTTTTTTGTTGAGTTAAAATACAAGGCTGTTTAGCAATTTACCAAAATATATGTATGCTTAATATTTTAAGTTGTTAACACATTAAAATATTTAAGTAATCTCCACTCTGCCTCCAGTTTTCAATCGAGTCAGCATTTGACTACTTAACGCGATTATCCTGTCCACATTAAGATAACTGCACAACTCGAGTTACAAACAAACTGTTTTTAATTAGATTTTGCTACGGATTTAAAGAATTTCTGTTGTCTGATCTTGTGGTATTAAAGTATTGTGGTATTACTTAACTCCACTCAACTCCATCATTTACTATACTAAACTTATGCAAAACAAGAAAGGAAGCAAACTTCGGCAAGACAAAGTTTATATATGTACATACCCTTGCAGTTATTATAAATCGACTACATTTCGATTTCTATGCCTATATTACTAAAAACAAAAAAGCTACATATGTCGTATTTTGGCCTGAATTTTGCCATTCTTTCTATGGCAGCTATATAATATTGTTGTCCGATTTTAATTTAATTAAAACCGTAATTCCATAATATTTAAATATTACCAAAAGATTTTAAAATAAATTAAAAACAACAAAGTTATAATTTTTAAAAATTTTTTTTCCGATTGTTCCTATGGGAGCTCAATGATATAGTCGCCCGATCCGGCTCGTTCCGGCTTATATACTACCTGTAATAGAAAGAGAACTTTTTGGAAAGTTTCAAGCAGATAGCTTTAAAAGTGAGGGACTAGCTTGCGTAGAAACGGACAGACGAACGGACAGACGGATAGACGGACATGGCTAGATCGACTCTCCTGGTGATGCTGATCAAGAATAGATATACTTTATAGGGTTGGAAATGTCGCCTTCACTGCGTTGCAAACTTTTGACTGAAATTATAATACCCTCTGCAGGGGTATAAAAATCTTAACACCATAACTAGACGTAGTATAAACTCATCCTAGGGTCAAAACTATTTTGTTCAATCTACGCATAAATATATTTCAGAATTTAAGTAAGTTCAAATTTAGTTTGTTTTTAAGACAGTTTATATTTTTGAGAATATAACAAAATTGCTATTGTGCTTACGAATACAATAATACTTATTTTTGTTTTTAAGTTTTTTATTAAAGCATTAAATTTTTAAAATATTATTTACTATATTAATATTTACAATATAGTTTTCTTTAAGTCTTGAGATTTTACTGATATTAAAACCATTGCAATGGTTTTCGGGTGAGTGTCATGGCAGCGAACTGATACTAACTGCTGCGACACTCGATCTTCGATAACAACACTGTTGGTGGAAGGCTTTTTCCTCTCTATTTGCCCCGAAATGGGGATACTTGATGTGCATTAAGTTGGCTAATTACGCCAAATTGTAATGTGCATTTATAACGCATTTGCTGAAGTGCGGCGCCACAGTTTTCAAGTGCATAATCCACCACGCGTTTCCGCTCTCCAGCTAAATCCCGCTCTTCCGCCGCTCTTCAACGCAGGACGAAGAGAATTGGGGCGATGGTTTCTGCGCTGACAGCCTGCGCCTGAGTCCTTGGCCGCGGCAGCAGAGGACCAAAGCAGCAGCAGCATCCGAGGACCAAAACCGAAACCGAAACTCCGGCTCAGTGTGAATTTGCGACTCGAGAGCGACGGCGGCTCAAAGGAAACTTGGCTCGGTAAATAGTCCCAAATGGATCCTGGCAACAACAACCACATCTTTTGGCAAAACAACAAAAAGTAGCGGAATAGGCAAATGGAAAATGCCTCTGCCGACGTCGCTGCCAGCTTGTAATCCTCGTGTGTGTGTGTGTGCGAGTGTTTATGTGTGGTCAGTGTGCCGTTTTGCAAGCATTTTCCATGTGCGGTTCCCAAGAAAAGCGAAAGAAAATACAAATCGTGACCAAAAGCAAGCTACAAGAATGCCCAAAAACAAAACAAGAATTTTATGTTAAACAAAAAAAGAGTCTTTTAAAAAACCATGTTGACAACGCGTCATCAGTGGCCGCAGCCTCTGGAAATCTCGAAAACCCCCCTTTGAAAAAACCAGAAAAATCAATCCCCCGCATAAAGTGGGAGTTGTGCTTTTCTTTTTTATTCCCCCTATCGAATTTGTTGCTAGTTAGCATGAACTTTTCATACATTTCTCCAGCAAGTCTGCCAAAAATGTTTTCCACGCGAGAAAAAAAAAAGAAAAAGCTTAAGAGAAAAGCAAATGAGCCGCTCCCAAAAAATTCGAATTTATCAACAACAACAAGAGCAAAGGCAGGAAGAAGCAGCAGAAGGAGGAAAGGAAGAAGAAAGAGCAACCACAACAACAGACAAAGAAATGCGAAAAAGATAATTCAAAATCAAAGAAAGGATATTACAAAAGAACAAAATTGTAGATTTATTTAGATTAAAAAAAACTATATAAAGGTTTAGAGAGAGACAAAACAAAAATATCTTATTAGGAACATCCAAAAATTAATTTAAACTTAAAAATCTAGAAGTTGCAAAAATGTTCATTAAAATGTTACATTATATATAAGTAAAAGCTCAGGGCGATAAATGAAATAATATTTAAGAAACAATTAAAATTATACATTTTCCAAATTTAAAAGCAGTTATTTAAAGAGAAATACAAACAAATAATAATAGGCTTACATTTTGAAAAATGAATTAAATAAAATGGGCACATAAGAAAAACATAAGCACATGCAAAACAATAGGAGAAATGTAAAAATGATTAATTGTATTTGTTTATAGATAAAGGCGTAACTCATAGACCTGGTGTAAGAAGACCTACTTAGAAGGTCTTTGTCGTTAGCTGGAGGCTTGTATTTTTACTGGGCGAGATACTCGCACATAATTATTCGCTCCTGGTGGCGCATTTCCGAAATGTCCCCAAAACGGCTCAATTGAATAAGTGCCAAATAGAGGCAAATAGCGCTCCTCAGGCTCACTTAAGCGCACTAATCCAGTGCGACTAGTTAAAGTGTCCGAATCCAAATCTGTTCACTTGTTTGCTGTTGATTCAATCAAGCGCAAGTCAGTACAAACACCCGCACCCACACCCGCACACCCACAATGCAGAGAGCTCAATGCAAATTGAGTTTATTGTTCGGTCAATTGAGGAGAATTTGCTTAGGTGCCCTGACAGCACTCGTAAGACATTTTATGGCCCGTAAGCAGATGAGGTGATTTGCGTTTAGTTGCCTGCCTGCCAGCCGTGCGAGGAGTTCAAGATCCGTGGAATAATAATAATAGCCCCGGCTAAAGTGGGCCCAAAATCCTTTGATTTCCCCAGGAAAGTGTCTCGAGTGTGAAATGCCAAGTTGAGAAGTGGAGAAACCAGCAAGGCCCAAGTGCAAACCAAAAAGTATACAACAAAAATAAATACAAAGCAAACGAAAGTGTTCAGCAACAAACATTCCTCGCCCGGTCACTGGATCAGGATATATATATATACTCATATAGCATAAGCATCGGGATTTCCCAAGGATCCACTGACTGCAGCCTGCACACAGATGCAGCCCTAAGTAAGTACGACTGCAATTAGCATTAGCATAGCCACTAAGTCGACAGCCGAGTGCTTTTCAGTTCAGTTCTGGCTTTTCCGACCAAAAGGGCGTGTGTTGTATCCTCGTCTCTCAGCATCTCTTTTAGCCTTAGTGTTATGTGCGTGTGTGTGTGGCGCTTTCTCTCCTCGTTATTGTTGTTGTTTTGTCGTTGCTGTTGGCGTTTTTCATTGATGTTGATGGCCTGGTACATCATCAACTTGCTGCTCGGCTGCGCCTCTTTACTTTGTGTGTAATAAAATTGATGATAAAATAAAAATGGATAATGGGCGATTTTCGGTCTTCGTATCCGTCTTCTCGGAGAGTTTTGAGCTGAGAGCCAAAAGCCATCAGCCAGGAGTCAAGAGTCTGTTGTTTACCGTCTCTCATTTCTGTGGCAATTTACCAACACACACATAGTGCTCATTTCTCTTTTGTTCATCACCACCACCACACGCACTTTCTCTTCGGCTCTCTTTCTCTTTGTGATAGTGTGTTCTTTGTGGGTTTATTGTATGTGTGTGGAGGGGGTGCATCCTGTGGCTGATAAGAATGCTGCACAGTTGTTAATGGATCTGAAAGCCTGCCTTAAAATTGCTACATTTTAATCGCGATAAAGCGGGACGCCGATAAAATTTAAACAGGAGGCAAACCTGATTTCTGCAGAAGAACTTCAGAAAACGTAGTTCGTTAGAGAAGTGGAAATATTTTTAGGGATATAAACGATGTAAAGCATCTTTTAACGGTACTAAATATTGGTGTATATTAAGGGGATTTTTAAGTTGAGAAATAATAAACATAAATGTTCGCAAACTTAACTATTTTAACTCGGAATATAACAAGATATTTAATTAATTGTGAATGGTTTCACCATTTAATTACTTCTAAAATTAGATTTTTCAACAGCAGTAATTTTTACAAAATTTGGAAAAATCTGAAACAATAGGCGCTTTTTTATATTTAAAGCAATTGAAACCTTTTGCTTATTTGGAAATGTGTTGGGAAATCATAAATCATAAGCTAGTCTGTTCATTTTAGTAGAAAAATTGATCTGAATCAAAATTTTGTAATATAATGTAATTAATTTGTAATATTTGTAATTTAATTAATAAATACCAAGTCTTTTTACGAAAATGCGCCCCTAATGTTTGTTTATCAAATATAATGAATACAAACTTTGCCCATTAGATAAGATTTGGCCATCATTGCCATACAATTTTCCAAATTGAATCATTAAAGATTCCTATTGATGGGTAAATTTGATTTATATAACAAAAGTAAGGCAGCTTTTTGTAGCCAAATCTAAAAACTGTTACAAAAAATTCCACTCGGGTTATAGATAAAGAAATGGGCAAAATGTTGTAGCTATTTAATAATGGAGATGGGCCCGGATAAATACATGGAATTAGACGAAATACAGGGAGCTCAAGGTTCCCGGCCCCCAGGATGTTGAGTAGCTAGGAATAGGACATTAAGGGAGCACACGTTTCGTCTTGGCCTGAGCCTGGCATAATTTGGCCGTCGTATCGTATTTAGCCGGGTTAATTACCGAACATTGTGTTGATGGCTTAAGCGTTTCATGGGGCGCCATAATGTGGCTGGCGTGTCCTGGAGGCGCTTTTTAAAACGCTGCCAATTGTTGTCCTGTGAGGCATTGTTGTTGTTGGTGTTGCTGTTGGCAATTGCAGATTGCCCGCAATGGTTTCTTGGCCGCATTGAGACTTCCGGCCCGATGCCGTGGAAATGACTGCGATAAGGTTAAATATTTAATAGGTTTTCCGGCTCCCTCAACTCTTCCTCCTTCGCTCGCAGGCTCTCAGATAATTTCTCTAGCGACAACTGTCTGTCTGTCAGTCAGCTCCGTCCCTTTCTTTGTCTGTCCCTGTCACTTTGGAAAACTTTTGCAGCTGCCTCGGCTTTTGTTTTTGTGTTTTTCTATTTTTTTCTGTTGGCTTAGCTCCTTTTTGCTGTTTCCTCTTGACTATTGGTGATGGCAGCATTTTAGAAATAAATTAAAATTTCATTTAAGTGCCTTTCAGCTGAAAACTTTCTTAATTACAAATGTTTTGTTGTCTGTTTCTGTGTCACCCACACCCATTATACCCTCCCAAAAAAAGAACACCCCCTCAATGTCTGTCAATCGATGGGCGTTAAGTGTTCTTTTGCATGGACAGTTCAAGGTTAATCTGGTCCCCCATTACGTGTTTTTCGATTGGTTAAATGTGTCAAGGTGGTGGTGGTCAAGCGCCCAGAGATATCTCGTCCGAAACCGCACTTCTGATAAATTGCCTGCAAATGGCCGCAGCCAACACAAATACGTATGAAAATAAAAATATAGACAAAGGAGAACGCTGACATATCTTAGTCATGAGCAGGTGCCCCGGAACTCTGGCAGTTGCATGCAAAAATAATCAAGCACAAATGGCACAGCAGCAACATCAAGTCCCCGCAGCAACAAGCCATGCACTCAGCCCACACAAACAAACAGACAAACGGACAAACCCACCGGGGAAATGTGGAATGAAAGAAGGAACTTTTGGAGCGCTCTTCGCATGCACTTAGATGAAAACGACAGCACCAGCAGCGTCCACAACAAAGAGCAGCAAAAACAACGGGCAGGACGAGTAATGACAGCAGCAACAGCAACGCCAAGGCAGCAGCAACTGAGCCAGCCACCGCAGCAACAATGGGGCCAAGTCCTGGCCACGCCCCTCACATGCTGGCTTGTCTGGCTGCCAGTGGCGATTCAGGGATTCATTCATCCATTCATGCGCTCTGGACGACAACGGCGATGTCGCCGGATGTGTGGCAGTGGGTGGTGTACACCGAGGGAAATGCGGGGAAACTGGTTCTGGTTAAGTGCAAAGGTGTTTCCTAATCCACCGACAGGTTTATACCCACACGGCTTTGCTTGAGTCATCAAAAGTTTCTGAAACAAAGAAATATAAGTTCTTCAACTCCTGTCATTCATTTTTCAATCATGTGAATTGTATTTCCTATGTATTGCATTTGGCAGGCGTTGTAATGGAGATTAGGGCTTGATACGTTGAAATACTTGGTGAAATAATAATAGAAAACTAACATTTGTGTGAATTAAAAGTAAAGGTATAACGGTATCGAAACTTTCAAGAGTCCTGCCAAATAATTAGGAGTATCTATGATTGCCTTTAACATATTTGGAAATTATATATTACATTAAAAATATAAATTATATTTATATAATAATTTAATTTAATTTTATTAATACATCTCTAAACCGAAAACTTTTATTTTTTATTTATCACTAAAAGGTTCAAGTAGTCGAAAGATTAAATTAAAACAAAAAAAAAAAAGATTCAAAATGCGTTCACAACTTTGTTAAAAGAAATTGTAAAATGTTCGGATATTTTAATTGACAATATATACATTAATAGGTTCTAATTGATTTTAGACAACAATAGAATTGTAATTTAACAAATCACACAAAAAAAACCCTTGCTGAGAGAGGCTCCTAATAATTTCGTATGTATGTCAGTTAAATTGCTTTTCTTTCTGTGTAAGGCTTGCATCTTTGGCACATCGTTGTTGCCACTGATGCTGTAGTTGCTGCCGTTGTTGTTGGGGGAACACACTTAAGTGGTCGTTTAGAGTATGCCACGTTGTTGTTGCTTGTTTATGAATAAAAAATAGTTTATTTGCAAAACGTTTAGCCCATGGGGTGCTGAAGGGGCGACTGGGGGGGAGGTACTGTAAGAGCGGTCAATTAGGGAGTTTCATCGAGTTAAGCTTCCGCTGGCTCGCTAATGGACTGGAATCCACTTGCCCAGAGCCGAGGAGCTGTTTCATAATTGAAAAAGTTTTCAATAAGGCATATATAATGTGAGGCATCTAAGCCATAATGTGACATCTTTGCGCCTGTGTGTGTGTGCTTGTGTGAGACTAAGGGTCTGTGTGCTTGTGGCCATTTCAATTGGCAACCTCGGGCTGCAGTAAGCGCACCCGTGAGTGCCATAAGCATGCGTCCAAAGATAATTGTTACGTCATTAAGCGACTGCCTGTAAAAGGCCCAGAACAGCAAACAAAATAAATAAATAAGAGACAATCACACACGCACGCACCAACACCTACGCCCCTTAGCACACACATATACACACGCGCATATAGCACTGGGTAAGCAGAAATTATCGTTGCCTACTTTTGTGCGCAGTTCACAATTAAATACATTGGCAGCGACATATGCGGCAAAGCGTAAACAACAAGCCAGGCCAAAAACAAAAACGACGTTTTTCTCGGCTTCGCAACGAATCGAACAAGAAAAAAAACAAAAAAAGGGCGGCTCAGCAGAGAGGCCGCCGCTCTCTGCGTGTCTATTCCTTCGACTCTTATGCCATTCAGCGCAGGCGCTCTCTCTCTGTCTCTCTCTCTCCTTCACTCTCACTCACCACATCCTTACCATATCTTTGCAGTAGGCTCACGCACACACTCACACGGCCACAAAGAATGTTAGGCAATGTCAATGTAACTTTTATCCAGCTGCCGCTTCACTGCTTTCCTTTAGCTGCAGCGCCGCCCAGCAAGAGTGTGTGCGTGTGTTTATGCTTTGATTTGAATGCCACTGATAAGGTGGCATTACGCGCTCCTGCGGGCGGGGAGCAGATGCGGGGAAGGGGAAGTTTGGGGAGCCTGCTTTTTGCATTATAATTCGATCTGCCTTAGTCACAGTGCCCCTGCTCGAGTGACTGCGTGCCCTATACACAGAACAAAACTGGATTGGATTTACATTTTAAAAGTGAAGCTTCCCAACGACAAACAAAATCGCTTTCAGTGGGATTTAAACAAATATGAAATTCAATTGTATTAACAACAAATATGATTCAACAAATAAGATTCAAATAACCAAAAGCACACTAAAAATTTCTTTCCTTAAAATTGCAAATAAAGTAAAAAACAGTATTAGTTCTATTACAGTTTCTTATTTAAGTCCTTGTAAAAATGCTATTAACAATAAGCTTATAAATATGTATTTAATCCAATAGTTCGAAACAATTTAGATTACTAATGCCAAATTAAAAAAAAAACCTTAATAATTCAAATGTGTAGCTACCCGTAAAAAATGTTATTCCTGGGGGCTTTTAACAAGATTTCTAAAAATTCTGTTTCTATTTTTGTTAGGAATGTTTTTTATATCAAACATACCATTGTATTAAACTGAATACTATTACAAATTTTATGGTTGGAGTGAAAATTTCACTATCTGATTTTTATAGCGTATCTGTTTTTAAATTTAAAGTGTCATTTGTCTGGCTGAGCGTAAATAGTTGCAGATTGCGCGTCTGCCTTTGGGCGTGCAAGTTTACAATTGACTTTTAACGATTCGACCCACACACCCACACATGCGCGCTCCAACAAGACAAACTTGTGTGCGAATTTATGTGTTATCATTTATTGTGTCTTTTGTGTGAAAACGTGCGCTTGGCACAAATAGACAGACAGATATAGCCCAGCCACGCCCCATAAAAACCACACCGCCCCTCTGCCGGCGCCATTTTGTGATAATATGCTGCGCCTTTTGTTTTCACAGCAATAAAAATTGGTTGTAATTTAGTTTCCTCCCTACGCCTGTGTCTGTTTTTGTATCTGTAACTGTAAATGTATCTGTATCTGTTTGTGTGCTCTGTTGTGATTGATACGGAGCCTGTGGGAGAGCTTTGTTTGCTTTGCCCTCGTCCTTCGCCACATCCTTCGACATATCCTCCGCTCTCTCTAGGCTTCCAATTAACTTTCGTTGATGCGTGTTTCATTTTAATGCCATTTGCGGCTCAACTATTTGTATGGCATACTTTGCGGCCAGTCGCAATTTGCATAGTCATTGGCCAATTATGGCCATCTATGCACACACACAAACACCCGTACGTGAGTCGCATAATTGCTTCGTTACGGCCAACTCGGAGCTAATGTTTTATGGATTAGTGCATGTGGAATATGGCGGAATGCAGCGCAGAAGTCGCATAAAATTGCAAATACATTATTGATGTTGTAAGCAGCTGCTGCTGTTGGGACATAAATAATTTCAAAATAAACTAGAATTTATATTATGAAAAATAAGGCAAGTATCATTTTAATATCCGGTTTTTAACTAAATGTTAATGGAGTGTCATTTGTTTATAATATAAATGCAAATTGCAAACAGGCCAGTCATTAAAATGACAGTTATTAAATTAATAACCGCTGTTAATGCGATACAGACCGAAATGCTTAATATTTATTATCTTTATTATATTTTTTTTTGCTAAATCTGGCATAAATTACTGGGAATGGCATAAAATTATATTCATAGAATATCTCTTTTAGTCCCGTTAATAATTAGGGAATCGCATCCGTATATCTGTTTAATTTCTGTAAATAAGTAGAGTATCAATTGTATCTGCAATTTATTTTCCCCCAATCGACAAAAATTAAATGGATCCAAATTCTTTTTCAGTCCCCTAACTAAGCACAACAAATGTTTAAATAAATGTAGCTAACTTAAATAATCTATAATTTTCATTTTAATAATGCTGGCGCTGCTTTAAAAACGACCCGTCCCCCTTTTGAACAATCTTTCCTTTGAAATATAATTTCTTACCATTGCAGATTGCAATTAGTTATACAAAATATATGTACTCGCTAACCTCATTCCCATTTCTATTGCTTTCATTGCAGCGCAGAGCAAGAATCTCGTCTTCGTCGCCAAGCTGAAGCAATTAACTGAAAATGTAGCAGGGAAAGAACATGGCCCAACTGGAACAGCAAATGCCATGCGATGCAACTAGCATAAACGTGAGTACGGAATCCATGGAAATGCGAACGCGCGAATGGAAATGGGAGTGAAAATGGATGGGGAAATGAAAATGAAAATGGGGTCTGGTGTCGCGGCTAATTGCTCTGGTGTGGATCTTGAAGAAGGCTTTTGTGAGAGCCGGGGCATTTCATTTGCTTTCAATTTGGCCGCCATCTAATTGCTTGGCACTAATTTGGCGGCTCGCATTTCATTTGCAGTCCGTCTGTCGGCGGTCCCGGCCATTATTAAAGTTCCTCCTTGGCAACGACCTCATTGTTGTCGACATCCTTTCCCGTTCTCCCTGCAGCAGTAATCAACTGATATGAAATGCAGCTCAGGCTTGCCAAATAGCCGGAGGCCCTGGGCCCAAAACTTATTGAATCGGCAGCAAATAGATTCTTGGCACAAAAGAAAATGCCATGTTTGCCTGGCCCAAAATGGTAATTTGACGGCGATTGGCAAGTGCATCGATCGAAGTGCCAAAACGAGATTGATTTATAGCCACCACCCCCGGATTATCCGATTCTGTAACGAGTGTTCGGACAGCTCTTAATGATCATCACCTAGCAATGTCAATAGTTCACCAGTTTACACTCAATCAGCACAGATTAAAGTTGGTTTAAGACTTTAACGTGCTATGGCGAAAGTTGCATCCATTTTGTCCTGTCATCTTCCATCGCTCTAACATTGTTAAGCTGAAATTTGATTTGATTTTTAATATCGTCGTGCCAGGTCCACAATCCGGCATATATGTATGTGTCCGCCTTGGCTAAATCAGTTTTACAACTTTTATGTGAATCCTTCACCTGCTTTATTGTTGTCGTTGCCGTCGTCGCCGTTGCCTCCGAGGAGTATAAAAAGCCGTGTAACATTACCGGGGACAACGGCAAAATGGCAATGACAGCAACGACGGCAGCACCAACAACGCCGATAGTTAAACTCAAGCGGGCTCCAAAGTACAAGATTGTTAGCATAGCGCGCAGGACACAGCAGGAGCCAGGACAACGCTGAGCAGGGGCACAAAAGGCAAACACAAAAGCACAACATTCTTTGCTGGGTACACTGTGGGAATAAATTATACTACACAGTATCAGAATTAAAGGCATTCTTGTCTAACTACATTTTGTGCTCAGTTTTACATCATTACTTTCATTTGTTAAAAACAGTTTTGTATTTATTTGTATTTGTTTAGTCGGAGTTTAAAGCTTTATTCTTTAGCTAGGTATATGGTAGGCAATTTGTATAACAATTAAAGGCTATTGTTTTGATTAAATACATTTCTTGGTAGTCCGTATTTACAGAATCAATAATATCAATATCAATACAATCAATAAGTAAATAAATTAGCACAATTTTCGATTTGTGAAGTAGGCTAATCTAGAGGGGTTAAGGGACTATTTGATAAGTTCTTAGAAGTTAAGATTAAACAAAGTTATACTGATCACAGATTTTCTTCATTCTATTTGGACTTCGATATGTTTATGGAATGATATGGCTTTGTTTTTGTTCCTCTCAGTGTAGAGTCTGGGAAATGGGGTCGAGTGGCGTTACCCACTGGGCATCGTGTTAGCCAGAGGAATGAGGATGGCAAAGCGGTGGCCTCGACTCCTGTGGCTCCTTTCAGAGCCTTTTAGGTGAATACGGCTGCTGCTGCATCTGAAATGCGGGGAAATGATGCATTTAATCGAAATGAGGGTATGGGGGCTGAGCAGCAACAACCGAGAGGCGGCACTGGGCGTGGTCGCTCCCATCAGCGAGCGGAAGTCGACACAAAAGCAATGGCCGTCCTGCAGGCGTTGGCCTGTCTTAAGCGGGTAACGAGTCTGTGGGCGTGTGGGTGTCACCTGCTTTGCATGTGACACACGCCCCCAACGTGCCATGGATACCTGAGCATGTGGCTGCGATGCATTTCAGTGCACTAAACGAAAATCGGGGACTTAAGCCGATAACGAAATTTGGTACTTAGGGCAGAAGCATTCCCATTTGGTTCCACAAAGAATTGAATAAAGGTAGACTGTGGCGTCTAAAGCCAATCAAAATAATTTCTTCGCAAAATGTCATCTTCGTTTTGCATAACGCCTTCACTTTTTTTATTTCATTCAAATAGCTTGACATTACATAAAATAATAAGCACAAAGAAACCGGTTTACCTTTAACAACAAGTAAACTGTAAAAACGAGTATTTTATATAAAACTCCATTTTAATCGAATTGTATTTGTTGAGAAATAATAATAGGAAAACAACTGCCAAACTTGACTTTAAAAGCTTACCAAAGATGGCATCTTATCCTAATTAATATTTTTAGGGTGTACCTTCATACCTAGCCATTCGATTATTATCCTAGCTATCTTGATTGTAGATGGCATAGTTATTGCCAGTGTATATCACACTACCCGAAGCTGTGGAAGGTGCCGGTCTTTTTGTGCTAGTGTTCCGGGATTCCCTTTCATATCGCATGGCACGTAAATTCGTAATAAATTTGAAATTATGTGCACATTTCGTGCCGCAGGCTGAAGGCCAAGCAATTTGCAACTTGCACTTTGATAATTTATGTTGCATCCGCCCTGGCAACGGTGGCCATAAGCATATATCACGTCTGCCAGCCATGCGGCAGCCCCCATTCCGCCTCCCAACTGGCATGGATCCCAGGATGGCGATGTCAGCCCGACAGCTGAGTGAATTTTTTCAATTTTCACGAATGCACAGCACAAAGGACATGGTGTCAGGCGAATGGATTGATTATGCCGACTGTCAAGGACGCAACCACTCGCACACACTCATCTTACGGGGCTTCAGTTTCGCTCTCAATTGGACGTGTCCTGTCACACGCTCCGTCAGCTGGCCAAGGACGAAAGGGAAGGGAAGGGCAGGGGAAGCTGGAATCGAGAATCATTGACGGCTTTTTGTCCAATCGCCCGCACAAATTGACGGTCAGTGCGAGTGACGCCGTCTAATAACACTCATTACGGCTCCATTCATCATCGCAATCCGCATTGCATGTGCCACTGACAGCTGCAATCGATATGCATTTCGCTTTTGATTCGAAATTTGATTTGTTGATTGCCGTCGCTCTGGGCGTTTCGTTGCAAACTTTGTATTTGTTGCATTAAGCTGACAATCGGCAGAACAGGTGCCATTCTGCACCTGACCGATGGCGGTAATTTCAATTTGGCTTTCATCGGCCTGCAGCGTTGGCTACACTTTTAAAATATAATTGTTTGTAATAGTAGTATGGTATTCATTTGTTACTGTTCGAGTTTAAATGCATAACTTATGTTTTGTCAGCCATTCATAGCTCATGTTAATACTGCAGGAGTAAATTTGTCTATTAATCACCTGCCATACGCCTAAAGTTGTCTTTGCCATCAATAAGCGGGGTGTAAAAATGTATATTTTGTATATTCGATTATGTAAAGGATAATGTAAGGACTTACAATATGTTAGAAAACTGACTTAATAAATACTCCTAATAAAGTTGTTGAAACTGCTAGGGAAAATAAATTTCCCCGTGTAACTATACCACCGCAGGCCAATCAATTAGTTTAGTAGTTTGCGACCGTGTCAGCGAGTTTGCACGCCAGCTCCACAGCCTTTCTGCATTGCAAAAGTTGCATTCAAATTAAATGCGATTTGTTAAATGTTTGGGGGAATTGGCATACTGCAGTCCTCGCTCCGCTGAAAGTTGATTCAATTTGCTGACTTGGCATTGGTTTCATTAGTCCGACTGCTGGTAATTGCATTGCACTGGCGGTAAATCGAGTTCGGATCTGCTGGCCACTGCAGCATATGCATATTTTATGTGCAGTCAACTCCATCATGATTATTTCACGAGCAGGGCGATTGGCAAAATGTCCCTGTCCTTTCCTCGGCCACTTCCGTTGTTCCATTGATTTTTGTATTGCTATGGATTTGCGTATCGGTTTGGCTTTTTCCGCCCAGTAATCTGAGACACAAGGGTATATTTGTGAATGCACCTAAATAAAAGAGAAAACAAAGCGTTTCTTTATATTGTGTGATTAAATAAATTACATCGATTGCGATTTGGAAGTCTCTAACAATAAGCATAAGGTAATCCATTTCAGTGTTATAAATATGTAAGGTCAAAAAAACAAATATATATCACACATAGAAAAAAAAGCAACACACCTCAAAGAACTTTATTTTGATTGACTTATCCCATTTAAAGTATGCTGTGGTGTTTAGGTGTTAATTTAATCTATAGCTGGGATTATTGATTTATTTAAATTTAAGGAATTCTCAAGTGTCTGAAAAATAAACTCAAGAATGTTCAAAATGAAATTAGAATGGAAAACCTTTTTAAATTTACTTATCCAGAATGAAGTGTATAAGGTCGCTCCCAGAGCTCAAGTGCTCTCAAATTATTTCATTGTATTAAGATTTTCGAACTGCACAAATATTTACAAATTCTTTGTATTAGGTATCTCAAAGTCAGTCTATTCCACAATGGATTTTTGTTCATTCTCCTGTGCTGTTTGTTTGCCCGGCAACAACAGTAGCAATCGTAAACAATTTGATTTTAACGCACACACGAGACAGTATGAGAAGGGGGCGGGGCGGGGCGGTGCGGGGGCGGCAGGCTGGCAGTGCAGGAATTCTAATCGGATTTCGTTGCAGCTGCGGCCGGAGCTGCCAGGGAAACAAAAGCTTTTGCCAGGAAATTGATATCGAAAGCAATTTGGCACCGCTGCCCTCTGCGGATGAGAGATACGGGGATTGTGATGGTGAGGGTGTGGATTATGGACCGCTGGCATTGGGTTTTTTGGGACCTAGTAATTCAATTTCTGCTCGCTTTGGTTCGCTTTGGCTCCGCCTGCCGGTGCGGCTCACGCTGCGTATGCGCAACTGCAGGCGTGGCCTGGCTTGGCGTAATCTTTGGCACTTCAATTTGATCGTCGGGCATTTGTAAGGCTTCGACGCCGACTGAAGTCCTGCTGCTCCTTGCAGCGCATAGAGCCACATAGTACATAGTGCCTGACGTTGATGAATATTGCTACAGCGATAAATTCAATTACAAGAGCCGAGTGGGGCCAAGTCGAGCGCTATAACTCAACTGACAGCGGCAGAACTCTTTGCCGCCTCCGCCACTTTATCCACTTGACTTGGCTCTTAAAGTGCTGCCACAAGCTGGAACACGGACACGCACGAAAAAAAAGAAGCAACAAAAAAGAAAAAAAAGGAAAAGGGGAAAAGACGGCAAGGAAAACAGTTAAAAGTAAACAAAAAAAGGAGGCAAGACAACATAAAATAAATGTAATAAATTTTAAACATAGAGATGATAAATTGCTCGGGGACTCGACTCAAGGCGCTGCCAATGGCAATGCCTTTGCGCGATTCTCGGCGCTCCCCTACATTTTTACAATTTGTTTGCGGCTTCGCCTGTCGTGTCCCGCCCCCTTTTCTGCTCGCCCCCTTTTGGCACGTGTGTTTGGCGTTTTTATCTATTTGGCAGCTGCTTTTGCTTGTCGTTGTTTAATTTAGTTTGCTCCGAAATTGATTTGCTACAAAGTTTGCCGCTTCCTTTTTATTTGGTATATACTTTACAATCTTTTTGACACGCCCACGCCTGCTCAAAAGTTTTCAACTTCCAGGCGAAGTCGCATTAATGCTGCAGTTGCAAATGTTTTCCTCGTAACTTTTACTTAAGCGCTGCCAGCTGTTCGGTGGGATCCCGGCAATGCAAATCAACCGGGCTAAAGTTTAACTTAAGTTCTGCCGACTGTCTGCCTGTCACCTTGTAAAGAGTTTTCCACCGCTCTTCTCATTGCAGAAACTCAGAAGATTCCGTGATTAGGACGTGTTGTACCCTAACGCTCTAAATGCAGACGATATGGTGAGTTTTATACATTTTTAACATAATACAATGTCGGAAATAAGAATCATTAAAACAAATTTTGGAATATTAAATAATTAAATCTCTAAACAAAAATTACATTTTAGTAACTTTCTAAGGACCATTTCTCAATGTTATGTTAAGGTTTGAGCTGGTAAAAAAGAATCTGTAAAAAGTCAACATTAATTTAAGTTGTTCGGAAGCATTAGTTCGTTCTCTTAATGTGATGTTATTTTTTTAAACGACAAATCTTTACTGGATCTTTTATCACAGGAATCAGTACGAAAGTCAAATGCCGAGCTTAAAAATAAACTCGAGCATTTCTTCGTCCTTTCGTTTGCTTTGCCGAATTAAAAATATAAACTAGAACATTGCCTCCAGTTACTAATTCTCAATCAGAAAAACCTTGACATAATATTGAGATAGCAAATGTTTCCGAATTAAAAAAGCTAGCTTAACAATGAGAAATCGGTCCTAAATTGTAAATAACAAAAATATAATTCTTTTAAAAATTTGATTGGCCTAGAGTGCAGTTCAACAAGTTGAGTCTTCAGGCTGATTAATTTTAAATGCTTTTATTTGTCTACACACACTCTCAAACACACACTGACAGTTGCATAAATCATGCATTACGTATACGCCGTATATGCCCACAACTATTAACAAGCGCATTGCGTATTCATGAAAGCATTTTGATGTGCTGAAGTGCACGTTGTTGCACAAGCAGAAGAGGATGACAGGAATAGAGACAGAAACACAGGGCGACGAGCTAAGTTTTCTAATTAAAAACTACAAATAATTGTGACTCGTAATGAGCATACAAACACGCATACACACACCGCGCACTCAGATCTCGCTGCGCCCGCGAAAGCCAAATTTAAATTGCAATTTGTCACTGTGGTTGCCAGTTGCCATGTACGCAACATGCGACTACAAGGCTCTGTGTCCTGGCTAATTTCCATTCCTGCAACGGCTGCCTGCGAAGCCATGATGATCACGATGATGAAGTTCCTTGGCGCAGCCAGCAACTAAAGTCAAAGGCACGCCTGCATTTCATTTTCACAGAGAAATGCACAAAACGCGTGACATGCTTTGTGGATGTTGGCCACACACAAGCAACTTTAAAGCTTTAATCCAAACAGAATGTTAATCAACCAAGTGAATGCATATTGTTTCTCCCCCACCCAAACATCAGAGCATCAGAACATCAGAAATGTAAATGCCCCCATTGCGGAATACATAAATGCATCTGTATCTGGAGTACGGCTGCAGTTACACTACTACGGAAGATTGCTAAATTTATGCCACCAACTCGCCGCGTTGAAGTGTAGACTGCTGCCGTTGCTGCTTTTTTGTTGCCACTGATGATGATGATGCGCTGCTGTGGATGGCAACTTTTTGTGCTGCATCGAGCGCCATTTGTTTCAGGCACCCATTTGCTGGGCTTTCAGAGCCCTTGCCACGGGTTTAATAACTATTTTGGAGTGTTTGCCGCGCTTAGAGGATTGCAGTCAATATAAACTCTGATGCAGCTGATGCAAGTTTGAAAGACTCGCAAAGCGTAGTTGTAGCACAAAGTGAATAAATATGAAAATACATTTCTAAGCCGAAAGACTTATAGCCTTCCTATCTTAGTCTTCAAAACATTTACAAGCTTAGATACATCGATAAAGCATTCATTGTTAATTGTTATTATAAGGTTAAAGAATAAAACTTTTAAACTGAATAGAGAAAGTGTTATTTAAGAAATATTTTTAGTTTGAATAATATTCGTACTTAAGTGTTAAGAAATAAAAGTCACTTTTGATAGTTACACTGAACGACTGTTTGTTAGGGCATTCGGAAAACCCAAAGCTAGTTGCGCTGTGGCCGCCCTTTTATTTGCTGCGTTTTCTCCACTTTTTGCAGCTTTGAAGTGGTTCTGCGCTTTAGTCGCTTCTAATTGGCTCTGGCTGGCTTTTAATTTTTACCGGCTTTATTATTTTCGCATTCGCTGCCTTTGAACGAGGAGCTCTCATTAAACCGCTGGCCAAGTGCACAATTAGCTGGGCCACAGATACGGGTCAAAGTATCGTCCCATTGCCCTGCGATTCCAAACAAACTGACTAATTGCGAGAAAAACAGAAACAGGTCAGCCGCAGGTATCTGTGTGAGTTTGGGTGCGAACAGGAATGAAAACAGGGCGGGCATTTGAATAAACATTAGCGGCAACAAATTGCAATTTATTTGCATCGTTACTGTGGCTGCAGCTATTACTTTTGACTGCAATTAGCATTATACAGTAGTGTCCGAGTGCAGCGAATAATTTCCAATTATGCGGCAGCCATGTTTCTGCACTCGCAGCGGTTGACAGCTCGGCCAAGTCTCGCAGCCGAGTCGTCCTGCCCGCCTGCCAGCCTCCTTAATTATTCAGCAGGATACACACATGAGCTCACATCCTTTGCTGCCAGCTGCCCGGAATTAATGGATACAGCTGAAACGTAACAGAAAACACCACTCAGCCGCCAAGCCACTGCCACTCCTCCCGCTACCGAAAAACTCCGGCACTCCAACACTCCGCACTCGACATTCACCTAGTTACGCATACGCCCTGATGACATTAGTGCAGCATTGCAGACAATTTTCGTTGGCAAAATGGGAAAGCCACCGACCAGCGGCCAGCAGAGGACCGGTGGCCGACATTTGCCAAAAAGGCGCACGCAAACATACAGTGGAAAAAATACCACAGTTAGGTGTGCCGGGCAGCATTTTTAATCCGATATGCATAGAATATCGTCAATAGACTCTTAAATAAATTCACATGCACCTTGTTTTGCTCGAACGTGACAGAAACAGTTATCATTCGATAACTAAAAAAATGTTTGTTAACGAATTTACTACATTTATTTTATAAAATATAATTATAAACGATTAACAATTATTATATTACTTGAGGGTATTCCAAAAACAAACTAAAAACCATAATTTCTAAAAGATTTATCTCGCACTATATTTTTATTGGAGAGAAATCTTTTATATGTTTTTGGAATATTAAGTACAATAATATAATAATAATATCTTGCAATATTATTGCGATCTGATAATAGTACAATTTTTAAATAGACAGAAATGTGTTACGCCTAAGACTTATAACCACTCTTTTTGCTCTGTGCACTTGCTCGCCATCACACATTCAGCAATAGACGTGTGTGCGTGCGTCGCAGTTTCACGTTGATTACGAGCACTTTATGGCTCCGTGCTACGTGTGGGCGTTGCTGTTGGATCTGGCTGAAGACTGCCGTGGACATGATGTCTATGCGTTCATTGTTGCAATTTTTACTTTATTATCAGCGTCTGTAATCACTACAACAACAGCAGGCCAACAAGAGTGGCAGTCGCCGAGGGGTTGATGTGTAGGAAACTTGTTTCGGCGTCTGTTATTGCGGCCAAAAACATTTCGAGTGGCGGAAATTTGATAAATGCCTGGCCTGACCCAATGGGCGTGGCATTCGCCAAGGGTTTATCTAGTGTACTTGAAGGTTATTTATGATTATTTCACATATTTTTATGGCTTGCAAATGAGGAATGTGTATGCGACACAGGGGCGTAGTTGGTATGGGATTCAGGGGAAGAGCGCTGTGAGAAAAAAACTCGGTTAATGTAGCAAATATTAACAAAAAAATGTATATAAGGAAAGGCTAACTTTCAGTCAATTTCTTATCATTTCCTTGTTATGAGAGTCATTGCTTTTGTATGTATGTCTATGCAAGCTTTTTGTTTACATTTCAATAACAGCCAAAGCTTTCCGTTTACAGTTACACTAAAATTACGTATACGTAAAAGTAACTCTTGGATTGTGTGTAACTCAGCTAGAAGCTTTAAGGATGTGAGCTTTATTGTGCTTTCACTCCCTTACAACTTTTACACATAGATGTAAAACAAAAGCTCCCAAGGGTATGCTATAAACTACATTTTGTCCATAAAACGGCAAATATTTAATGTGTACAAAACGAATTAAATTCAAATATCCAAATCTTATTGCTATACTAAGTATTAAATCTAACATAAAGCTCTTCTAATGGAGATACAGATAAAATAAGATTTAATTTTCTCGTCTTGAGCTCCCTTTCAAAAAAAATTAAACACAACAAACCCTAGAAAGCGCCGAAAAACAAACATTAAGAACTGAACCCTCAGTCAAAACCCCCTTTAAATGGGAGTCGGGGATTTGGCAGATTGTATAAAAAACAGTAAAAGGATTGCCCGGCGGCGTTAACCGAATGGGCGTGCCAGTGGAAATTGATTAAAAAGACAAGAACCCAAATGCTTTGTGATGCTGTCCGTTTCCTTGTGGCGTGTAATCCTCCCGACTGCGCTCGAGGAATCGATAATCAAAGCGATTGGATTATCAAAACTGTATGGCGGTCAACTCCATTTGTCCCTGTGCTCTTTATCCCTTTTCAATTGTTACTTATTGGTTTTTAACATCTATTTCATGAAGTTTTTGCCTTTTCAAATCTCATTTCAGGGCACAACATGGCCTCAGCACAGATACGACATTTCTATAACACACCAACAACAATTTCTTCAACAACAACACGACAACCTTTACTACAACAACAACAACAACTGCAGCAGCACACGAACAACTGCAACAGCAAACGAAAGCAATTTCAAAGCGATACGTTTCTGTGCCACACACAAACACAAAGTGAGTCAGAGGCAAAAGCAGCAGGAGCAACATTATGCCAGTCAACGCTTGCGGCAGCAGCAACAACAGCAAAAGGAGCAGGAGCAACAGGAGCAAGAGCAACAGCAACAGATGATGTACAAGCCAGCGAATGTCGGCAGTCCTGGACCACAGATGAGATCGCTGCCAGCAACAGAAACACCCAGCACAGGATGCGATATCCTTTGGCCGGCAGTGCTGCAACCTGCGATGTTGCTACTGTTCCTGCCGCACGGCAGCAGCAACAGCAGCAATGCCTGGCTCCTACTGCCACTGCTTTGGCTGCTTCTACAGGGACTTCGGAGCAGGATCGCCTCGCCACGAGCACTTGCCTATCACGCCTATCTTCCAAAGTCAGCCAGGACTCTACGAAACAACAACGAAAGCTCTTTCAACACGGCGCCACAACAAGGGACTCCGATGCTTCAACTTCGACGGCTCCGGCAGTCAGCATCCTCATGGATATGCAAAAGTTTGCACGCTCTATATTTCCGCTGGTTATCATCTTCAATCTGCTGCCTTTGTTCTATGCAGGTAAGTGGCACCACTCAATCGAATATTATTATTTAAGTGCGGCTGAAGGGGTTGATTAAACCAGTTTCTGTTAATAGTAAACAAGGTCAATTGTGGGGCTTCAAGTATTATTTCCATTTATAAAAGGTCATTTTAAAGCAATGTTTCCATATTTAAAAGGTCATTTAAATGCAATTACCAAAGTATTTAAGAAATATGGAAGAGGTCATATCATATTGTTATATTTTTTTTTATATTTAGAAATTGAAGTATGTATGATATAATAGTTATTTGCATATAATGCAAACAAACAAATATATAATTCGAAAATTATACGACCCGAAGTCTCTCTCAACGAGTATATTAAGAATTGGTTTCCACTTTTAACAAATATAGTATATAATGTATTGGATATATCTCATAAGTTTATTCGAGGGACCGTGTAAAACCAAATTTGAACTAGGTGTAATTAAGCTTAAATAATAATTTTGAATCCCCAAAGTAAAATACCTAAGTTACTGAAGTTTATGGTGCAGCATTATTTTATTTTCCCTATTAATTTTTGTATAAAAGTTTTTCCTCCTCAATTTCCTTGCTGAACTATAGCACCTAAATCGACTCATGCTAAACAATTTCCCTTGGCACTAATTGCCAAGTCTCCAGTGTCTGTTTTATCCTGAAAGCTTCAAAGACCTCACAGAGTGCTCACTGTAGTCGCTCGGGTTGGTAAATAAATAATTGAAACTGTCGAAGAACATTTGCAAATCTGGCCAAACAACAACTGAGCTCATTATTTATGTACGCAGTCAAATATGTATTGACTGCCGAAGGCAATGGAAAAAATTTAATGACCGGCAAAAGTGAGCGTCCCCGGCAGGAAGGAAGCAATCCGGCACCCAGCCCCTGCTCCTCCGGATCCGAGTTTTCCTCTTTTTTTAAATTCATTGTGTGACAGTTTTTTTGCGTTTCGACTGCTCATTTTTCAAAACACGCACAAAGGCAAAATTTTAACAAAGTTGGGGTCAAGCGAGGTTGAAGCCTAGAAAACAATGCGCTGGGCGGTCTTAATTGCTTCCCAGCGGCAAAAACAATAACAGCATTTTCTGGCCGACCCTTTTGATGGAAAAGTCGCTGGACGGCCTTTGTTGGTGCCGCAAACTTATTAATTAAACGCGCTTATAATTATTTAAGACAAGCTGCCGCCGGAGCAAATTCAATTTGTGATCATTGCCCGATAACCAGAGCTGCAGTAATCAGGGTGAAACGCCGTGGAGAAGCTGCTCAGCTGCCTAATGTGGCAGAAGCGAAGGCAAACAAAAGCGCCGCCATTTCAAAAGAAATCAATGACAATTCGTTAAAGGTCCCCCGGTCTGCCGCCCCCCAATTTTCCACCCCATCCCCACGCGGGACACTTCCCATCATCATCGACATTTGAGCAGCGATTAAAGACAATTGAAGCCGCAGATGCAGGCAGCAGTAGTCTGCTTTCTTATCAGTTTACACAGTGGATGGGAACTTGAGCGCTCTTTGGTTTTCCACTCTCGCTCGGAAAAGCTCGCGCCTGCGCCGCCAGGACCTCCATGTTATCAATTTACCAACAAGCGGAGGGCCGCCGCCGTTTATCAGTTGGCCAGCGAATGTTTGATGGGTTATCCAGCCTTTGTTTGGCCCAAATAAATCGCTGACTTGGCATGCCGGACCACCGATACTAACGGGAGCAGGGAAAGCCAAAGACGCCAGTGCCCCGGGCACAGGTCAAAGTATCTGCGATTCGACGATGCCCCGCACCCGAGAAAAACACACTCCCATTTATCTTGGGCGACGTCTTCGTCGCAGCGTCTGGGTCTAATGAGATTTTCGCCAAATTAAATGAAATCGAAAATTAGGCGCGCCGAGTTTGCTGGCAATTTAAATTGGAGCCGAGGCCAGGCGGCAATTATCCTCACAAAGAGGCCAACGGGCGGAGCATAATGAGCGGAAGCCGAAGTCAAACAAGATTCTCACCTGTCAGCTTTGGAACCCCTGATGGCCGCCACCTGGAATCTGCCAACTGCCATCTGCCATCTGCCACCTGCCAGTTGTCTCAAGTGGCGGCTTTGGGCGGGCGATTAAAGCGCTCGGCGGCCACTCGAACAAACAGAATCGACGGCTCATTGAGCTGAAGCGAAATTAAATCCTGGGGCAAACAACTCCAAGGAGGCACTTCAGAAGGCATCAGCAAGGAATGTGGAATCCGGGAGAAAAGAAGTGCACAAAAACGAAATCATAAATTCAATTTGATTTATTTTAGTTGTGTAGTATTGACGGAGGGCTAACCGCCTTGAGATTCAAATGGAAAAGCTTTCGCTTGATGTCATCGCAGGGTGTTCGCGCTCTCTCTCTTTCTCTCTCTCTTTCTATCGCTTTCCCGACTTTCCGCCTTTCCGTTTTTCCGCCTTTCTCGCTCTCTGCCTTAAATGCCGTGGCAGCAGCCGAATGCGTTCAGTCGATTTCTGTCGGCCGTGCGGCAAACACACAGCTCGCTTTTCAGCCAACTCAACCAGCTCCAGAATCAGCTTTTCAACAGCAGCCTTCGCGTCATTAATCGCATCGTGCGACTGGCCCCACAAACAGTTTTCCCAGCAACGCGCGCACTTTTCCCGCTCTAGGACCTCTGGTTACGACGGTCTTGTGTTTCCGTCTTATCGCTTCGGACGCTCCGGGTCCTTTAGTTTGCATATTTATGTTTGCTTAACTCAACCATTACGTTTCGGTGTCAAAAGCGAATCCAATCCCGGCGATAAGTTGCTGCCTGCCAAACGGAGAGCTTAACAAAGAATTGTACAACACAAAAGTGAATTACAAATCAATTGAGAAGGCCCCTCGGCGGCGAGACGTAAATATTCAAATGGAACTTGATTTACATATTCTTTTGAAATTGCCTTGGCTGTGGTGCACAATTGAGATATTTGGGCTTTATAAGACAGTGGGGTGGGATATTCGTGGTGATCAATTGGGGCAAGATGGCTTGGGTTTGGCAGATCGCCTGAAAAATCGTCTGGTGGAATTATTATATTTGTGGCATTATCCTAAAATGTGTTGCTTAAAAGTGAATATTTTGGCAAAGTAAAAAACAACTTAACTTTTATATCATGTGCTCTTCTTTCCTTTTTGTGTTATCCATTATAACTTGCGGAATAGCGGAAAATATGAACTTTACTGATTCCTATTGATCTTTAAGCCTTAATCTGCTTTAAATTTTACATGTTTAAAGATTTATTTAAAAGTAGGGATGGTAAAGTAAAAATAACTGAATTAAAGCTATTGTTTTTGGCAATGTTCGAATTACATTTGAAATTGTGTGTCATTTAATTTCTTCATCAATTTTTGAAATTCATTTTGTTGAGTCCTAGTAAATGTCAACAATATCGACACTCAGATTCTTGAAATCGGACAACAGCCGTGTATTTAATCGAAAAATTCTCATTTCATGGAAAAGGGTATTATTTGCATTGAGTGAATGTACGTTAGATTAATTTACGTACGAGCGAACTCCCCATTCAGAGGCTCCCACACAAATGCGTTATTAGTTCACATGCACAATAGCCATATATTCCTAATCGGTAACCCTGAGTGCTTTCCTTGGAACGTCCTTACACAGGAGAGCAATCTGGGGAACGAAAGGTTACAAAACGAATTGGAGGCAGGCAATTGTTGAGGGATTTACAACATGGCCCTCGTATTGTTTGCAATGCAGCAATAAAATCCCACACACAGGATAAATGCGGAAAAGGTAGAAGAAAATGGGAGATGGCGATAGGAATGTGTCCACGGCAGTTATGACAACTTGGGCTGGTGCTCACCTGTTCGCCAGCTGCTTAATTGGAGTCAATGTCTGGCGAACTTTCCAATTTCCGTTCGACCCACGAGTGCCACTGACAACTGACAAGTTTGATTTAGGACAGGGCTAAACCTATCATTCTCTTCTTTTAATTTGATATTTTTCAAATTGCTGTACTTATTGAACATACTCAAAAACGACATTTACCAATAACACATTATTATAGTGTTTTTACTTCAAGTATAAAAATTATATTTGCCTTAAAATATACGAAAAATGCAGTAGATAATTTTTGATTTACGTTTGTAAATTCTGTTCACGTTTTATTATAATCGAGGTTAAATCACAGCATCTTAAATAAATAAATAATACAGAATAGTTATTCAAACCTAGCATCCGGTAGTAATAGTGCTGTAAACAAAATAATAATGAACCTGTTCATTTTTAAATTCTGTTCACGTTTTGTTATAACCGTGCTTCAATAATTACAGCCCGCATTACCAATTTGTAAAAATTATGTAATAATTACAGTGAATACAGTTGTTATAAATTGATTGATTTTTAAGTTGGGACAAATCGCTTTGTGTTTATTATTCCGATTGAGAAGATGGCTTATACTGATAAGCGAAAGCGCGTAATGGCCACGACTCTTTTCCATTCCCAAGGAGTTCAAGTCCCCGATCCACAAAAAAGGGGGTTAAGCCTGCAATTTGCATGCAGTTCGGCAATCGCTGAGAGATTGAAACGTGCCAAATGTGCAAACAGAGGGCCGCAATCGTTTTTCCCTCTGTTTGGGTAGCCAACCAGGTGATAAGCAAACATAACCCAACGGGCAACGCCTGGGAAAAGTCTGCGAAAGGGCTTGGAAAACTCAACCCTTTTTTCCAGCTGAGACATTGCCACTAAATCAAGCCACTGCCGCCAGGTAATAGAGAGATAAAATTTGCTACGTGTGGAAAATGTGTAAAAAAAAGAGATCCGAGTAACTTTGCAAATAATGTTGGAAGCCACTCGAGTGTTTAGGACCCTCACGCATAAATTATTTATTCATTTGCCGTCGCCGGGTTTTTATATGCATCGTTAAAATTTCTGTTGGGGTCTCAAAGTGAATTTCGGGTACGGAGTCCCCAACTGTGACCCACCTCCGAATCGAAAATAGGGTTTTTACTTTGGCTATTTTATAATGAGCTGCACTGGATTCGCTTCCAGGCTGCTAAACCGTTGCTCACATGGTTTCCCTTTGCTTTTTTGCTCCTTTGTTCGGCTTTCGCTTTTGCCAGCGATTTTCCCGCCGGCTGGTCGCGAGGAAAACTACGTGGAACAGCTGTGGGCGGTGGTCGGAGGGCGTGGTCGGTTTCCATTGAAGGTGTTTATTTATTTTTTGTTTGTGTTAGCATTCAAAAAGTATTTCTTTGCACTCCCATTTGTTCTGTTTCCGTTTTAGCTATTTTCCAACAAAAATTATATTAATACCCCATGAATGCGGGTCAACGTTGCGTATGAGCCACGTTTTTTCGAAATATTTTTTATTCAAACCCCGACCCGAAACTAATTAGCGCCCTGTGCCGAGTGCTTGTTGTTTTGAAGGCTTTCTGCAGCAGCTTTTGCCAGTAGCCAGCGTGTCCACGTCATGTGATATGAGCTGGGAAATATTGTTAGAAAAATGCTGCAACTTTTTCATTACATCAACTTGACGGCTGCCAAGTGAAAACTTTTTAGCAACCAGCAGGAACAGTTGGAAAAGCGAGGAAGAAGGGTAAAGGACGGGCATTGCCAGCTGTGGATGCTGTTTCTTTAATTTGTATTTAGTTAGCGGATGATGCTAATGAGTTTGCTGATTAAAAAGGGACCGCCTTTTGATGTCCCACCTCTGAAATTTAATTTGCACAAGGTTTAGAGGCCTTAAGACTTTATTAACTGACAATAGCGGGCCATAATTTATGCAGCATGCGATGAAACAATATTCGCAGACCTTTTCATGCCCCTCAAAAGCTAATAGAAACTGGCTGAGCCAATCAATTACGGGCAGTTCACAAAGTTGAAGTCATTCTCACTTAGTTGCAGCCAGTCCATCAATCTTCTAATCAATCTGGACAAAGCAAATAGCCAGCTAAAGTTTCCCCTTGCATTATGAATTTATGGGGCCGTGGGGAAACCAAGCGAAAACTATGCCGATTTCAATAAAAATCATTAACCGAGCACTCAAAGACCGATTCGATTGAGTTTCTGTGTGGGTGGGCAGAACTTTCCGACACATTAAATATGAATGAAATACCACGGTAATTAAGCTAAACAGAGAAAGATAAACAAACCGCAAATGGTCATAAAATGCGATGAGGTGGCGCCATACAAATGAACTTCTTTGGCCAAACACATTTCCAATCGAATTATAAATAAACAGAGGCTGCCTGAACAAAATAAACCCCGACAGGAAGCCAATTCAAATAGCCCGAGTCAGCGCCGTTCGCGAATTCCTCATTTCTAATGGCGTTGGCAAACAGAACTCGATGGCCTTATGGCTGATTACCCAATTTGAATTTTCAATATTTCCGGGAATCTTAATTTCAGGCTGGTAAATGCGAATTATTTCGTTTGAATCTGATGTGCTGCCTACAAATGCGCATACAAGGAAAATGAATTCACTTATCCAGAAAGATGAGGCTTTAAGGCGGGAATTTCATTAATCTTTGTCGCACGTTCCTTGGCATATTAAAATATCTCTTTTGTGATACGTGAATATATATAAAACGAGACAAACGAGAGTCGAGCATCTTTGTGTAAGCTTTAAAAATCTCCCCCATAAAAGCCAACGTGAAACATGCAACAAGCTGGGTCAGGAAGCGGGTCATAAGAAGGCCATCCACCAGCTACTGTGTCGAGGTTACACCCACTCTACCACTCTCCCACTGGCACACACATGCCTGCATGCGAGTATAAATCCCCCATTCATGTGGGATACAATGAGGCCCAGACGCTTGTCCAAAGAAATAAGACAAAGGACACACAGAAATCAAGTTTAAGTGCAGTTGAAGGCGGAAACGTGAGCTTGGTACACGAGGAGAAACCCTATGAACATATTACTCATTAAAATACAGTCAATCTTATAAATTTTTAATGGAATATTTGAAACAATACCACAGTTAACATATTAAAATAGCTCACATATTTACTTAAATCTGAATTTGTGCATTATTTTGCTAAACTCTCTTATCGGTTAAGAATTATTATACTATGCCGTACAAATCGTATCTTTTGAGCTACACTACATATATATCAAAATCAGTTCTGATTTCAATCATACTCAACTACTGCTTTTAAAGCTCGATCTGTTTTTATGACACTCAATATTAAAATCACTTTTAAATAAATAAATCATTGAATACGATAATTACCCATAAAAAAAGGGGAAGATGATAATAGATAATAATTTTAATTACAATATATATTTAAACTGCAGAGCAGAACAGCAATTAATTTAATTTTTTCGAACTTCTGCGTTGATTTAACATAACGATTACAGTTTATGTGTGTCAATACCTATTATTGTCATATTGGTTATATATATATCTGTATCAAGATATGGGGGAGCTTAACCTGACTGTCTATTGGTGCCCGCTTTTAAATCAGAACCGTGCACTGGCAGTGGCCAAGTGTCGCCAAAACAAGTGCAATTATTTTAATGCACTTTTGACTTTTGACATCGCAAGACAGCACAACAACACGGCGACAGCCTTAAAGCACTGTTCGAGCATTTATGCGGCTATTGTCCCGACACACACTCGTGCAGGCCCACAAACTCAAACACAACACAAATACAATCGCAATCGCACGGCACTCGGCGGAGAGGACTCCTTGAGTCGCATCCTCCAAGGTCGCGCCGTGCAGTTGAACTTGACAAAGGATTTGCCTGGCATTCGCCTGGCGGCTTTAATTCCGCATGCAATTTCATAAACGTTTTCCTCCTCGACCCGTGCAATTTTTCATAATTTTTTTTCTTTGCGCCGACTGGGCTGGGTAGTCAAGTTAACCCTACAACGATTCGCTGGCGAAACAAATTGAATTTATGTGCCAGCGCACACGAGAGCACGCAGAAATGTTGCCAACGTCACTGGCAGTCGACGATGGGCGATGCCTACGCACTTCAGGGGGCCGTTCCACCCCTTTCTTCTCCCCCGTCAGCAACCTCCCCCCCGACCCCTGTGTGGCCACGTCATGGCCCATTTGTTCTATGACCTCTCACCCTCCGCTCGAAAGGGCTGTCTTTCTTCAGCATAAACAAATTTTGCAAATGTGCGCATAAAACTTACGAAATTGCAAAAATTTATTTTATTTCACAACACACACAGCGTGGCAGTGACAAGCGCCTTTCCTCGGCATTTCCTTTGTTTTGTTGGCTGATATGAGGGGCTGGTATCCTGTCATCTTGGCCTCCGTTTATCTGTGTTTGTGGCTCGTCGCCTTCTGGCGCTAATTTAATTAAGACTCATAGACAAAGAAGCCGGACGGACCAACAATATGTGTCAGTGCAATGTGTTGTAAATCTTTTCAAGAGACTCCCCGGCCCTCGAGTATTCAGGAATAAACAAATATAAAATATCATTTCGTCCTTTTATCGTCAGCCATAAAACACAAGCGCACACAATTGAGTCAAGTACTCGGCCACGTTGCGTATACGACTCGTTGGCCGGGCGGTGGCTGCATTTCATTTAATTTTACGCCTGCCGCTCGGCAAACATAATTTGATTGATGCGCCTGCGGCTTACATGTGTAAGCTAAAAATAAACTGATAAATTGACTTATTACAACATAATTCGCCAGCCTGCAATGTTGAGGGGCATTTTAAGTTTTTGTCAAATGTTTTTTTTTTTGAAAATTATGTATATTATATATAGGGGTATGTAAAAAAGACAGACAGGAAAGCATAATTTATGCACGGCCCAAGCCCAGGTAAAATGGGTTTTGCGGGGCAAGCGGAAGACGAGTATTTCATTAATATTAATTGACCAATTCAAAGGGACAGCAACAAAAAACAATTGAGTCACGAAAACAAGGCGTAATAAAGGCCTAAAAGCCAGTTTGTTCCAGACATACTTGGATATTTTTTTGAACGTACTCGGAGTCCAGACAAATGGGCCCAAATAAATAAAAATAAATATTTAAATAGCCAAGCCTTTTAACCAAAATTCGCGCAGCGGGGAAGCCACTAAGTGCGGTAAAATCAAACGGAAAAATGGAAACTGCCACAAACATTGACAAGACCTGCTTTTGATCCCAAGTAGGGCAAATTATTTGCGTGAGCGGCTCAATTAAAAGGCTGTCCCCAGCACGTGGCCCCGAGTGCTAGCTTAAAGCACCAACCTCTATCCTTAAGCTCCTTGAATTTGTTGTCCTTTTGTCCCGTTGGCTGTTCGCTGTGAATTGAATTCGTGTTGCCATTGATAACGACTGACAGCAGCTGTAGCCATTTATACGAGAACTGGGTCTGGGTCTGCATTAGTTTTTATATTCAATTCCGTTTACCTTCCATTTGGCACTGCAAAAACTTATCAAAATTGTTGCCCGTCTGGTTCCTGTTTCGACCAGCAATGTCAGCGACGTTTCAATGGCCACAGCCATTTTCACTGGCGCAAAAAGAGAAAAGCGAAAAGTGAACATTTATTTGATGTTTTTACACTCTTTAAACGAGGCTCGATAATTCGATGTGCTTGGGCACTTCACGACCGTAAAATATAATACACATTTTGTGCCAAACTTTCAGCCGGAGAAAAATCTTTTTTATTTAGTTTGGCCGCGATTAATTTCAAAAACAATTTAGACATTGAAAATATTACGATTAAATACATTATGATACTTAATGTAACTATCAGTATACTATTACATTAGTTTAACTGATAACCTTTTCAATGGTTGCTTAATAATATAGACATTTAAATATATTTAGGACAATCGAAGCAGATCATGTTAAAATGAACCATTTCCCCTTCATTAGAGACTCTATGCTTCGTCTAGTGTAAAGAAACTTTTACACAATCACTTCCATTTTATTTTTATGTTTTATTTTCATTTTGCAATGAATCAAATGAATGGCTTGTCAAGGTTTGTTTCGATGTAATTGAATTTTTCGCCTCCCTTCGCTCGGGCTTACAGCAGCGATAATTAAGTATACGTGTCGTGTGGCAAGCTGCCATGTCAGGACTCATAATGCACTGGCAATTATCGTCAGGACGGCGGTGGATGAGCAGCACAGCTCAACAGCTATTAGATTGGATAATAGACACTTGAAATTGCATTCAGCTGGCTGGAAGTGCATGGACCCACTCTCCGGCCGGACAGCATTAATCATGTGTCAGTGGCAGACAAAGGACTCCCTTGGACAGCTCGGCTCGCCCTCGTGGGCTGTGATTTTTGGGCGAATTCCCAGTCGAGCGGCTCTCTTGATGAAGTGCGTATGGGCCGGGTGGGGAGGCATATCACACATACGCACTGGAGGCGACAAGTTTTGGGCTGTCCACAGGCTGTCGGGCATTTCATGCACAGTCGAGCGGCTGATAGGCAGTCCTCGCAATTTATGGCAGGCAATTTGTTTCTGTGGGCGGTGGGCGATAGGTGGTGGTTATGGCATTTGTCAGTGCCATTCGTGGGGGGGGAAGGGGGCGGGAGACTTATGACAAGTGACGACCCAGTGGATCGACCGATAATCTCAACTGTGCACAGCCAGGCAATCTCAATCGCAGACCCTGGCAATATGCAAATATCCACTTTCTCTCCCAAACATCCAGATAGAGCATATCGGGTAAATACCACCCGATTCCATTTCAAAAGTGAGCCGCTAAGGGAGAAAAAGTCCCCGCATGAGTAACAGCGCTATGGTGGCCGTGGCCATCTGCTGCATCCTCGTCCTGCTGGCCGTCTTCATTGTGATCATCATAGTCGTCGGGCAGACCATCGAGGAGCCCAAATGAGACATGCTCCAGCTGGGACCTGGCAACTTCCCAGATGGATAACAGAGGCCCCCCAATTGTTAGTTTGCTGGGGCCCGCCAGCAAAAATCGTTGCCACCTCATCAGCATTTGCAAAATCACCAATATCATCTCCACCCGACAGAAAATTAGCGGAGGAAACAGAAGGTGCAGAAGGATCAGTAGAAGCGGAGGAAATGCGTCCCGTCGTCAGTATCCATTGGCTGTGATGTGAAATTTTTTGAATTTGTGAAGCAAAAATCAATCGAGAAATCAACCCAACACAAAAGGAGCAACTAAATTTTTGAACATTCCGCACCCTAAGGACACACATCTTCATGTAGCATTTCGGTGTGTTAAGTGTTGTTAATATAAATGTATATATAGACACACAATCTATGAATACAAAAATATATAGATATGTAGACAGACTTATGTACTTATATATGGATATATATGTGTAACCCAACCGTCGTAACGTTGCGTTCTTTTTTATAAAAGTGTTGTTAACAAACCGATTTTTATTGATGTTTTATTGATGTTGAATACAACGTATATACATGCATACCCACACGCAAGTGGAATAAGTTTACATTAAAAGTCCAGCGAAGTCAAAATTGATGAGCGGAAATCTCGGTAAGCGCAGGATGCGGAAGTAGAAGGATGAGCAGGACAATAGGGAATGCAACTGGAGAGCTCAATTGTTTATTATACCGTAAGATCATATCAAATCGGAATGAATGATGCCAGCAATTGCACTTGTTAATTGCACAGCAATGGAAGCGAATCCCAGATGGGAATCTGCAGGAACTGGAGTATAAATATACCTACTTATATATGGGAGATATGAATTATATAGCGGAGATATGCATTTTATATATCAAAAAACTTTTATATAAGTTTTACGTGTACGTGTACCTAGAAGTAGCCAAATCTTGTGTATACAACAAAAATAAGCTGTTATCAACTATGTAACTTACTCAATTCAAATAAATGGAATATGAAACTTTAACAAACCATTAAATTTAATTAATGATAACCCCCAACCCCCTCAACTACTCCAATTAAATCAATTCAACGCAAAACGTACGTGCGCTGTAAACGATAAAAAATAACTTCCACTTAATTCAATTTTAATCAATGCAAATGCCAGACTCAGCAAGCACAATATTCAACAAATGATCAATGCGCGGTGAATACATTAATATATTAATTGAATATAAACATCAACAACAATGGCCAGTGTCAGAGCAGAGAGAAAGGTAAGCCGAACATAGACATATTAAAGCAGTGAAAAATGACTTTTTACGATTTTCCTTTCCCAAAGCATTTTATTTGAATACACAAGAACCACTTGATGTTTAAAGCCAGCTAGACACAGCTCCTTCTCCTGCGAGGGAGGGCAATAAAGTTTCATTGGTGCAGGCTCCTGTCAATTTGATTAAAATTGATATGCCCAGTTACTTGAGCCAGCTGCAGTCCAAGATCCAGAGTCGGAAATCTAATAGTTTGGAGTGACGGAGGACTCGTTCCCAGGGGCTTGGTGAAGGAAACTGCTGGCATATAAATCGGGGAAGGATCCAGGGTGACGAACAAAAAGTCAACTTGATGAATATTTCCACCTCAGTCCGCATCAAGTAATCATAAAGTGATGGAAATTCAATTTACACAGCATTAAATATGGCAAAATGGGCCAACTTGGGGGTGGCAATTTATTTGTGTTTTTATGTTTTGCGTTTGTGTGGTTTATTATTATGCAGATTAGGGCAAGTTCTACCTTTACCTTTTGGCTTCACCGACTTTACCCACTTGATTCTCGTGTGTCTGAGTGTGCATAAAAAGCCGCCCCGAGCAGCTTGAACACGCCCCCTTCGGCCTCCTCCTCCGTATGCAAATTACGTTTCATTTTGAATTTCTGCTACCTTTTTGCCAGAGTAAGCCAGCACACACACACTCGCACGCTTTATGGGCATTCAATGCCTTGGCCAAATTGAAGCTGACGGCAAATGTCACGTTTTATGACTGCGTTTGCATATCAACAGTTTCGTGTGTGTGCTTGAGGTGTGTGTGGCGTGTGTGTAGCGTGTGTGTGAGCTGCATCCGATGCTAGAAACACTCGAAATGTTCGAGTGCCCATCTGGTTTCTCACTTAGTCAGCATTATGCAAATGGCCTGCTCTTTCCAATTTCAATTTGTTTGTTTATGAATTGCTGCTAACACAAATTAATTGTCGAATTCCAGGGCAGATTGTCGACTGGCATTAGTGGGCGGTTTTCAGTGGGCGCGGAAGTGAATCCCAATCGGAATCTGAATCCAAGTACAAATCCGACAGTGCGCAAAAGCAATTATCCGAAGGAAATTGCTCAATTAGAAAGTCGAAATCGAAAGCCAAACTAAAACACACAAAAACGGAGAAAACACAGCCAACAGAGGCCGATGCAATTAAAAGACAAGATATTTAAGTAGGAAAACTACATAATATCCATAAGTTTAAAATATCCACAGAAAATGGTGTTTTAACATTGCATAATAACGATTATAATACAAAGGAAAACCTTATGAGCTTAATTTGAATTATCTTTTACCAACTCTATGAAAATTTTTTGTATGATTTTTCTTTGGAAAAAGTTTGTCTCTTTCGATTATTTCGGAAAAGAAAAACTATCTTATTATTTTCGCTTATATTTGCATGATGAACTCCCCACAATGGCAGCCAGATAGCTCCAGGAATTGCAGTCAGCGATGTGTAAAGCTCAGATAGAAGATGTCCAGCTAATGTTGGCAAAATTAGAGAAGGCAGGCGGCAGATCCAAGGACAAAATGGAGGGAGAAAGTAAACTGCTGCCTAATGACTCGAAATTTAATGCAGTTTTGTGAAATGTAGCAAAACCAATTGACTGGCTAGTTTTGGGGGAGGATTTTCGCACAAGTCATGGCCAAAGTGGACTGAAAAATGGCGCTGAGTCAACTGTCAATTAATCAATTTAGCCAGCCCTCAAGCTGGCTAGGCAATCAATTTAATGTGGGCACATTAAGAACACAAAACAGTTGCTAGGATGTAACAAATGTTGGTGTTTTTAAAACCAAATTACAACCGTGGAAAATAATTCGACAACAAACAGAGATTTGCCCACGCACACACAATGGGCATATTTTTCATCTGTGGCATATACTTTTTGTAGCTCCTGTTTCTGATGTTTTCGGCATTTCTGTGCTTCCTCTCGGCCGTGTCGCTACGCATTTTAATGCCGCCGGCGAGTCGGTCTCAGATTTATGGCCATTTATTGAGCATAAGTGTTGGCAATTTATGAACCAGCCGCGCCCAGTTCCCCCACTCTAAAATGACATTTTAATAAGCGACTAAGAAGGCAGAGCTACTGTGTGTGTCTTTGTGCTGAAATGAAGATTTATAAACCACCCCGGGGTAGTTTCAACTCCCGAAAGTCGGGTTCAGCACACCCATAAATCTCCCACAGAATCTTGTTTAGTTTATTGAATTATCAGCGGGCGGATGTGTGGGTGGGTTTGCCATTGCCTGACATAAAACTAAAGGAAATATCAAACACGTGCGCCAGTCACAGGACACTTATGTAAATACATTCCCCTCGGCTCCCCGTCTCCGTTTATATTTATAGTTTTATTTGTCTAAGGTTTGCTGTTGCGGCATTTAAATTTGCCCCGCTTCGACTTATCTACATCTCGCGTATTTTGCTCATTTGCCACACACACACTCCGCGTTCCCTGTCCTTTGGCACACGCATTTCCACTTAATTTTCCTGACTCATTTAAATAAATTTGTTTGGTTTCTGTAGCCTTAAGTATGCAGAACACGTTTTGGGGAAAATCTGAGAAATATAATTTTCTATAGCATACTTTTTGGGGCCAACAACATCGACTGGCAATTATGAGAAATACTCCAAAATGTATGTATTTCTTTTAAGTAACAGTAAACTCCTACTGGTAGAATAAGGAAAATTCTTTCCAAAAATAATAAGGACCAACGCCGCAAAAACCTCAAGACCACACAGGAAAAGAGAAGCCAATGAAGTGCTGCATTCGTAATGGCAAACCGAAACGAAACTTTGCACACACCAAAGGAAGACAACAAATTAAAACTTTAAGCTTCGAGGCACCGCAAAAGAATAATTTCAATGTCTAAAATCTTAACATTGACAGCAGATGCTGCAGAAAAGGACCACTAGATCAGGGTTACGGCACAGTGCAGGCCACTTCAGAGGCAGCGCAACTCAAACCCGAGCCCCCACCAGCGATGTGCACTTGGCATCAATCAATAATTGCCCATTGAAGGCAGCTGGTGGAAGACTAGTTGGTTGGCTGCTCTAACCGATGCCACGCCATGATTGATTAGCGGCATGCAACACGAGGTGCTTCAGCAGAAACCCGACTAGACAGCATAATATGGCGCTTATTGAATTGAGTCCTTTGGCCGCCCTTCTTCCTTTCGTTTCTTTTCCGTGCCATGGCCACAGGACTGGCTGCTGGTGATATTGCATTGTATCTTTAAAATCGCCTGTGCAGGCAGGGCACTCAAGGATGCTCGAGTGGCAAGTCGGTGTTCTTATCCGCCCCCTCAATCTCTTTGACTGCCGCTTGCATTTCCATTATGTCAATTTTCTCCTTCTTCTCGGGTCATTTAATTGCCACCCCTTATTAACCCCGAAAAGAGAAGAGATGCATCCAGCACCTTTACACTAAAAGAATTTTTTTGGACTGCTACATAAATCTCTTACAATCTATTTAATGCGAAAATTAATCTGTGAATGGTTATAAGCTCTAGTTAATTTTACCGGAAACAATCCAAAGATTTAAAAACCTGTAGCACTAAAGATTAAATTAAAAAAAGAATTCAATAATGAGATCCTTTTTTTTAACAATTAATCAGGAATGTTTTTTATTACTGATAATGAGTTGTGAGTTTTTAAGAATATATCTTGGGTAGTAATTTATAATGGCTAAAGCATCGTAAATTTAATTTAATGCAAATGGGGTATTAATATATAATTACAATAATATATCACAGATATTAATTAATTTTCAGCACCTTTATTTTTGTGCAGCTCCTTGATTTCAGAAAAACATTTAATTCATATTGACTCTTTCCTCTCTTTTTCGTTGCAGGTACGTTCGCAAGAGTTAATCAAAAGCGTGAGTAGCTGCCACAGGCAATTTTATTATTTGCCACTTATTGATATAAAAGTTCTTGGTTCAACGTAGTCAAAAGTTCAAAGTTGAAGCGAGCCTCAATTGCAGTTATCGAGTTCAGGGGCCTCCAAAAAGTGCATCAATAAATTCAAAAGAGTTTAGGCCAAAGCTTGAGTGAAGGCCAGAAGGGATTTCAAATGCAATATGAAGTTGTTCAAAAGTTGGGAATAACTTTGGCCACGAGTGTCTTACTTAGCTGTGTAGCCCCCGGGGCGAATGCGTGATATTAATTATGGGTATAACCCACTCGCCAAAGCCATTAATAAGCTCTTAGATAATCACTTGAATTTAATCACCCTGCTAATTGGCAATAAATTAGACTCAATTTACCTAATAGACAACACAAATATGCACTAAAGAGCCTGCAATATAATATGCATAATTATTCCAGCCACCTAGGTGAACTAACCAGACCCGAAACCAGAACCATAACCAAAACCAGCAACGAGACTTAAGCGGCAGCTGTTTCTGAGATGCCTATCCTTAGTCATAGAATCTCATCATCGTCATGGCCTTCGTCTCTTACCTGCCTTCGTCTTAATCAACGCGTTTTATCGTCATGATTTTATTTTTCGGCCTGGAATAAACTATTAAGAAAACTCATTTTCATGAAAATCCACTTTAATTGCTGTTGCTGTTGTCGGTGTTGTTGCCACCGTTGTTGCTATTGCCCCATCTGGGGACGTGGTTCCGTCAGCAAGGCGGACAGATACAATCCACTTAGAAAATATAAGGCCCCTATAATATAGAAGTTTGGTTTTTAAATCTTAATAGCTTTTAATTAACCTACAAATTAGTTAATAGTATTTTCCAGATTTTAATTTCTGAACAAATTTAATAAAATTTTGAAGGTTGAAGGCTTGTTTGACTTTTTGTCTTGTACATTGCATAAGCACTATTGCTAAAAGAATACAAATTAAATCAATACCATCAGCAACCTAAAACTACTCAACGCAAAGTGCCTTTACGTAAAACAATAAGATGTTGCTGGCATGACAGGAGGAAATAGAGAAAAAACCTTGTCAAAAATAAAAACTGTCAAATCACAGAAGCCTAATAAAACATTAAACACAACGGCCTGTCATTTGCTAAGCTTTTTCCATCAGTATTTTCTCTCAGTGAGTCCAACACCAATCCGTGGCGGTGGCTGTATGAGAACGGCATGCCAGGCACCAATAAAACAACATAAGGCGCTGTGCCGTCTCTTCTGGTTTTGGGCCTGGTATTTGGCGAACGGTGTTACTTGTAAATTTAACGCAAATTGTCTGTAACATGAGCTCCTCCACGAAGGTGTCGGAGGGGATTCCGGGGCTGGGAATGGACACGGAGAATTGGTCTGTGGATCGGTTGGTTCTGGAGGAATGGAAGGTGTTGGGGGAGTGGCTGAAGGCACTGTGGGTGGCGGTGAAAGTGCCAACAGCAGTGGCAGCCATTAAATTTTCAAGAAGTGTACACTCGAGCAGGAAACCCAGGCAGACGACAGCAGTAGGCAGAATCAGGTGACGGGGAAGGGAAAGGAGGCCGTAGACAGACAGAGCCACTAAAGATTATATGTGCAGATGGGCGACAAAAGTGTCGCATTGGAATCACCAACTAACGCAGGTCTTGATTTGAAAAGCAACTTGAACGTACGACTCAAGTTACTAGTTTTCAAATAGTTCAAAAACTTTAACTAGACTTCCTCAAAAAGTTAATCTATGGAGCTTTAGTTTTACTAAGCCAGTGAAAATGTGCAGAGTACAATCAGGAGATATACCAACTGGAATGCAGAGGAAAAGAGGGTTGTCAAAGTGAGAAATTGAAAACAAGAAAGGTTAAGAAATGAAAGGAAATCTTGTTTCCATATTATTTCTTGTAATGGCTTTTTAGATTTTCTAAGATAGTACATGAATTTGAGTCTTGAATTTGGGTACTCATTTCCCACAGTGCGGAAATTGTTCAGCAGTGCGATCATTTCGTTCAGGATTATTAAATTCTCGAGAACCCAAGGAAATTCCCTTACACTCGATTGTCGCCTGGCTGATTTTGTGTGTGTGAGTGAATGTGGGCTTATTAGTGGTCTTACGTGCCTTCTGGGAAACGTTTTCGTCATCGGCAGCATTATGCGTCTCGGTTTCAGTTTCTGTGCGGGAGCATTTAGTGACACGCATCCTTGGGGCGCTATTAACGCCAGACCGCAAGGGCAAGGTGGTCGCAAGCCCATCTGCCCGCCCCCCCAATTACACCTGTTCGCAAAACGGTAAATATATTTAGCAGACAACTTGTTTGCCCAATGGAATTGCTGCCATTTAACAGCTTTTCATTGCTTCAGTTAGTTTTTACGGCATGCAATTAAAAGCTGCAGCATTGTGCAGGCTTTTATTCGAGCTGATGGCATTGAAACTGCGACGCAGCCAACAAAAGGTGTAAATTAACATAATGATAGGGGCGGCGGGGCGAAGGGGGACTTGATGGCAAGAAAACAAATGCCAGAGCAAAAGTGCAGAGCGTTGCCGAACACAACAAAAATATTTATGGCAATGCAAATGGCGTCTGCATAAAATTTATTGACACTTTACTGCGCATTGTCATTGCGGTGCGAAAAGTGGGCGTTGGAAAATTCTAAGGGGGCGGGGTGCAGGTGAGGAGGGGGAGGGGGAGGGGTTGTGCTCGGAGTGGTGCAGCTTCCGTTTGCCAGCGTTTTGCGCTGCGGTTGACAATGTTACGCCCACCGTCATGGCCACGCCCCTAGTTTTTATACCCGGTAAGCTTGGCTTACAAGGGTATATATGTATGAATATTGCATTCGTAAAAAGAGGTCTAAAAGGAAGAACAACCCGATAAACGCACATTCCGTGCTTAATGATTTTTTAAGACAAACTGTAGATTGACTATTAATAATAAATATTGCAAAATAACGTATAATAAATTCAACAATTAAAAGTTTATTAGAAGCTAGTACGGTTTATATGGCAGACAGTGGTTCAAGTCATACAAGTTTTGGTTGTGATATTATGAGTCCAATTCCGTCGGTCTTGCTTCATTAAAAAATTTTAAGAATTGCAGAACCTTCAGTTTCGATAAAATACCATATTGTGAGACATAAAATTGTCCCTTATTTTTCCACCCATAATTAAAAGGTTTCAGTACACTTGAAAAAGGGGTATCTCATGGTCTAGAAACTCTATTATAGGGTGTTTTTATATGCCTTTGTATCACGTAGTCAGACTTGTGTCGATGTACGCAACTATTTTTGTGTGTGAGAGCGTAAGTTGGGTGTTTGCCACACAAATCCGTTCTCATTTTAATGAGCAAACTTTTTGCTCTTACGCCATTTATTTGCTGTTTAGTAAACTGCATTTCAGATAAAATGTCGCTCCTGTGTGTGTGGGCTTTCGGAAATTAATTTAAAATACCCATACCCAGAAGACAGAGGCGATAAGCGGGGGATAATCGCCCAGATCGCTTGCCTAAGGGGATTCTATTCGGTTGCGTGAATAATTAAGTGGAAATTATGTAAACGGCTTAGTTGGGGCTTTGGCCAAAACAATGTTGACATGGAATTCGGTGCTAACATCACAAAATCAATAGGCAACCGTTTAAATTCGAGGCCAGCGTTTATCCCAGTTGTAGTTTCCAGGAACTGATTTCTACCCAAACTACAGTTTCGGCAGCTGTAGACCGCAGCTGCAGCTGGGCAGCCCACAAAAGCCAACACAAAGCATGGCACAAACCGACCTTTTCCTCGAACATCAAACACATCTCGGCCGACTCATTTATTATGTGCTCCAAAACGTATTTAATTACAAGCGAAGGCCACAAGGCGTCGGTTAATGTCTAACCGAATCAGCAGCATTTATGTGTAATTTAAAGCTGTCAGTTGTGAGCAACTGGGATCAATCATAATATGGGTTTATAAGGGGGTATTTCCAAACGGACATATTTCTTGTATTTAAAATTCATGTTTAAAAAATATAAATATTGGCAATTAGTTGGTTTAAAGCATTCAAGTCAGCGCTTACAAATATTCTACCAAATAGAGCATACATTTAATTTAAAGCCGTTTCTAGTATATTTCTTCCCCTAACTTTTATTTAACTTACTGAACTTGTCTGTAAGGCCTTTATGGCTGTCAATTGTAATGGAATTGCAGAAATTTGATGTTAACTAAGTTAAAGTCAGAGAAGTTCGATTTTATTAGCTAAAATACTGTTTAAGGAAGCTTGTATGGCAATACCTAAATGTAATAATCTAGATAATTAAAAATTTTGCAGAAAAGTCTTCTGTATAGAAAAGTCTAGTAAAAGGCTTACCGGGCTTTGTAAATTAATGGAAGTGGCTCCTGCTCAAATCACCTTGAACAATGTAGCCAAGTGGGCGTGTGTATATGTGTGTTTTAGAAAGCTCTTAATAATTTCCGCTGGCTTTGGCACACACAGAGCGGCACTCTTACTGAACGTTGCGTATACGCCATGGCTGCCAGCATATCGTGTACATGGATTTCCTTTGGCGAACTGCATTATCAGTGAAATCTCTTATCGTGTGGAGCCCACGCCAAGCGTAAGCCGAGTTGATAGATAGATAGCGGAGCGTGTGAGTAAACAAACAAATAGACTGACGGACGGACAGCTTGTCATAAGTCGAGAAGCGCATTTCCATGTTGGGTGTCAAGTTGTGACTGAACTAGAGCAGGAGAAACCATGCAAATCGAAATCATTAACGTTGTGTATTTGTCTACCCCCCTTTCAAACCAACCCCCTCCGCCCCTAACACTCCAAAAACACCCACCACTCACCACCACCACCCACCGTGCAGGCGGTGCTCATTTAAAGTCGAACGGCGCCGATGGGGAGCCTTGGATGCAGCCGGTGGTGGCCTATTTGGAGGTGTCGTCGCGACCCACGAAATCGCCAAGTAGGTGGCGCCATCTCACTCTTTGTCTCGCTCTCTTTCTCTCTGTCTCCCCCCACACACACCCACACACTCTCACCTCCCCGCCCTCGATGTTACGTTGCGCGTGTGTGCGTGTGTGTGTGTGTCCGCCTTGGGCCGCGAGTGTGTGATTGTTTTTGGGTGTGCGATTGCGAGTGCGCCCGTAGTTAACAGTTACGTTTTAGTGTCCACCCGTAGTTCCAGTTGCCCTAGTTGACCAATTCAAAACGCTTACTAGTTGTACACACATCAAACGAAAACTGAACACCGAGCAGAGAAGAAATCATGAGCTCCATAACGTTATCAAAATTGCACTTATCAGTTTTTGGCCATAAAAATAATCTACATCATATCAGCTTGGTGCTTAAATATATCAAATATTAATAGGCAATAATCATATTGATATTCTAGTTGTGATACAATTTAGGGTATTTGCCTTTGTACGCTGTTAAAGTAATAACATTTAAAATTTAAGGAAACTAGTTTTTACAAGATAAGAAAGTGGTTTTCTAAAATAGTAAAAGCCATACGAAATTTTTAAGACTTCAAAGCTAAAGAGTTATTCTGGGATTCCAAGCTGATAGTTCATAAATTAGAGTTTTTATGTTAATCAAGCCAAAAATGATGATATTTTGCTCTGTACACACAAAGAAATACACACCCACACATTGAGATGCCTTGTTAACAGCTCTTGTTCCGATGCTACGTTCTGTGTATGTGTTCTGTATTGCTGTGTGTGTCTATGTCTAACCAATATCCTCGAACTAAAGCCTTAAAACTCATTAATGGCAAAACCGCGTGCAAACCCTGCCGTTTGTGCCGTTCTCTCCCTCTCTCTCTCTCTTTCGTCCTTTTCCGCAGAGTGTGATCAGACATTCGTGTCGCGGATCGGCGGTCCCCAGAACGGCAGCTTCTCGGCCCCGCTGCTGCACAACCATCGCAATCACTCGCGACAATGCCTCTACACCTTCCTAGCAGGACCTGGACAGCGTGTCGAAGTAGTTTTTAAATCGTTTAATTTAAGAGGAAGTCCACCAGAGTGAGTTGCAGCCAGCTCGTTGGTTTAAACTGACAAGGAACTAATTTTTCTTTATCTTCGTTTACTTCCCTTTTTCCAGCGGTTCGGCCGTCGGTGAATTACCAAGGTAAATATTAGCAAATTTTTTGAACTTTATAAATGAACTTATACTTTAAGGAATAATACATAGTAAATAGTTAAGGAAGTTATATATTTTTATTTAATTTGTATTTAACCTTTTAGGTATTTAAATAATTGAATACTTATTATCAAGAATATAATTTGAGAATAGAAAGTAATAAGTTAAACATTGAAACCATAAGTTCACTATTTAACCAGCACTATTTCCCCTTTTTTCCCCTTTGCAGTTGTGTTCATGAGTACATGGATATCTACTCGGAGGTGCAGTCGTCGGAGCCAGCGGAACTGATCAATTCGCCATTCGGGGGTCGCTACTGCGGCACCATTCCGCCGCGTCGTCGCATTTCCATGTACCGGGCAGTTGCGATTTCTTTTTTTAGCAACAAGAACGTGACCACGGACCTGTTCGAGGGCACGTTTAGGTTTATAAATGCATGTGAGTAGCGACAGCATTGGCATTACCATTTCCGCCCACACCTACTGACTCTCTCTTGTGATTTCCTCGAAAAGCGGAATATGAAATTGGCATACCCATTGCGGGATCGCCATGTTCCTACACGATAACGCCCAGCATGAGCGTCAACAAAACTGGTGCGCTCATATCGCCAACCTATCCAGGTGCCTATCCGAAGGATATGTCATGCACATATCAATTTCTTGGTGAATCGAATCAGAGGGTTAGATTAGAGTTTCGTGATTTTGATCTATTTTTTGGTGGACCACAGTGAGTACCTCTAATGCTGCACAATTAACACAAAAAACACACACTGAGAAATAAACACCCGAACACACAGCCGGTAACAAGTCAAGATCAAAGCAAGTTTTGGACATAGCCGAAGCTTGCTCTGGTTGGCAGCCCACACTCTTAATCTGTGACCTATCTAAACCAAATTTACTCTCAATCGAATGTCTCTAAAACAACTCTTCTCTATCCAATCTGCTATCCCAATCTGCAATTTGTCTACAACAAAATTTCAACAACAACCACCACATGAACAACTACTGAAAAACAGCTGCCCATTTGACTATGTGAAAGTGTACGATGGTCCAGATAATTCGTCAGCATTAATCGGTACATATTGCGGGCAGCAAAGAAACTTAGTTTTGTATTCGAGCGAGTCGAGCCTTTTTGTTCATTTTTATACGTTATCGCGCACCGCAAATACCCAAAATCGTGGCTTTAAAGGAATTTATGAATTTAGCGAGAGTTTTGTTAAATTAGATTTTATACGTAAGTATTGCCGAACATCCTTACTATACACAATATGTTTGTCGTTTCAGTTCTGCCTATCCCGGCAATCATTTTGTGGTGCTCTAAAGGGTACACAAAAATTGTGGCCTACTTATTAGGGCGCCCCAAAATGGTTGCCATAGCGAATAGCATTTATCAGCTAATTGTATGTGCTTGAACCAACCTATTCACTGGCTTTGTTCGTTTTGTGTGCTCTTTAAATTTCAATTTACCTGCCTATTGACTCTAAATAAATTTTATCCTCTCAACACTTTCTCTCTACATTGAAAACAAAAACGAAATACTATTTCTACGCTATCTGGTGACTTCTGCTCTACTCCAATCCGACCTGATTTGATCTGACTGCTCTATCGAAATTTCCTCTAACCATTCGCTACAAAAATGCAACGAAAAATTGTAATGAAAATGCGTACATCAGGTGAAAATGATGGCATTCACATACGTGGCTCAGAATGTGATCAAAAGATTTTATCGAAGAAGGAATCCACTGGCTTTGTGCTCTCACCCAACTATCCCTATCCCTATATACCAAAAACTGTGTGTAGGTGAGTGCAACTGCCTAAGTACTTTGTTTTAAATGGGGGTATATATTAATATGTACATCATTATCTAGATATTTCATCTATGGCATGCAGGATGCTCAGCATCTGGAGCGTGTACGACTCGAGTTTAACGCTTTCAATATACCCAAGGTGGAGCACAAGGACAAGAGCGAGTATGTAGTTTTTAATCCAAAAAATCACTCTGAATACTTAACCAATATTTAGAAAAAAAATCATCCACTTACCCACGAGACTTAAATAGTGAATAAATACAATACAATAAATTTAGTTTGACCCAGAGTAAATATTAAATATAAAATCATTGTTTTTATCAAACCATTTTCATGCACCAACATTTGAAATCACGATTTAAACATATTTAAAATAAATAAGCTTTAGTTGTTAGTTATCAACTTAACTTCTAATGATTTCTTGCTTATATCTTAAATCAGAAAGGAAAATAAGAAATTAAGGACTAATTGTTACCAAAATTTGTTTTACCAAGATCCAACTGCACCGACGGCTATCTAAAGATCTATCTGAAGGGCCAGGAGACGGCCGATGCCTACGACAAGTTCGACTACGAGCTGTGCGGCAACGAGACGCAGCGTGTGATTAGCGAGGGGCCGCGGCTGGCCATGGTCTTCAGTTCCGGAGAGTTGCAGGGCCGTGGCTTCAAGGGCAAGTACACCTTCGAGACGGAGTACAAGATTCCGGGCACGGCGGCACCGGACGGAACCTGCAGCTTCACCTACGTGAGCAACTCGAAGAAGCGCGGCGAACTGAACAGTCCGCGCTATCCCTCCAATTATCCGTCGGACACGAACTGCTCGTACCTGTTTCTGGCCGAGGCCGACGAGCAGGTGACCATTGTGTTCGACCACTTCAAGATCAAGGCGGACAACAATGCAAACGCCACGGCGGGAGCCTATGGGTGAGTCGGTGGTTTTTATTATTCTATTTTATTTTCTAAATTCCTTGTTTTTCCTTGCAGTTCCGGCGCCTGCTTCGAGGACTGGCTGGAGATGTACGTCGTCTACCGGGACAACAACGACCGCCTGCTGGGCCGCTACTGCGGTCAGACAGCCCCCGGACCCGTCGAGAGCCCGCGGGGAGCGGTGGGGCTGCGGATCACCCTGCACACGGACCAGGAGAGCGTGGCCAGCGGCTTCAAGGCCCGCTACTTCTTCGAGTCGGCCAAGTCGGATGCCGGCGACTGCGGCGGCAACTTCAGCAACCAGGACTCGGGTCTCATCACCTCGCCCAACTGGCCGGCGGGCTACAAGGCGCCAGGCCGCGGCATGGCCTCCAATGCCTGCAACTGGGTGATGAAAGCCCGCCCCGGCTACAAGCTGTCCATTCACTTTGAGCAGTTCGGCCTGGAAGGAGACCCAGCCAGTAAGTATATATTTCTTATATACGCACTGTATATAATATTGGTATTTCGATGGTGAATAATCATATAAATATTCAAAATGCATAAACTACATAGTTTATTTAAATTGTAAAAGAAACTGGTCTGAAATATAATTTTAGTACAGAAATGAAAATCAATTTTATGATTTTACATATTGTATTAGCATGAAAACATAATGAGTAAACAAGGTTTATTTAACATTGTATATCTACAATTTTATATTTAGTCAGCACAAAATCAATATATAAGAATATTCAAGCTGTTATTTTGTACTACAGTAGAATCCGGCTATAGCGACTTTCAAGGGACCGACTATTTTACGTCGTTATACCCAGAAGAAGCACTAACCATATAAGTTTGTATCATTTAAGTTTTTATGGCGACCAACGGCACTATAAGCGTCGTTATAACCGGATTCTACTGTACTTTCTAATAAACAAACTTGAATTTAAATGAAACTTTATACCTACATTAATGAGATTAGACAGAGACTCATATTATTTTTGTTCCCCAGATCGCGGCTGCCCTGCTGCTGTGCTGCGGCTGTGGATGAACGTGGACTCCGACCAGCCGCCGATGGAGCTGTGCGGCGAGAAGCCGCCCGTGGAGCAGTGGCACTACACCTCCACCGGCCAGACGGCGCGCATCAGCTTCACCACCAGCGACAAGACAGTGGGTGCCCAGGTGAGCTATATAGAGAACAGGATGAGGAGCCCCAGAGACTGTGACCTTTAACCCGCAGGGCTTCCGCATTGTGTGGACCGAGATACAGGACTCCGGACCGGGTCCGCCGTCCGTGGGTCTGCACTGCGAGTCCACCTACCACTTCCAGTGCGGAGCCGGATACTGCATCTCCGACAAGCTGCGCTGCGACGGAGTCAAGAACTGCGGCCCCGGCGACGATACTGACGAATTGCACTGTGAGTCGTGAGTGAGTCGAACGGTTCAGTTCAATTTTTATTTGCCTTCTTTTGTTTAAGTTTACGTAACGAGTATCTTAAGTTTGTCTCGTGTTTGTGTTTCCAGTGCGTCCGCTGTGGGGCGAAGCCATTCAGTTTCCACTTTAATTTTCCTTGGTTTTCCACGGTTACAATGTACCTCATGTGCGATCTTGCGTTCCTTACACTTTTCATTTGATGCGTGAAGAAAACTTGAACCCGACGAACACTTGCAAACCGTTAACCACTAAATATAACAAATATAATAATCCATACTAACTTAAATACCAACTAAAGAGCCTGTTTCGAGGCCCACCTGAATCTATCCTATATTTCTCGCTAAGTCTTTTTGCACCTAAGTATATTCGTGTTTTGTCCTCAACCTTTACTAGCTGTTTTGTTTCCTTCTTTTCGATGGCCAGACTTTTGTACATACCTTCTTCGATAGCCCAGGGTGCTCCCGATCCCTTGAGTTTCCCCACCCAAGCTTCACCCATGCATTTCTCTATCTCTCACCCGATTTCTCAGTATCTCCACACTCACCTCGAATGGCATTCCGCACACTTACAGACCCAGACATCATATCAGTCTACACTCTAGACTCTAGACGATGTCTACAGTCACGTCCACACTGAACTCATCATTCTCTCTTTCTCTCTCTACTTGTCTAATTCTCCCTCTGTTTCTCTCTGTTCTTTCTTTTGTCTCCACTAAAAAAAACTAAAAAACCACTACCAACTACAAACTGTTCAACTGTGAAACTGTGCTAACAAAATAACTCCCCTCCTCGAACCCGAAATCGCAAAAATAAAACCCTTAACCCTTGGCACAGGTGACGCAAACTCCACGCATTTGCCCACATTTCTACAGACATTTGTTTTAGCAATTATGGCATTAGTGTTAAATACGTACAACTAAAGTTTAACAAAATCCTGAGAGAACGAAACTCGAAAAATCAAAATTTTAAAATCGAAATTGGAATTGCCACGAGAATCAAAAACGTGAAACATAACTAAGATAAACTTATTAACATAAATGAAACATTCTGCTAGCAAGAATTTGTACTCATTTTTCTAACAACATACCGAATTGCAAACGAAACGAAGCAACCAACCCAAAAATATTAACTCTAATACTTAAGTAAAAGAAACTCTTTGGTCACAATTAACACGTGAGTTCTGCATAAGCTTGTCTACAATCGTTCAACACTCCACGCCACGCTCATGACATGCACAGTGTTCAAACCAGATACATGTCACCCCAATCTAGAGAAACCCATAACCCAAAACCCCATGCCCCGTAGATTGCCACAGTACAAGGAGATCACAGTTCACAGCCCGATGAAAATATGACCATCCCCAGTTTCTATTTTGTTGCATCTTTCAGTTCACTTCAATCGCATTTTGAATGTTGAGTTTGTGAGCATGCCCTCGTTTTTGGTTCTGGCTTCTTTGTGTTCCGCACCTTTTCCTCACTTGCCATGTGCACCGCATCTAGCAGATGTATATAGTACATATGTCTTCCTGGTGCCTTTGTTAAACTGAACTGAATATTCTAAACCGCCTAACCCTAAATCTCTTGATATGCTAAACTTGTGAACCCACTTTAAAAGCCGAAAAAAAATGGAAACCACAGCACACAGAACAAGAACACCAAGTTCAGACTCACCCACATGACACACTCACCTAAATCTCAGCTAACTAGAGATCAACACACATTCCTATCTAAAAACCATAGTATTAATCAGCCTGCACATAATTAATATTTTCATTAACTAATGTCTGTTCTGTGCTCTTGCTCTCCCCTCCCAATTTATTGAAACCAAACAGGTACCACGGAAGCGGCCGAGGAGGACTACGACGTCCTAATTATAATAACGCTTCTCGTCGTCTCGTCCCTAATCTGTCTCCTATGCATACTCTGTCACTCCAGAAGAAACCGTAGGAACCATGTCCGCCAACTGGGCCTACATCGGAATGCACATTACGACTCGCAGACCAGTGCCACGGGTAAGTCCTTTCCTAATATACAAGATAGATTCAAGATTTTTATTTTCCAATATTTTTTATGTTTTCCATAGGTTTTCTTTGAGTTTGGTTTTATTTACATTGTTTCAAGGTAAATTTATTTGTTTTTAAAATTCAGTTAAGACTTTTAAAATATTTGTGGCCATGAACTTTATTTAACTCGGTGACGGTGGCCATAAACTCGATATAAGATTTCATTTTTAAGTAAGTTATTTGAAACGGTAAAGACACCTTAGTATAAATGTTTTATCAGTCTGAAAATCATTAAAAATATTGAAGCTTTAAATGTTTGTTGAATTTCGTTTTGTTTAAATAATTTGAGTAACAGTTTTGTTTTGATAATATTTTCTTCTGCTATGAAAACTAAAGTCTTCAGAAACTCTTAATAATTATTAACTAATTAATGGTTTATTTACGTAATTTATTATATCTTAATACCTTTATAATTAAGCAGCGGGTCTCAGCTCCAGTCGCCGGCATCTGCAGAGTGGTGGCGCCAGCATCGCGGGCAGTTTGCATGGGATCAACAGTGGCAACCTGATGATACCGCCCGCCCCACTGCCGCCCACCAGCGTTCCGCCGCCGCCCCACATCTGCATCGCCGGCGTGGACATGGGAATGGGGATGGGCATGGGACATGGACTGATGTCCAACGGGGAGGACGACGAGGACGATCTGGAGCTTGATGAGGACCAGCTGGACGCAGACATTTTCATCAACGATGTGCACTTCGATGAGGACAACATCGATCATGTCAACCAAATGGCGAACGTCTAACGATGGTTCGGCGCAGTTTTAGGCACTTTTATCGCAAACTTCAGTTTCGGTTTTAAAACGCATTTAGAATAAGGCTAACTAGGTAATGGCGAACAAAGCAACTTTGCAGAGCAAGAGCAGTAGATTACACACACTCCCACAACGCATACTGACACGCAGACAAAGGATAACACACAGATACAGTAAAACCGGGAGGCGAACAGAAACAGAAATTCAAAAGTTAACAATACCTAAAAGACAAGAAATTATGCAAAAATGCGAATTGATTAAGACATAAATTTAATAACGAGCGAATCGGGATGGTTAGTAGGCATTAGAGATGGAGTAAGCGAAAGCGAAGCTAAATAAGTACAGTAGGGCGAGCATATTGTAGTTGCGATAACACGATTAGCCAGAAGCGTTTCACATAAGTAAGGGATGGTGTCGAGGAATAAGAAACAAATAATAGCTACATTTAATAACTATATTATACACATAGCGAAATACGTACGGCGGAATGGATAAGGGCGCACAAAAAGCACAGGACGATAGGCGGATGTGTAAAAAGCAAGAAGCAAGGAGCTAGAAGCCGTTTAGCGGAAACGGATACGAGCCGGAAACAGCAAGCGCAGGAAGTGCAAGTACGAATCATTTTCATAGCCACAAGAGACCGCAGACAAGATGAAAAATAAAATAAAGTTGTTGATTTTTATATTTGATACGAGTAATATTTAGGTGAAGCATAAATTGAATTAATTATACAACAGAAGAAACGAAGAAAGTAAACGTTAATAAAACAATACACACATTCGCAAACCGATAGATAAACCGATAATGAATAACGGCAGCAACATACTAAAGGGCATAAAACAATAATAATTAACTACCTTTACATACGCGCATGACTTTTTATTTACACATTTTGTACAAAAAATCTTCGACCCTTGAGGCTACACAAATCAAACATACAACAACAAAAAGGAGAAGAAGAAATAATGCATAAATAAAACAATTAGTGACTATCAAAACTGTATCTTCCAGCAAAGAATAAAAGCAAAGAGTTAAATGACGCTAAATCGAAAAGTTTATATGAGGATAAAGGAGGAAATTTAATAAATTAGTGGCCCCAAATATGGAAAATGAAAGCGAGAAATGGAAAAGAAATAAATTCAAAGATTTTTGTCTATTTAAGCACATTTTTATAAACATTTAAGGCGAACAAGAATATTTATAAAAATGTATACGCTAAAGGGAACGATAATAATAAAGTAAATTATACAAGAAGCTAAAAACCAGAATCTAAACACAAAGAAACCGATTATTGAATTTAATTTTCGTTGTGCCAAATCGTGTTTGGCATTTTTTGTATCAAATATTATTTTATGTTATTTTATCAAGTTTATACATATGCAAACATATTGTGAATTTTAAGATTGTTTTAGTTCATATCAGTTTCCTCCGTTTTGGAGTTAAATGATAAATTCCCTAAAATTTCGTAAAATAAATAATAATTATTGGTTTCATAGCGCACGTACGTTTTGCAAAAGAAAATTGAGAAGTTTAATGAATATGGCTTAATTCAGCGATGGAAACTTAAACCCGTTTAACGTAAAAACCATTTATAATAAACGTATGTAGGTGTTACAAAAATGCTACATTAATTAAAAAAAAAAGTAAATAAAGCAAAAATAAATACAATTACATTGATGAAGTAAAACGTTGTTAAATTGTTGCATAAAAAAAAGCATAATGATCAAGTAACTCCTAGGAATTAATTCATAAAAATAAACTTTAGTTTAAGTGTACAAATTTTGTTGTTGTATTACATTAAACCCGAAAAGAAAACCCAAAAGCAAAGAATTCAATTAGTTAATAAAAACTTTAAATTTGTGTTCTAGCAATAAAAATTAAACATAAATTTAAAGAAAAATAGTACTAAAACATAAAGCTAATAAAATGTTCGAGAAAGAAAGTCCCAAAAAGAAACCTATCCCAAAACAAAAATGTTCTAAACTAAAAAAGTTTACTAAAGTAACACAAAGTTAAATTAAAACACCCCAAAAGGAGCAAATGTTAAAATTACAATTAAACCTATAAATAAGCCACTCAAAAGAAGGAGTCAAACACATTTGAATTGAGAGACGTTTTTCAAATTTCAAAATCCAGAAACAGAAGTCAGAAAAACCGAATCTCGGGCGCACTTATTGGCACAAAACATGGCGCCGTTTGCCAAAGAGAGATAAAGGGAATCTAAATAACAAATAGTTGAATAATAAAATGCAGAAGAAAAATTTCAAATTAAAAGGAAACACCTACAAAAACAATTCCATGTTAACATTAAATATAAATAAAGGTAATTAAATAAATGAATACTAAAACCAAATTATTCGAGGTTGTTGTAATCTTATTTATTTGGTGGGTGTAACTCTTGAAAATGTCATTCTCTTCCGCAACTTCGTCTACGAAAAGAAAATTGTGAAAAAACCGCCCATTTTTAAATAATTTTTATACCCTTGCAGAGGGTATTATAATTTCAGTCAAAAGTTTGCAACGCAGTGAAGGAGACATTTCCGACCCTATAAAGTATATATATTCTTGATCAGCATCACCAGGAGAGTCGATCTAGCCATGTCCGTCTGTCCGTCTGTCCGTCCGTCTGTCCGTCCGTCCGTCCGTTTCTACGCAAACTAGTCCCTCAGTTTTAAAGCTATCTGCTTGAAACTTTCCCAAAAGTTGTCTTTCTATTGCAGGTAGTATATAAGTCGGAACGAGCCGGATCGGGCGACTATATCATATAGCTGCCATATAACTGAACGATCGGAAAAGCCATAACTTTGGTGTTTTTAAAGTAAGGAAGTTGAGATTTTCTATGGGTTTTATTTTTGGCTAATCAATCCGACCTACCGAATTTCATAAGGATCGGACGACTATATCCTGTAGCCGCCATATAACTGAACGATTGGAAATGTCATAACTTTGGTGTTTTTAAAGTTAGGAAGTTGGAACTTTTTATGAGTATTAAGAATGCATCATATGAATAATTTTGGAGAATATAATTTATGGAATATTCTGCAAGGGTATATCAACTTCGGCTCCGCCCGAAGTTAGCTTTCCATTCTTGTTTTTTTATTTGTGCTGAATGCAGTCATTATTGGAAGGGTGAGCAAGCAGATAAGGAACGGTAAAAAATATCATAATATAAGAAAAACAAAAATAATTTCACTTAATTCTTAGAATTTATACGGAACTTCTCAAGCATTTTGTTAATAGCTTCCTCATCGCCATCGATCTTGGCCTTCTCTTGCTGCAGAATCTCCTGGAAACTCTTCTGCTTAGTGCCCACCAAATAGAAATCCTCATCCGAAATGGTGACTTGTGCATCGGCACTGGCTGCACTGCCCTCGTAGATGTCCAGGGCTTTGAAATCAAAGACTACGATGAGACGGTCAACGACGACTTGACCCACAAAAAAGGCCTAGTTTCCACTCACCCATGCTCTTTATGAGAATGCCGTCCGCATCGGTGAAGTTAAACTGGAATGTGTTGACCACGGTACGCCGGGCAGGATCCGATTCCTTCAGTTTGCTGCGGATCTTCTCGATGATCTCGTCGCTCTTCATGTTGCATGTGAACCGGCTGAATGTTGCTGCTCGACTAATTTTCCCGCTGCGCCAGCAATTGAGGCAAACTCTGCGGATTAGCGCTCTGAGAGGCTGGCGCTTTGCATAATGCTTAATTAAAGTCAATTTGTTTCATATAGGCATGATTGAAGATATTGATGTGCGGGAACGGGTGAGGGCATGAGAAAAAATTGAAAGTACTTTGGGGACAGAAGGTATATTTTCGTAGCTTATTTAAGACTACCAACTAAAACTAGGTGTGAAAGTCAATTGCTTATGTTATCTAGGGCTTCCAAAGCTTTAGCAAGCCGTCCTCACTGTAGCTGGCCAGCAGATTTTGATGCGGATGATGGGTGAGGCCAATAACGTCCTTTTCATGAACCTGAAGGGAAATATCTTATTACAAACCATCCTAAAAATGGGATTAAAGTTCCAGCTTACGTTCAAAGTACGTTCCAGTTTGCCGGAAGAGACTGAGAAACAGTAGAGCACCTGATCCTCTCCAGCGCAGTATATGAACTCGCCTCGAGGCGAAAGAGTGGCTGAGATAAAGGCTCCTCCTTCGCGCTTACCCGACGAGAAAGATCGCACAATTTGACCCTGCATATTCATGATGACAACTGTGTTGGAACGGTTGCAGACGATAAAGTGCTCGGGATTCTTGGGCAGGATGAGGACAGTGTTGACGGCTAACTCGTTGCCGAGCGGCTTGTAAGTGGCCACGCACTCGGTAGTTTTTAATGACCACACCTTTACTGTGCCGTCGGAGGAGGCGCTCAGCACACTGTGGCCGTCGGGCGTGAAGGTGGCTTCGTTTACGAAGGATGAGTGGCCCTTAAACTCCTTCAGCATCTTTCCGGACTTTAGACCATGCAGTCGCACCGTATAGTCAAAGGAAGCACTAAGAACCTGACTGTTATCGCGCGAAAACTGCAGGCATGTGATTCCCTTGGTATGAGCCTTCTCAAACTTCCGCAGACACTGACCGGTGATGATGCGCCAAACCTTGATCTGGCCATCCTGGGCGCCGGAGGCAACCATCTCGGAGTCGCGTGAGAAGTTTAGTGCCAGCACCGCCTGCTCCATCATCATAAACTGGTCCTGCGCCTGATACTTCAAATCCTTTCTCACCTTTCCGGTGGTGAAGTTCCAGACCTCAAGAAAGCCGTCCACACTACCCGTGATCAAGTACTGACCATCCGGCGAGAACTGAGCGCACTCAACGTGCGACTTCTGACCGAATTTGATTTGCCGGAACAACTGGGTAGGATACATTTCCTCTTCCTGATCCTTCATGGCCGCCTTGCCGCGGAACAAATCGATGGTCGTGCCGGGCGGTAGGAGTCCCTGATGCTGTTGCCATTTTAGAGCCTGTCCCAAGAGCGCCAGGAGCCTGGAAGAGGGCACCACATGCACCTCGCCACTTAGCTCCTGGGAAATGGCCGTGCGCCGCTTCTCCTTGCTGCTGCCCTCCGCGTAGGCTTCTCTGGGGTCAAAATAGGCGCGCTGCAGCATGTTTTCTAGAAAAGCAATAATAATAATTAAATAAAGAAAACAAATGCTTAATTTTGAGTGGTCCTGATTTTACCCAAATGAATGTATCGCTCTGGTTCTTGCTGCTTCAGCATGCTCATTGGATCCGTTTGGCGTAGCAGAGATCTGGCTGCTCCCAATTCCCGTAGTTCAATAAGCTCCAGTACGATCTGCTCGTACAGATTGAGCAATTTTTTATCCGGTAGCTTAAGGGACTGAGTAACTTTTAACACGGTGTCCCAATGACCATTGGAGATGTCCTGGACAAAGCCATCCACGCTGTCCACTGTGTTCAGGGAAACACCCGTTTCTTCCTGAAAATATACCATAAACCAATAAATTACTAAGCTACTGGAGACTGCTAGTAGTCACCTGTAACGTCTGCAGGGTCTTCATCAGGTTAGACTCCTTGAGATACTGCTGGATTAGCCGGATCACACTTGGATGGGGTAGAGAAACTCGTAGTTAGCGAAAACGGATTGTTGTTTGATGTTTAGCACAACTTACTCGGCTGATTCGATTTCTATGGACATGGCTAATTAAATGCCTGGCTTTAAACTTTTCTTTAAACAAGTTTTTATTCAAGTTTTTTCAAAATTTACAATAATATTGATAAAAATGCGTCTTCCTAGAAATGGCAATAATACCGATAACTCTATCCAAAACAGCTGACCGTTATCGTTATCGCCAACAGCTGACTGTCATCGCAAAACAACGCGTCTTGTGAAATTATGTACAAAAAATAAGGTAATTGCGTTTAAAAGCATTAAATAATTTTTACTGCCAGCTGTGGCAATTAAAATTTAAAAAGTTTGTATGAGTGCCACTTCCACGTGGCGCGGATATGTGGAGAAAGGATATTATAAAATATATTGGTAAGAAGGCTGCTTTGATTAAACATTTAGATTTTGTAAATTATCCATGTGTGCCGGCAATACAAACACACATACACAACGATCACACGTTTGTAAAAACATGACGATCGAAAAACCCGATTAAAAAACAAATGGCGGTATTACCGCTCTTTTAAGTTTTCGGCGGCAAACGATCTCTTTTGGCGGGTTGTTTTTAGTCCAAATGTGTCACCCGCCGTGTACAGTACTCCATTGAACAGAACAGCTTCGCCTCAATTTGTTGGCTGTACCAGATAATAAAAACCGTACTCTTCCGCTTTCACGTAAAGATCGCAGCCTGTCTGGACTGATGGCGGCGGCAGCATCCAGTGCCCGGCAGGGACGCAAGTACGCAGAAGGCACCCAGCCCTTCACCGTCCTTATCGAGGGGAACATCGGCAGCGGGAAGACCACCTACCTGAACCACTTCGAGAAGTACAAAGAGGACATCTGCCTGCTGACCGAACCCGTTGAAAAGTGGCGCAATGTGAACGGAGTCAATTTGCTGGAGCTGATGTACAAGGACCCCAAGAAGTGGGCCATGCCCTTTCAGAGTTATGTCACGCTTACCATGCTGCAGGCGCACACCGCGCCCACCGACAAGAAGCTAAAAATAATGGAGCGCTCCATTTTTAGCGCTCGGTGAGTGCATTATCCCCGATCCGGTTAAACCAGAATCGCTTATTTTCGGTTACCCTTTGCACCTTAGCTACTGCTTTGTGGAGAACATGCGACGCAATGGTTCCCTAGAGACGGGCATGTTCAACACACTGGAGGAGTGGTACAAGTTCATCGGGGAGTCCATCCACGTGCAGGCAGACCTCATTATCTACCTGCGCACATCTCCGGAGGTGGCGCACGAGCGCATCCGCCAGCGGGCCCGTTCCGAGGAGAGCTGTGTGCCGCTCAAGTACCTCGAGGAGCTCCACGAGTTGCACGAGGATTGGCTGATACACCACAGACGCCCGCAGTCTTGCAAGGTATCTCTAACACGATACAACTATTCCGACAAGTAAAGTAATCCCCTTTTATTCTAGGTCCTCGTTCTCGATGCCGATCTGAATCTAGAAAACATCGGCAGCGAGTACCAACGCTCGGAGTCCAGCATCTTTGACGCAATCTCCAGTAACCAACAGCCTCCGCAGGTTCTCGTTTCTCCCAGCAAACGCCAGCGCGTCGCCAGATAATCAGTGAGGATCTTGTTGCTGAAACCCTTAACCCATATAGTACCTAATTGTGTGTAGTACAGACTATTATAATTTAAGAGGCGCAGACGAGCCAATCCGCGGGACGAAGGCAAAGATCCACTTTCACATCAAGTCCCTGATTAACGCATTCGTATTTTAACAATTATAATCCACATTATATTCTCATCACAGAAACTAGTTTGTAAGCTTAAAAATTGTAATAAAAACTGTGGGTGTTTATTTTAAATGAATGTCACTAAATATTATTGGGTAGTCTGATATATATTTGTTGAAATAACTGGCATGACTTGAACGCATTTTAGTGAATAAGCATTTTCTAAAATTGGATGAAGAAAGAAATACATGTATTGCATAAAAATTAGTAATTTGTTCTAAAAGGCTAACAAAAATGTAAACATTCTCTTTAAGGATACCAATTCATTGAATAAAATATTTTTGTGATGAAACTAGCATTTTCTTTTAGAATCATTTAAAATGACTGAGCTCCTTATCTACCCATTTAACCATATCGGTAGATACAGCTGGACCTACATATGTTCTAAAAATATACATATACATTTACATTAATAAAATTGGAAAAAATGTTAGCTTCAACCCGATTAAAATAAACAACGAACCGCTGAGTAAATTTTCTTTATATAAATTTACATAATTAGTTTGGTTTGCTATTCGGCTTACTTAAATGCTACAGCTTAATTAGGACACCTTTCGAGGTGCTTTTCTTCTGAGCTCCTAGTTCTGGTTCCGAGTCCGTTCTGAGTGCGGTCACTTAGGCCCGTTCATAATCAACGGTCGGACGCCAGGAATAGTGCCCAGCGGAGGCGGTGGTCCCATCATAGCCATGGGATTCATGATTGGCGGCGGGCGCATGCCCATCATGGGGTTCATCAGCGGTGGCATGTATGGCATTCCTGGCCGCGGAGGAGCCCCCATATTGGGCGGCGGTATGGACACGCCCGCCGGCTTCGGAGGCGGTGCTCCTGGTCCGCCCGCAAACGGATTGTTTGTAATCTTTCCAGCTTTAAATGCGGCGGTGGTGGCATCAATCAAATGCTGGGCCTGCTCCTCCATCCACTTTTGGTAGTAGAACTTCACATTGTCGCGGTGCTTTCGACCAGTGCAGTGGGTTTTCCGCACCGAGGGCGAGTCGTGGGTCAAGTAGGTGTCGCAGTAGTCGCAATAGTACTTCGGCATTGTACTATTTTATGAATCTTAAACAATTTTGGGGAAAATTATAGCTTTATTTATTTTTCCACGTTGGTGTGACCCTACTCTGCTAGGGTTGTCAATGAAGGCGAAGAAACATCGATGCTAAAATGTATGTCACCGATGTTTTCAAAACATCGGTTATATCGATGTTTGGCAGGGCATCATCGATGATTTATTGTTGCGGTATTGAAACAACTGCTTACTCTGAAAAGTGTGAAAATGAGCACTGCTTAGTAAGAAAGTGTCAAGCAGCATAATGCTTATAATATTTTCCAGAATAGCGGTTGTCTTAAGAAATTTCGGTTTGTCTTAAAATGTTCTTTGTTTTATTGATTTTAAAATGCGGTGAAATTAACGAACCAGTTTCTTGGTGCCTAAAATGTGAAAGCAGAGACTCACATTCTTGCGTTCTGTCGATTTCCAGCATCGCCAATTGCTAATCTATACGCCGAACATATAATGTAAAATCTAACTAAATTAAAAAAAAATATATATATACATATTTATTATCTGGTATTAAATACATTTCTTCAATCGAAGGCTTGTAGTAATTAATTTCCCCCAGTTACCCACAACTCCATAGGAGATCAATAAAACTCAATGCTATGTTGTTTCTCGCCAAAAACATCGAGAATATCAATGTCCGAAAACATTTTAAAAATAAAAAAACCAAGATAGTTTTGCCAGCCCAATTTTTTCAGTAATCAAATTAAATATTTTTAAGATTTATTTATTTTTAGTCATTATGTTGAATAAATTAAATTACATTTTGTATACATTCAGAAGGTCAATTTTTACATCGACATCTTTCAGCCAATGCAACGGGATTGAGTTCCCGCTAGGTCCAACGGTGCTCCGAACCAAGGTTTGCGTCCGCGGTGCAATATTTTAGCCGCTTTCTGGCACAGCCACATTGTCCGGTATTTTTGGGCCGGCCACACTGCAGCTGACTTCCATTGGGCACACTGGCAGTTATTTTGAAACCGGCAAAATACGAAGACGTGAGCGCGGAGCGGACCGTCGTCATTTTCGCCGGCTAACACACCTTTCGAACGACGCGTAACGGTGGCCGGGCCATAAAATCGCCATAATCACATCACCGGCAATTCGAGTGCGGCGTGCTAATTATGCAAGGCTGAGAACTAGCCAAAAATGAAAAGGGGCCCACTAAACCAGTTGAAAATATAAACTAGTTTGTGAGTGCGTGTGAAAAGGCCAAGGAATTTGGCCGAAAACAGACAATAGCTAGGAGGCTGCGGAGGATTCAAGTCCAGAAGTTGCCCGACCAGTTTTCGGGCCTCTGTGTGCGTGTGTGCTCGGCTTATTTGGATTACCTTTTTATCGGTGTGCTCGGTGCCTGCGAAACGGAGCGGATGAGGAGGAGCAGCTAGTGGCCCCCAGAGATACCGAGAGATGCCCTTCGTCCAGCGCGTGGTGCAGCCCGTCAATGTGGCCCAGGCCACGGCGGCCAGTTTGGGCCACGCCTCCGGCCGATTCCACTGCACGCCGGGCAAGTGCCGGAACAACAACTGCATCAACAAGCAGTCGCCGGATGGGGAGCTGCCCAACGGGCACGGCTCGCCCACATCTCTCACCAGGGTGCTGGTGCACCAGGCGCCGGAGGAGCAGCCGGTGCCCCCCGCCCCGGCGCCCATGAAGAAGCTGAAGCAGCACGTCGAGTTCCTGTCCACCTCGCCCACGCGCCACCAGTCGCAGTCCCTGCCCAACTCGCGGCATCCCAGCCAGCAGCGGCCGACGCTGGCCAGGATCGCCAGTGCGCCCCAGTCGCCCACCGCCGGCTCCTCGAAGGTCATCTCCGGCCATGAGTTCGACTCGATCAGCAACATCACGCTGAGCAACGCCCTGCGGCAGCTGGCCAGCCTGGTTCTGATAGCCAGCGACATCTTCGACGACCTGCAGCGGGATCTGCAGGCGGTGGGCGAACGGGCTGGACGGGTGCAGCGGAAGATTGCGGCGGTGGAGCGGCGGGTTTGTGCCTACGATCCGAAAACGGTCACAGTTCGTAAGTATACCCATTCATCTCAGCCCGGCGTAGTCATAATCACCTCCGTAGTAAGTGGGAGCACCACTCAATTCCCCTCACGATTCCCCGCAAAGTCAAGTGCGTTATCACGGGCGGCTTATCGCCTGTCATCTGCCGCTTTGTATGCGCGGAACCGCTTCTGTGTGGGTGGCTCTTTGGCGGAGAACGTGCTCCAATCTTATCTGCTTTCGCAACACGCGGGGAATTCAATTTGCAAAGGCGCAAAAGGGAGGAGCAGCAAAATAATAAAGTGCGAGATGTGAGAGCAGGGCTCTTCGTACCCTAACAATGGGCATTTCACTGGGGTTTGCTAAGCTAGTAAAATAAAGGCGTATCTTATATTCTAGAAAATCATTTTTATTCTTTGATAGCTCTTAAATTGTGTTTATAAAAAAAAGGATTACAAAAGTTTTTTTCTTTGGCTTATATGACCGCGTTTTATCAATATTGTTCTTAAAATTATGTGAATTCGGATAGTGAATAATTACCAACTTTTTTTATTTATAATAATCTTCACAATCGCATTGTTTTCTTTGAAGAGAGGAAGTATTTTTTTATAATTCTTTGACTTTTTCAATGCTAAAATATTTATTCTTTATAAAAACGACAGCACATGGAATTTAATGAGAAAATTCTGAAAAGATAAGCTAAAACAAAATTTTCGGAGGCCGGCTTAGATCATTTGCTTATTTATTGCTTGACTTTCATTTGACCGCCAGCACTCTCTGTATGTGATTACTTGAGTTTTTAATTAAATGCTCTAAAATTCAAATTAAGCCGATTATAAATATGATTTTATAATAACTAGAATAGTTGCAAATTCATATTTTTTTGCAATCAGATATCCGGTTATTGAGCAGACTTTTTGTTTAGCTATAATGGCATTAATTCGCTATTCCCTTGTCATACCCTTTTCTAGAGCATCTTCGAGAAAAGAAAACGAGGGAGTACTGAAGCAGTGTAAATTAACACCTTGTTTACTTTGTCGCCTCTGCTGTTTTGCTCCTCCCTCGACCTTCGCGCCATTATTGCGAGGTGGGTGTGTGGGTGGGGCTGGGTGGCCTGCTCACCTGCTCACACAATTAGCTCCTTGGTCGCGTCCAGCGGAGGCTTCTGTAATTACCAAAGAGCCGGAGCTCCGAGCACTTAGATAAGCGGTCTAAAGTCGTTTGGCTCATTGTTTTCGCGACCTTGTGTTAAATACCGGCCAACACGAATGGCCATTTATGTGGCAAGTGCTGCAGTTGCAACAGCAACAGGTTATCTGCAGTGGCTGTCAAACTGCTTGATATGCCCAAACCGATTTTTGTTTTCTCGGCTTTCCGTCTCTGCACTTTGCTTTGGTCGGCACTTTATCGTTTCTTTTTGCTTGCAATCCGAATTTTGTTTTTCGCTTGAAAACGTTCAATAACTTTATGAAATCTCGACGGCAGACTGGCGACGCTGACTGCAGCTTTTTCGCGCTGATATTGTTGCCATTATTATTGTGCACTTAGCTGCTGCTGCCTTTTCCGCACGAGGGGCGAAACGTGGCGGGCCATTGTCAGCTGTCATTTTGCAAGAGCTCACTTTGTGTACGCCCCTCCGTCCCCGTGCCCGTCACCGTCTCCTGGCTCCTTGTCAGCTGCCCAAGAGCAAAAACAGAAAAACAGACGAGCGGCAGCAGCTGCTCGTTGGGCTACTGCATGCGCAATCGAAACGCCGCACTAATTGCTCAGGTATGAAGCCCAGGAAAAACAAGAGCAGCACACACGGGCTTCTGCATACACCTGGGGTAAAAATAGCAGCCCACTTGATGGGAATATCTGTTGTTAAGAACCTTAATTCTTGTTTACCCCAATACTATTTAGCTGCTCAAAACAAAAGCACTGACATTTTAAAATCATTAATACTTTAATCCTTAATGGTTTACCTTGCCTAATAACTTCGATTTAAAATCAATTCAGTTTTAATGAACAACAAATTTAAACTGTATAAGACCAACAAGAAAATGAAAATAATACGATTTTTAAAAAGCTAAAAATATTTTAGATAACCTTAAAGAAAAGACATTCATTCCCCTTTCGATTTGTATGTTTTTTTTCACAAATTGTTCTTTAGAAGTCAAAGAGATTTAAAGGTGAAAACCAGCCAAAACAAAGGACTTTGTCCAGAGCTATGCCACAGCTAATCTAACCCAAGCCAAACGAAAATGAAATAAAAGGTTTCTATTTACAACATACTTAAGTACACTAATAAAACAATGTATCAAAGTTCCCCAATACATGTTGAGCAAGCCACATGAATTTCTAAACAGATAAAACAAAAAGTAACCCCTCGTAAAGCTATTATTATACCCGTTACTCGTAGAGTAAAAGGGTATATTGTATTCGTGCAAAAGTATGTAACAGGTAGAAGGAAGCGTTTCCGACCCTATAAAGTATATATATTCTTGATCAGGATCAGTAGCCGAGTCGATCTAGCCATGTCCGTCTGTCCGTCTGTCCGTCTGTCCGTCTCTCCGTCTGTCCGTCTGTCTGTCCGTCTGTCTGTCTGTCTGTCTGTCCGTATGAACGCTGAGATCTCGGAAACTATAAAAGCTAGAAGATTGGCATTTTGCATGTAGATGTTAGAAGTTCCTACGCAGCGCAAGTTTGTTTCAAAATGGTGCCACGCCCCCTTTAACGCCCACAATCGCTTATATACGATTTTAAAAATTTAAATATTTCGGAAAAGTAAAAATGCAGTGTTATTGTGTTTTTCAATACCTATCGAAATGTAGAAGAAATTTTTCAAATCGGACCATTCGTTAAAAAGTTATGCGTGATCAAAGTTTCTATCTCCATCTCCCTCGCACTCCCTTTACCTGAGTAACGGGTATCTGATAGTCGGGGCACCCGACTATAGCGTTCTCTCTTGTTTTTACCTCAACTGTGGGCTGTTAATTTTGAAATTTGCAATTGCCTCCGGACTCCTAGTGCCCCTCACCTGTGCCTGTGTCCCGGGGCCATTAATGTGCCCATATTAGAAATGCCATTACATCGCGCCATTTGCGGCAACTGCTAACCACCACTCGTAAAGTGGCTCTTTTCTGGCCGAGTGCAGCCAAGCGTGCGGAGCAGTTGTCGAGGGTAATTTCCATTCGTTCTCCGGCTGTTACTGTTCTGCTGCGGGCCTACGGGTAACCATGGCCAACTAGCAACTAACTAGGAATGTCTGACAATCGATCGGCCATACTGCCGGGCAACATGTTGCAGAGGAAGCTACGTGAGCGGCATGAACAACCGGCGAAATGTTTGGGCGCAGCAGGCGCTTTTCGCGAGAGAAGGCCCTTTGATGAGTGCCCCGAGTGCCGATGTCCACTTACGCACTTGCCCACTTCGGACGCACTCGGTGGGAACTTGATCCCAGGCGGAGGACACATGTGCGTGGGCATCCCGGAGATCGGGAGATCTACTACATAGATGCCCAGTCACAAGCACACATGGTCGGATTGTGTTTTCTGCAGGAAATAAAAAATTTGTAATTACAGCCACAGTGGGGCATAAATAACGCGAGGCCAGAGATACGGCCCGCATCCCAGAGATACACGAAAAAGCGAAACAGAAACCGAAAAACCTGTTCCCACCTGCAGCATTGCGTGACTGTGTGAGTGCCGCTGCCTCGAAAACTAAACAAACAAGCCAACGAAAAATACAGCCAGCTATGAAAATGCCTCGTCTACACAGCCGAAAAAAAAGATACATACTGAGTACCAGATACACTCGCATACACTCACAGTGCGTCGCTGTATCTTTGTGTCTCTGCGCGTACTTCTTTTTGTCTTAGCCAGCAACGCATTATTTTTCAAGTGCGCTGATGAGCATTTGATTGTTGCAGCCAAAGTTTGCCCAGGGCCCCCTTTTTTCGGGGCCAATCCACTCCACTCGTGCGGTTGCTTTTGCTTTAGCTGCGTCTGGAATTCTGGCTGGCTGCTCTTGTTTATTTTCCCAACATTTTTCTCTCACTTGAAGCGCAAAACCGAAATGTAAACCAACCAAACAACCAGTCCGGCCCAGCCATCCAGCCAGCCAGCCAGATACAGATACAGATAAATAGACGCGTCTGTCATCGTGTGCATGTAAACAGCGGCGAGGAGGAAGGAGTCTCCTTTCCAGGCCCGATAACACTCTGAGTCCCGATTCCAGTCGCGCTTTCCAGGCCCTGAATTTGAGAGTTCTTGACTGTAGTTCTGTTTTTTTTTGCTATTGTTCCAGGAACATTAAAAAATAATAATTAAGACTTTAATTTATACTACCTGAAAAATAACTTAGGATTAGAAAAGCTTTGATGGTATAGTTTTAATATCTTAATGAATAACTCGTAAACAAAGTATAAAACTCACTTAATTGTACCATTGTTATTAGAATATTATTTTTCGCATTGTTATTAATTTTACCATGGAACATTAACACAAGTGATCAATTAAAAATGGATCTGAGTGATCTCCACTGACTTAAAGCTATAGTAGGTATCAGCTAAATCGCATCCTCTAAATACGTAACCAAATCTCTTTCCCATGGTCATTCCAATCTTAACATTATGCTGCGAATGCATGTTGTATTTGCGCCTAGCTAACACTCTTGGCCACTCTTGTTTAGCCAACTTGGCCGCAAGTGGAGCAGCTACTTAAGGCCACAAGTTCAACGGCAAGAGAAGAGGCTTGCAAGAAATTGCTTGTTGCGTGCCTCCTCGAGTGGCAACAGCAATATCGGCGGAGCAACGAGTTGCAGTTGCGTCTGGAATCTGCAGATTGATTGCCGATCGCTTAGGCCGCTTATGCCGCATTTTTGCACGTTCGCCTAGCGAGGCGCAAAGAACCAAAAGCAAAACCAAAGGCAACAGAAAACGCAAAAGCAAATGGCCAATATAAATGGGGTCCGAGTCAAAGTTGCCTGCTGATGGATTCCTATGCAACCGCAGGAACAGCAACAGCAACTTCAAGAGCAACGGCAGCAACA